TGAACGAACGAGATTTATGGCGGCGCTGAGCCAATTATTTCTATTCAACATGGTATTATGATCAAATCAAGGAAAATTATATGCAAAACATGTTGTTTTTCTTCTTGGAGACGAATAAAATAGAAGACACGGTGAAAAAAATGAAATTCTTCAAAAAAAAAAACTCTCCGAAATTGTTAACAGAATTACGAGGTCGCTAATAGACGGTTGTAAACGTATTATCATTTGATTAACTAGTCTAATAGCATCTAAACGAGATCGTCGAAAGAAACGCTGGTCAGTGCATTGGTGAGGAAACGAATGCAATTGATTTACGAATGAAATAGATCGAGAAAAATTAGCACATCTTTTCATATCCGCAAGTACGAACTGATTTTCAAGAGAAGAAAGATAGATAGAATGACATCTGTATTTAATTCATGAAATATGAAACAGAAACTTCTGAGTAATTGGATACTCGAAGATCATATTTCTATCTAAGTGTTGTTCTCGTTTTTTTTATACATGTCCTACCGAGGTTTTTAAACATTTCTTTCCAATTTGAAAAAGTCTATTTGTAGAGACCCTGGTGAAAATAATTAAAATATGCGATATCTCATGCATGCCAGAATATTTTGTATTATTCATTAGGTATCAACGAAATCCTCGCTCATTTAACATATCCAGGCAAACACAGTGTGAAAGACATAAACTGATAACTTATATTCTCTTCTTCACTAACAAACAAAGGAAAGGACGTGCGTGAAATGGCAATCTTAGATAGGTTATTTAACTTCGTCCATATAAACAGAAAAAAAAAATAAAATAAGCGATAGACGACATTTCATTCATTTGCAGATCATAAACTGGACGGACATAAAATGAATCGGTTTACTCCATCGAAATCAAACAAAGCATTCGTGCGTATTCAAGGTATTTTTGATCGTACGTTTAATCCAACGAGTTCTCAACAGGAGGTAAATGATAAAATAATGAGAATGATGTAGTCTATAAAATAGAAGTTAAGAAGATAGAAATATTAGAATAAAAAAAAATGTTTGTCTTCATCCTTTCTGGCTGATATCGCTTAATGATCGATTGACCTTTCGTCATTGTTTGCTTGTCCCAATGAAATTTTCATTATTCTTTTGGACGAGGAACAATACATATATATTATGTATAGCTTCTCATGTAATTCATATTGGCGGATATGTGTCGACTGAAGCGTTCTCGTGGCATATGTGTGATAAGCAAAATATGACGTCTACAATACCCTTCTAACCGATTTATATTACCTTGATCCCTTTTCTTCTGTCAGAATGCGAGATTGCAAAGAAAATACTCGATAAGATATTTGATCAAACAAAAAAACCAACGAATATTTACTTCTATATCATTTTCCGTTAGAAGAGATTTCGAATTAGTCTCTTACATAGAGATGTTTCTTAAATTTCTGCATTGATTATGAATTTTCGATTCACATCCATGATCATCAATCTAAATATTACTTCTACCTTTTGGAGATCCGGTATATTGTTCTTGATGGCAGCAACGACGATGCTGCTGCGAATGGAAACAGTTTACAAGGTAGTACAACACAAGCTCAAGGAACTTCAGTATCTCCTGGTGCTTCGCATGGTATTGATCAGATGGTTACCAATAGTTTATCTGCGACATATACTGATACAGGTGATAATATGAATGCAGATGGTATAAGTTCTAATGAAATTGGCAATGATACGAGTAGCTGCTTAATTCGACTTATAATATAAGTGACGAATTCCTAATACACTCCCACACATACTTAGGAATAGATAGCGATAGATTTAGCTATGCCTGTTCACCCATGCCAGTTTAGGAATAGATAGGGATAGATTCAACGCTGCCTAAGCCCACTCTCATGTATGTTTACAAATAGATAGGAATAGATTTTGTTATACATAGTCTCAGGAATACTTTCAGCGGAGCTCTATGTCAGTTTACGTCCATCGGTATACACAGGTATAACTAAATCTATCCCTATCTATTCCTAAACGTGTAGGATTATACAAATATACATCTATTTATATTCGAACTGAGATTAGTCTATTAGATGTCCATTTATAATATAAGTCGAATTAGGCTACTCATGAATGATACATATGTTGACTCCACTGCATTGGGTTTGTACATTCTTTAGAACATACATCGAATACATTGGTGCATTTATAGATACATGGACGCTCAATGGATTATTGGTTCAAGGTGTGATTTTGATGCAACAAGTTTGGCTCATTATATGTATAATCATATACTTATTTTTCAAACTGATACGAAGAATGTTCTGATAAAAACGATCGAAATACTTCTTGACTCATCATCAGTTGATGGGAAAATGAAAAAGAACTAGCTTGTTTGAATATTGTGCACGTAAACAGCACAACAATAAAGAAAAAAGAATGCAAAGATGTGTATTTAGAATTCATCTTTTTTAATTGAAAATCTATAAACTCAAAGGAGTATGGCTTTTCGTTGCATTAAATAAAGAGAGAAATTTATTAAGCCGGATACATATACAAATTAGCTATTGGAAAAACGAAAAAGTTTTTAACTTATACTGATGACATGAATCTTAGTCTATAGAAATACTGCCGATTGCATCCACTAATTTCATATGTTTTCTTAGTACGAAACAACACAAAGGAATCTTTTTATCGAAGCGATTAATAACTCTCTTTAACAATGGTATATTGATTGAAATATTAATAACAAAAAAAATCAGTGACCTGCCAGTTGTAATTGTTAAGATGTTATCAGCAAGCTGGCGCTGAATGGATATTGGAAGAAACCTTTTATCGGTAACAGCTTCAGACTAAATAAAAAAAATAATCGTTTCATTAATAATCAAATAAACGGAGGTAGTAATAATTTACCACACAGATCGAAATAATAGCTCAACAAATGGTATTATTGGATGTATCAACCAACAGTTAATATGGATAAAATGCTCAATTCTTCACGCCATACAGATATTGTATCGATGAAACCATTTCCTAAGAAGCAAATTTTTCAATTTAGTATCTCGTTAATGTGTTGTTTAACTCGTAGTTCTTCAGAAAAATGAACAATATTTTCAGACAATATTCTTTCCCAATCATTGCTCTGTTCAATCCAAGACGGACATTGCGGTTCCGACATCCGGATCTGAGCGAAACGAGCAGGAAAGCACTCCTTTTCCACCTCATTTCGTACAGTTCCGGTTAGATCCTTACGGAACCCGAAAGAAAAACGTAAGTTTATCGGAATTCAAACAACCGGATTTTTCCTCTCGTTCCTTCAAAGTCCGAGAAATCCTACATGCAAGACTACGGCAAACTTTAGAAAATGAGAGAGAGTCACTTTTCGCGGTGATATTCAGCTCACACAGGGATCACAGGCGTTGCTTTGTGCGTGGATAAGTAGTATGTAGGTGATCTGTTATGGAAGAATATATTATGTGGTAGCGATTTTCTTTCTGGTAGATTCGAAGATCTTGCCTCTGGAATTGAACTTGATCGAACGGACCCGGGCCGGGAGATTCCAGATTGAAATCCCGCTTCCATGAAATAGGCAGAATGTTCTGGAGCGGCCCAGTTCCGCGTCGGATTCTTCGATGTGAGGCATAACTAGATAAATGTTGGCACATGTAAAAAACTGAATAGGCATGTTCTCATGGAAAATTCTACTTACAGTGTAAACACTAGTGTGGTTCACATATACGACTGATGCAAGGTTTTCTGCAGCTTGATGACAATTATCAATAAAATATTACGATAGATCTCATTTGAAGTAATGGAATTATGTGAGATTTGGTCGACTTTTGAAGCTTGCGTTGGCTTTACATATATGTATATAAATGTTAAGAACCCGTAAGTCTAGTTTGTTACTCAGGACAAGGATTCCGGCAGGAAGAAACCGAAAAATGGAAGCAGAAGTCTTTTAACCGGATGCTACGAGCAGTTTTGCCTGTTTTCTTTCAGTTCCGGAGAGAACCGTATGATTCCGTGCCTTGGATCCTCTCGAAGAATTCCTGTTTCACTTTGCGTTGATTTCCGGTGTCTTCCTTCTGGATCCAGTCCGTACTTTTCGACATGGGTGGTTCTAAGGTATAATTTTATACCTTCTTGGATAGAGGTTTTCACTCTGAGTCGGATGAGCATCACTTTGGTTAGAGCAAGTCGAGATGCATAGAAATGTGTGGCTTTTGCAAGTTCTGGGATGAGAGATTATATAATTTTGAGAAAATACAACTTTTGTGAAATTGTCTCCATGGGCGAAAATGATTTTTCGACTATTGCAGGCTTGATTATTATACTCGTTGAGAAAGGACATATTGAACTCGACAGAGTGTGTTGACTTCTGCCTAACACACAAAATAGAACGAGTCGTATTTTGAAAACACGAATCTTGGGGTAACATCAGTGCTATGGTGAAAACACATGTTCTCTTCGCATTAAGAGCTATCAAAGACGATTATATGCATTTAAACGTTATAATTAGAAACTCTATTCACTAAGCTGATTAGAGACGATGAAGCGAGTGTACATGCGTAGCATTTGATGTATGACAAAGCGGAGTTTGAAGTTGGATAAATGAGAAAATAGAGCTTGATATTTGTAAAAGATGACTCAGAAACATGGTAAAATTCAAGCTTGTGAAAAGGTTAAATTCAATCATATTTTACTTTTTATTGACTCGATGAAGGTCAAACGAAAAGAAACAAGATCGTTTTATGATTATATCAAAATTTTCTCTCGTATTCGATTAGAAAAGTAAATCCAATTTTGATAGCTTTTAGACCAATCAGTGAGGAATATATATTTATTATAAATGAGTACTCTAAAAATCTTTACTACAAAGATTCTCTCTCTCTTCAGCAGCGTGTTATCGTTTGACAATAATTAGTGAAACCGGATAGAAAGTAGAAAAGTTCTTTTTTCAAAAATCACTTTCGTTCGTGCCCATTGATTTCGATGATGTGTCTACGTAAACAAAACAGACAAGAAATCCTTCATTGAGAATAGTTACCTGTGATTGATTGTGATTGATTACTTTGACTGATTAACTGTTGAGGTTTGATATAACCAGGAACAGGTGTTGCATCATTCTGTTGATCATCTTGAGTCATCTTTTGAAGAAAACGAAAAGTGCGGGAGGGATTTCTCGAACCACTGAAACGTCTTGCTTCGGGCTCACGCTCGCGAAAGCTGGGTGGTGCTAGAATTTAGAATTGAGATTTCGTCATAAAAGTACCGACAAATATTTACGTTTATTATAGATTTCGGCAAGATCCTCGCGATTGTTAACTGCTTCAGATCGGATGACTGGAAGTTGCTCAGATGTATCATGTCTCAATGTTTGATATGGTCTAGGAACATCGCTACTTCGTCGAAGACCAACCATTTCTTTCGCTGTGACTGCATCCGTATCGTTCGCATATTGTTCTTGAAGGTAGCGAAACGATCGCGATGGATGCGATGATGGAGCTCCTGCACTGAAACGACGGCTGCTCGCATTCTGCTGAACAGCTAGAGAAGATAAGTCATGGAAATCGATTATTATTATCGGTCAAAATGGTGCATTGACCTTTCCAAAGTACTATGATTCGATAGTAACTGAGTACTAGACAATGAAAGGTTAAGCATTTACCTGTTGATTTGTTTACCGATTGTGCATTAGACGGAGTTGATTTTTCACTATCGGAAATCCATCCTTCAAGCATTTGAAAAGATCGAGTGTGTGTAATTCTATATTGAAAAGAGCGGATTTGCGAAAAAGCTTTGCTATTCCTTTCGCGTCAAGCATACGCGTCTGTATCATGTTGAATCGATTTCCTCGGCAGTATGGGTTGTTGGTTTGCGTAACTAAACGGTTGAGCAGGAATCGCTCCTGGATAATGATGTTGCCTCATCTCCTCTGATGGAACGATTGTTCTTCGATTCATCCTTTCTTTTCTCCGCTTGGATTCAATTTAACATCAACTATAAAAATGTTCTTTACACATCAGAAAAGAGCTTATTAAAAACAACCTCAGAACTTACTATGTTGGTTACTATCAAATGACAAAATGGATATTTTCTATTTGATGTTGTATGTTTTTGTTAGGCGATTATGTACAAAATTATATCACACGCAAACACTACTTTTCGCTCGAGTTTTTGCTTTTCGTTTGCGCAAGATAAACTACACACACTCACGCGCTTTCGATAGTGTAGTAAAAAAATGACGCAGAAATGTGTTTGTATATGTAGATGTGGCATGGCATAGATGTGAAAAAAACACATCTACAGATGAAAATAAAACGAATTTGAAAGGACAAAGAAAGAAGAAAGGAAGTTACGTGTTATTAAGTTTACTACATCCGTCGGCAAGGTAAATTGATCTATGAAAAGAATTACATTGAGAGAAAAAAAGGATTCTGTTGAAATGTGAAAGAATTTTTTTTGCGATTGATTGTTAAAGGTTTCACATGTGTAGACGGTTCTGTAATTGACGTCATTGGAACGTATCTATCAGCCTACTGTGAACTAATTCATGTATATTCTATCAGGGAATCGAGACCTCCTGGTAGGTATAGGCGTAAAACTGAATTAGGATCCATCAGACGATGCAATTGAAGAGTTTCACTTGAGATTCCATTGATCGAAGAGATTTCTTTCGAGAAAAACAAAATGCGGTCAATCATTTATATCTCACACATAATATTTTGTTCACATTTATTCCTAGAATAACTCTGTTTCTATAGATCACGCACACGCTCGCACATCCACACACATGTAGGAATTCTTCAGTAAAGAAAAAGAAGAGAGAAAACATGAAAAGATAAACACAGACATTGAAAAAAAATTGAGCTCGTGCACAGGCAAGTAATGGACACAATACAGAGGAAAAGAAGAAGGCATGAAAGTTACACACAGATATAAGTTGAACGAATGGTTGTGCAAAACGAGGAAAAATTCAAAGATGAGAAAAAGAAAAAAGAGCAACCGTCGATCGATGACAAAAGTATAAGACAAAAAAGAATAAATATAGCACGAACAACGGACCGTTGTCACAGATATACAATGAGAATTGCAACTTATCTAATTACTAGTCTCTAGCCGATTAGCTGATGTACTTTGATATGATTGTTGTGCACCAAAACGTTGAAGTACCTGGCAAACACTGTCATGCTGTTGAGAATCTGCTAAGTCATACGCAGTGACATCTTGTTCTTCGAAGCGAAATTGTTGATCAACGTTGGCACCATGTTCACATAAGATTTGAACGGTGTCTGCATGACCCATCGCTGCAGCGATATGCAAACATGATAGACCACTCTAAATGAATATACATACGATCATCAGCACCTGATGCATTATCAATGAAAATTATTTACTTTTTCTGTTCCATTCACATCAGCTCCTTTTTCAAGTAAATATTGGACAATATCTTGAAAACCTTTCGCACATGCACAAAATAACGGTGTGCGACCTGCTGTTTCACCCTAGTATTAAAAAACAAAAGCGTGATCGTGCGATCTTTTGAAATATCCATCCAACGTACTTTTCCTTCGATCTTATAATTCACATCTAAGCCACGTTCAACCAGCAAACGTAGAATATCAAATGATCCTGCTTCAGCAGCAACAATTAAGCCATTTATTTTTCCATCATACAGATTTTTAGCTTCAACGTCATATCGGGCTCCATGTTCGATTAATAACTGAGCTATTTCGACATTATTATGTTGACAAATGGCAAGGAATGGCGATGAGCCACGTTCGGATGTCACATTCACATCAGCATTTGACCGAATTAAATGTCGAATGACTGCATCATAATTTCTCATACATGCAATTAGCAGAGGTGTTTGGTATTCAATATGAAGATCACGTGCTACTTGTCCTTTGGGTGAACGATTCACATCAGCACCATGTCGTATTAATAATTCAATAACATCCAAATGAGCTTCCTCTGTAGCCGTATACAATGCTGTAGCACCAGTCTAAAAACACGAATTTATCTAGGAAATATGAATTACTAGCTATACCATAGTAACAGCATTCACGTTAGCACCATTCTGAATGAGATATTCACAGATTTCGACGTGACCTTTCTTCGCTGCACCGAAAAGAGGCGTCTGAAATGCAGGGAAAACAATATGCAAGTTTATTTATCTTATACAAACACTGTTTCGTTCATACTTGTCCTGCAAGAAGATTTTCTTCTGCCAATTCTCCTTGGGGTGTAACATTCACATCAGCACCAGCTTCGACTAATGCTCGGACAAGTTCTTGATTGCCTGATTCGGCACAGAGAAGTAACGGTGAGACACCATAACGGTTTTTTACATTAACTTGTGCTCCTCGATGAATGAGAAACTTCACGACATCAACACGATCTTTCAATGTAGCCATGAATAAAGCGGTTTGCCCTGTAATATTCAAGTTGTCAGCATCGGGACCGCTTGGTGCAAAATCGAGATCGGCGTTAGCTTCAACACACGCTTCAATGACATCTAAATCACAGATTTCGGACGCTAATAAAAATGGTGTTGAGCCTAATTTCGTCACGGCATTAGGATCAGCGCCACGCTTTAGTAATAACTTCACTACATCGAATTTTCGAGATTTCATTGCTGCATATAGTGGCGTCCATCCAGTAATATTTAATTCATCAGCTAGATTACCGAATGGTGCGATATGTGTATCGGCTCCTGCGTTTAACAACAATTCCACGACTTGTAACATGCCTTTTTGTGCAGGAATCCATAGCGCACTAACGCCATAGTGATTCTGTACACGAGGATTAGCGCCGTGATCTAGTAAATATTTGACAATATCTATGCGACCTTCTTTTGCTGCACAAAACAATGGTGTTTGGCCACATAAGTTCATTGTTAACGCTAATTGGCCTAGAAAAAAAAACAACAGAACGATGTTAATCGTTCGACTGAATTAGATTCGAGTCATCGTACCACTCGGCGCTAATTCGAGATTAGCTCCAGCTTGTACAAGTAGTCGAACGCATTCCACGTATCCTTGTTCCGCCGCAAGCATCAATGCTGATATACCCGATTGATTCTGATGATTAGGATTAGCATGACGTGCAAGCAGACGTTTGACACATTCGGGATGATTGTATTTCGTTGCACCAATCAGCGGCGTTGAACCAGCTATTTTATTTTCTTCTGCTCGTTTGCCTAATGGAGCCGAATCAACAATAGCACCACGATCTAACAGAATATCGAGAATATCTGGCCATCCGACTTCAGCAACCATTAATAGTGGTGTAATCCCAGATAGAGATGCTTTGTTTATTTCTACTTCTGGACATGCTAGATAAGGAAAATGGGCCAAATTGAAGTCTTGGCAAAGATTTATGAAATCGATAAACTTACAAGCTAACATTTCAGTGACAGTTTTATGTTTTTTTCCAGCGGCGATACTTAATGCTGTCAGGCCGTCTGCATCGCGATAACCTGAAAGGAAAAAATAATTTGTACTCATTCATCTATTCATAATACGATGGACAAAGGAAGGAATATCTTCTTGATAAGAGCAAGGAGAGAATTTCAATCAAAATAAACTAAATCTGCTCTGATAAAAATGATGAGTCATACGCCACAATGTATCGTTTGTCTTTAACGTAGACAAATATTCCATTCAATCTTCTGCGTACATTAGACAGATACATATGTATAAATTATTGTTGATTATTATGACGTAAGATTACAAATGGATTGTTCAAATATGTGCGTGTCATAAAATAACGATTATAAATCTCAAGGAAACACCTTTCATGTAGCAGGACATGAAATATCCAGTGCCAACGGCAAGAACGCTCTCTGAGAATAATTCTCTCAACAATCTGACTGTGGTCAAAATACGAAAGCAAAGTTTTTCAATGTATCAATTTTTTGACATACCCATATTGAGTACTTCTTTTTTCGTCGTTGTTGCCTTCCGTCGATCGAGCTCATCGAGGATTTCTTTGATTCGTTTATCATCACCTTTCTGTGCTGCGAGCAAGATCTCCTGATGATATCGATCAAGATCCCCTTCGGCTTTACTTGCCTTTGCACTCGTACAACCCATTATGTCTGAAATGAATCAAAATGAGCGAGATAAAACAAAAAGAAAACCGAAGAATTCGATTTTATGATATTCTGCACACATACTTAACAAAATGAACGAACAAGGTTAATACTCACTTCCAATATAAGTGTCTCATTTCTGATTTGTCTATCATAAATAATTGGAAAAAAAAGGCCAAGTTATGCTGCAAATGATAGGATCAAAACGAGAGTGTGCAATTACTCAAGCGGAAAATGAGAAGAAAACGAACGACGAGAACCTTTGTGAAGAGAAGAAAATACTTTTTCAAGTGTCATTCAATTTCACTTCTTCTCTTATCGAATATTGACTTTGATTAATCATTTTGATAAATAAATACCAAATCAATCCTCTATTTCTTTTGTATGAGTAATCTGTCAATGAAAAGCGATAAGATCTATCAAACTTGTGAAAAGTTTCATTTAAAGGGGAAATCTCGCGATTGATTTGATCTGCAGAGGTAAACACGTTGAAGAGAATAATATTGGATTTGCCTTTCTGCGTACCGTACGATTGATTCTCGATCTTGAATGACTGAAAAATCGCGTTCTAAAAGGGTGTTTTTCTATATCTATCAATCTCGAGCTGGTCGACGCATTAAAAAACTATTTGAGCGATGTAAATTTATTCATCGATCGTTCTATATTATGTATAGTATAGGCATAATAGGCGAGAATATGAGACAGGCAAAATAAATAGAAACAATTTGTATAGTAATAGAGAAGAAGAAGAAGAAGGAGAAGAAGAATACATGTAGAAGTAAAAACAACACTAGATGAGTCAGAGCATGTCCACTGAAATTCATGCAAAGTAAGAAAAAAAGTTTTATTGAAAATAAGCAACTTGATGATTTTTATACGTCTTTTTTCGGCTCGGATCGCAATAGTATTCCTCGATGTATAGATGTCACTACGCGTTGTTTAATTGTTATGTATAATCGTCTGAATGACTTGCAAGAAAAAGTTAAACTTCAGTGCTGACGAGGCAGAAAAATGAATCGATGAGATACAGGTTTCTTTTTATTTATTCTGCGAACGGATGCAAAGAGAACGGAATCAACACAATAAAAGACAATGCATTCGGTCCATCAACGGTGTTGAACTAGTAACAAAGACAACACATGACCACGTTCAAGTTAATAATACAAATGTTACTACACACCCGTGAAGGTTACGGTTGTTAAACCGATACGTTATCATTATTCAATCTTTCTTTCTCTTTTTCTCTTTTGACACATCATTGGTCGCTTCGTTTACATTCGATAGTTAATTAATGAGATGATTTGAATCAATATATGAAAATGACATGTTTCTCGGAAGACAAAAGATTTTTGAGAAAACAGAAAGAAGAGAAACTCAATTGAACCTTTTCCTCGGGAAGTCCGCGAAGATTGTGTATCTGAATAAACATGTCAGGCACGATTTTAATTGAATTATTTATTGAATGTCAATAGAGAAAAATGTGTTTAAATATTCATTTCCTTTGCATTTCTAATTCGCTAAATTCCGAGATTTATCGTTCGATAGCTGCTTTATATTGTATAATAGGCAAAGCAACTTTGATGTAATCATAAGTCTTCAGTTTCAAGTCAGTCATTGGATAAATATAGTGTGTATTGAAAAAAAAGAACATTAGTTGTAAAACTTCTACTGTGTCAACAACTGTCGATAAGTACATTGACAACAAATGCGCACATCAACTGGTCTTTCTCTTGTCAGAGTTAATTATTGTATATTCCTCTTTTTCTTGCAGTTATGCATTGAAATTATACTTGTTGATGATCATGTTAACTCGAGTAGTCTCAGCTAGGCGATAGCAATCTGAGAGAGCAAATTGTACTGGCAAGACGAAAAAGTTTTCGCTCAAGGACAATTGCGCAGAATAATTATATTGGTTATAACTAGAGGAAACTTGCACAGATGGTAAACAAACAAAAAAACACTTTTTTTATTATTATAAACATAGTAAAGTGCCTGATTCGATGTTTAACTATATTTACTTCGCATTCAGTAGTAATCCTTTGAGATTTGATCGCAACTGCATGTAATCGTCTCAAGGTTACCGATGACAGGCGATTACTGATCAGTTATTTTGAGATAAAAACTATGATAAAATAACGTGATAAGTTGTTCTTTTCGAACAGCGAATGTCAAAGGTACAATGAAAGATGGACACAATCAAATAGATGATTTTTTTTGAATTCGTATCATTCGCTGCATCAAGGACTTCGAACATGCCAAGGGAAATAAGTTTGTTCAAGTGATGAGTACATTTTCAAAATAGGCAGCAGTCTAATACTACTTGCCGTTCTTCCACATGCTCTGTTCAATGGTCTACTGTTGTACGACATCTTTTGTTCAGTGGTCTGAATTCGATTTGATTGATTCTTTAAGGCTATGCAATGAGAAAACAGGTCTTATAGTGCGTGTGCATATAGACACGTGGGAATAGAAATAGAACGCACAATTCTGGTTTCGATTCTGCATTTACGCGCCATTAGTACGAAAAAAATATGTCGTCGAATACTGCCACTGGTGCTCTAGCTTCTCAAGTCGCTTCTGACGAAGCATCTGCTGTTCGTCGGAAAGCAGCAGAAAAATGTCAACTTGTATTGGAAACCTTATATGATTCTCACAATGGATATAAACAATGCGCTGCGGATTGTAAAGATACAGCTATGCAAATGCTTTTCGAAAAAATAGCTTCTAGCCGTGCTGATCTCATTAGTCAACTATCTAATGTTATTCAAGTTGATTTAGGTGTCGAACCGTAAGAACTTTGGTTTTGGTGAAAGTGTGAAAATGGTGTTCGTTTGGCATGTTTTAGAGTCAAATCTGGTTCAGCAATTGCTGCCGCTCATCGAACATGGATCGATGTAAAAGCCTGGTTTACTGACGGTCGGGATAAGCAGGCTATTGTCACCGAAGTTCACCGTGGAGAGGAAGTTCTCATTAAATTCTACGAATCAGCTATCGAAGATACAAATCTTCTTGCTAAAGTTCGAGATTTTCTTCAAGAACAATTGAAAACAGTCAAGGAACAAAATGCATCCGTTGATGCAATCTAAACTGAATCTTTCGTTTCGTTTTTTATTCTATCAAGTATTTAATCTCGCAGATATCGTTTCCATTTAACGTAAATGTCATATGTACTATTTTCTTTCACTAATAAATTATTCCAGTCGAAGAAAAAGAGCTTAAATTCATTGACATTCAGCGATTGACGTCTTTCACTGATAAAACAAAGACCGAAAGAAGCTGCTTCTTTATTTTCGTTACAAACATCGGAAAGAGCATGTACACACCTCGTTTCAATCCTATTTTCTGCGTCTACTCGATGACTCTGCTGTTCATCTATGTGCAATGTCAATATCCATCCTCAACTCTAACTCCCATATACTTCAGTAATGGATCGACAGTAAGATTTTTCGGTACCTTCTTCATGGTATCCAATACAAGTCGTGTGGGGTTTAATTATACCGAGGCGTCAAGTATGAGAACAAGACCTCCGAATACAACAACTCTGCCAAATATTCCAAATGGTGCGACAAGAATAATTGAAAATATATGTTTTGCTTTTGCCATCTTCGTACTTCGATATTACACTTAGTTTTCTATATTTTACCATTATTCGAGCATGTTCACCTAGGAATAGCTTTTTAGATTTTATTTTCTTTCTTCAAAAAATTAAAAGTAAGACATACACCCTATTTCAAAGCTGGCACTCGATTACCGAAGTTATTCTTTCTCATTGATTGATGCCATCATCAAGTAGTACATAACTTAGGTATATCTTATTATTCCATCGATTGTACATTGTTGTTTCAAAGGCGAACCGTAATGAATCAATTCATTTAGTGAATAATCAATCAAATACAATTCATAATCGTGTGTTAATGCCATATCATAAAGAGTAGGAAACAGTGCGGTCATATTCCACGCATAAAGGGCAGTGCCATAGATTCGATCATAAATTCGAATACCAAATCCTGACATCAATGCCCAAAGCCGTTGACCACATGAATCAACAGTTAGTGTCAATGGTATCTCAGAAGTATTGTTATCTGATACGAGAATCGACCAGAGAAATGTTTTCATAGATAATTGATAGATCACGGATGTGTTTCCACTGACGTAAATCGTTGTGTCATCATTTGATTTTGCCAAGCCATATGGTTGATCGAAAGGAGTTAACAGAGTCCGATTATATGTAAAAGTGAATGAAGACGCATTCCAGTTAAGAAAACTTATAGACGAATTTTGACCATTCTGAATAATTAAACACATTAGAGTATTATTATACAACCAGACTGCACGTTGAGGATCACCTTGAGGAAAAGGCAAATCAAGAATACGTGTCAAACTGGTGTTATAAACATAATAGTAGTTAGATGAAGATGCAGCTGGCGGATTAATGCCGACAAAATAAAAGCCGGCGTTATAAGTAATTGGTTGAGCGTTCGTTTTCGAGAATAGAGTTTTGCTACCAGACATAGACACATTAGCATCTCTTTGTTGAATCGATCGTGTATTGCCGTATGTTATTATCAACTTATTCAAACTATTATCTAACGTTAAGCCAACTGGTTTAGTGATTGTTATACTCGTAAAACTAGCTGATGCTTGGATGTTATTCATCAACCAAAAGATATCTGAACAACAAATGGATGTTAGTTTATAGATAATATCTTGCGTTACAAAAATGAGCGTTGAATATGATGATGGGATTATATAAAACGTGATAGAAGTATTGGAGAAATTATTTGGGATCAGTTGACATGTTTGATTCGAAGGAAAGAAATTAAATGCGGCTATTGCTAGAGAACGATACCGGAGTGCTTGGCACATGCATTGTGGCCATGAAGATTGGCTGAATAACCAAAAACTATTGAATTGTCCTATCAGCAGCTGTGCTTGAGCGATACGACCGTATGGAATAGTGCATGTGGCAAATGGTATGAATATGATCAATACAATATAATGAAACATACTATAAAGCGAGAAAGAACTGAATAAATGAGAAGAAGCAATGACACTGACGTACTTAACGACAAGTATAAATCTTTTCAACATATTCTGTATTTTACTATTTGAGAGAGAATATATATTGTTTCGCGAGAATTCACATGTCAAATACTATATGCAGAAGAGGTTGTTACTGTTAGAGTTTGACAGATAGCTGTGAGAAAAGAGTGCTTCACTCTTTTTCTCTTCTAATTGCTGAAGAAAATTTTTGAAGATGAATTCAGATGGCGTGTGCATCAAATCATTGAAAACACTTCCATGTTAAATCATGATTTTCATTATCTATGAGTCTCTAAAGTGGAACAGTTGTACTCAACCTATTCATGTACTCGTCTCAAGCCCAAACCAAGGAGTGCGGAGGGTACAACGTGTTTACATTTCCATCAAACATAAAATGAGCGTATTGGTTTGACTGTTTCTATGATATATTTAGTCTAGTAATTATAAAACACGTGGATTTGCGTATATAAACAAAAGGTGCATGAAAGAAAAAACAAAGAAAGGAGATATATTTATTATTCATTTGAATAGTTTTTCACGAACGACCTATTTCGATAGATATGCAAGCCGCTGTATTAAACAGATTTAAAGAACTGCTTGAAATTCAACACGTAGAAGTACCAATACCAGGACCCGATGATGTTTTAGTTAGAATGATTGCTTGTGGTGTCTGTCATACAGATTTGCACTTTATTCGTGGAGGTAAAACGAATCTGATATCTCTCAGACTTTTTCTTCGAATGTTATTTTGTGAATAGACTGGGAAATATTTCAACAATATTTACCACGTATACCTGGTCACGAAGGGATTGGCGAAGTGATTGAATTAGGCTCGAATGCAGGTGATGATTTGGAAAAAGGAGATGTTATCGGTATTCCATGGGTGCATGAAACATGTCTTCAATGTGAATACTGTTTATCGGGCCGAGAAGAATTCTGTATGAAATTAGTTCGATCCGGTGTGACTGTTCACGGATGTTTTGCTGAATATGTTTTAATGAATACAAAATTTGCTGTTAAACTGCCACAAGGCATGGATCCATATACATCTGCGCCGATTTATTGTGCTGGCGTAACGATGTACAAGGCTTTGAAAAGTTCAAGAGTGAAAGCAGGAGAATGGATATCAATTGTTGGTGTCGGCGGACTTGGTAGGATTGGATCATCATTCGTAGTAGAAAAATTCGTTCGTTTGATTTTTATTATGAAGGATCAATGGGTATTCAATATGCCATCGCAATGGGTATGAAAGTTTTGGCAGTTGTAGAACCCGGTGATAAGGTAAAACATTCAAATAATCGTATCGTTTTCATATAGTTCAATTTAGAATAGTACGAATCTAGCGAAAAAATTAGGAGCAGAAGACGGTAAGATTTCCTTATTATTAGCATTATTAGTCTGTTTTGCTTTTCTTAGTTTATGATGGTCCAGTAGACAAACATGCCGAATGGATTCGTAATAGAGTGGGCGGTGTTGAAGCATCGTTCGTGACTGTACCTCTAATTACTGCGTTTGAACAAGCGTTTGAATCAGTAAAACGATGTGGCCGTGTCGTAGGTGTAGGTATGCCAAAGGGTAATATGTCCATACCAATAACTCGATGGGTGACCAGTGGAATTGAACTAATTGGCTCTACACTCGGTTCGCGAAAGGATTTACAAGAAGCATTAGATTTTGCAAAACTTCATCAAATCGGATGCAAAGTGGAAAAACGCAAGTTAAAAGATATCAATCAAATTTTTGATGATATGTCAAACGGTAAAATCAATGGTAGAATTGTTATTGATTTCGCCACAGTATAAGTTTTGATATTAAAAGAAGATTAGTATTAACTAAGAAGTCCGTTTTTAATCATCATCATTCATAGTTAATAGCTAGCGAATTTAAAAGAGAAAACCAGAGAAGATACGAACAGAAGAAGCAATAGAACGAAAACGAACAACTTTGTTCTTATCGTATCCAATAATGATGGTTCGCTCCTTGCGTTGTCCGCAGATAATAACGGGGTGTGTTCTGAAATATCTTGCCTGTTGGATGTAATGTTCATCTGTGCCCTTTCGGCTTGCTCTTTCCAATTGATCTTGCGAATATATATGTAAAATACGATATTGGTCACAAGTAAACTTGCAATCAAAGCTATCCAATATCCAAACATATTCAAATGTAAGACAAATATCAGCAAAATTCCCACAGGAATACCAACAAAACAATATGATGTAAACGAAAGTATAGCATCGAAATATTGTCGACCGCAAGCCCGTAATATGCTCGCTTGTGAAAGATGATAGAAATCGGCTGAACAACAAATGATCACCATTAGTAATAAATATCGAGTTGAATTTCGGGCTGAATCCGGTATATGAAATAAGTACGGAATCCAATATATAACAAGTAAACCACATAGAATGGTTGCACTAATCGGAAGCCAGACGATGATGTATATTGTATTTTTCACTTGTATCGCTTTTTCGTATAGATTAGCACCAAGATACCGTCCAAGGACAATGGTTGCACTCACAGCAAACGAGAGTGTAACGAGAAAAATACAAAGATCAACATAAAAGACGACATTTTGTGTTGTAATGGCATCTTCACTGAATATAGATGCAAATAGAATCGAACCAGCGTATACTAGGCTTTGAAGGAAACTTATAAGTACTCCCGGAACACCTAACATAACATATGTTGACCAATCCTGTAGACACTTTCGTGTCCATGGATGCCATGTGTCTTTTGATACCGATGACAGTCGAACATAGATAATACACGATAAACCCATCGTCAAATACGACAAAGCGAACGCTATTGGCGGTGCTGCAACACTAAACTTGAACACATATAACAGTAAACAGTGAGCAAGTATATTAACGAGATTTCCAATGGTATTTATGACTAGTAGTGGCCATGTTACACCGTGATTGATAACAAATTTTTGCATCAGTAATGAAAATGCTTCACATGGAACCGTAATCATTGAAAATAGTAAATATCGATTAATTAGTCGAATGGATTCTTCATGTTTTTCAATAAATGGTATGAAATATCGAATATTAACAAGAAATATCCAAGAAAAAAGAACACCGAAACTCCCTATTAGAAATCCTCGTTGAATCACCACACCCATCTGCCGTTTATTGCCACCGAACGCTTGACTTAATAATGTATCACAAGCATAAGTTAAACCGAAATAGCCAGAATATCCGAACAATAAATAGAGAGTTCGTGCTAATGCACATGCGTTAAATTCCTGCTGACCAATCCATCCCATGAAAACATTCGAAACAGCTGGTATTAATAATAGTTCTAGGACATAGCTGAATACATATGGAAGGCAAAGACGGAATATCTGGCTCGCATCCGATCGAAATTCATTGCTTGAAATAGTTTGCATGAAAGTTTTTGTCTATCTGAAAAATAGATCTGAATAAGTATCATATACGCTATGATAAAAGTATAAATGTACAATTAACAGTAAATTATTACTCTGTTTCTTTACCTCGATTGCTTTTGTAAAACATTAACTACATTCAGTGATGCAGAGTTGCACAATATAATAATATTCACGTGAGAGTCTGGCATGTCACACATACCGTTCATGGTCGGGAAGCAATAATGATTGAAACCATCGACATTAGAACGAAAACATTCCGACGCGTGATGGTTTTAAACTGATGGTATGAAAAAAAAGCTTCACAGATTGCCTTAAATACTTCTTTTTGACTATTTATAAGACAAAATTTCTGTTCTGATGGTAAATAATTCAATGTTTTTATAAGTCTTCCATATAGAACATCGAATAAATTATAGTAGAGGTTCGATAAACGAAATAGGCTTTTGTTATAAGTTGTTTCACTTCTTTGATCGTCCATCAGAATATATTTATGATGATAATCGGCATACAATCACGCACTTCGAGCACCACATGCCTTTCTGTTTCGATTATGATGAAGTTTTTAGTAAAAGGAAAGAAAACCACATGTTTTGATGAAAGCACTGATGTACAACACATATTTCATGGGAAGTACACTGTAATATGCAAGTTGAATAGACTTTAACTCTTTTTATCATGAAGTTGGATGGACAGTTTGATGTATCTATTCGAACAGATCCGACGATTAGGAATTAGAATTTAACAAAATGTAAGTTTTGTTTTTATTTATGACAAGGACGAAATTGAACAAGTGCACCTTATTAATCATGGTAATTTTTCTAAACCACTTAGTTGTATCTACTTGGATAGATCACTGCATTTTATCGCTCAGAATTACGAAAAAACAGTGCTATGAACGAAAATAAACCGCTAGTTATTTCCGACACGGGATATCTACCGGTGGAAAACTAAAGAGAATTGTGTCGATTGATAACTACAGTTTGATCTCTTCTCGGAGATCGTATATCTACCTAGCGAGCATATCATTGACATGTCTTTCTCCACCAATATTTCTTTTCTCTTATATTTCTCGTTTTGTAGAGCGTTTCTTCAATTGGCTGGATATAACATATAGCAAATCATATTTTACAGGTGCACTTGAATTACCTTCACCCCATTTGATACGATCTAATGTGATTTCTTTCTGATTATTAACACCTGCCGATTCAGCTCGAAGCAAAAAGATGCAACATTCATCATGCTAGTATGCCCCCTCTGAACATCTATCATTTTTGCGGCATTACAATTTCAAATAAGACATTTACGCATTGTATATTAGCCATAGCTAATCTCTGCTGCAAGAACCTTGAGACAAAATGTTTGTTCATTTTGCAGGCGCTAATAAGCAATCTTTGAATTCGATGCTCTTTCTCAATATGTATTCAGAATGCTTTTCGAAATAGAAATGAAATCGATGGCAGTCAATATTTAATAGGAACTAAAAATGACGTTTGTACAAATGACTAGTGTGAAAGATAGACCTGGATTTCTTTCGCGACCTTTTCGCATGTAGACATATTTGAATACAGCTTTATAATTTTACTTTGATCGATAATTAGTCAGGGGTGAAACAGAATATTTGAATGCATGAAAGGCATAATCTGTATATAACGCGATCTATCGTTTTCTTCTGATTTGAAATGTATTTAAAGTGTATCCAAGAATAGTTTTATATCTCCATTCAACAGCAGCTTATCTTTAGAAGTTGGTCTCAGATGATTTCCACTGAAATACACAACTACAGTACGTCAAGTATCTTGTACAAACGTCATTTTCAGCTCCTACCAAAGATATGCTTTCATCGATTCCATTTTCATTTCGAAAAACTTCTGAGCACAAACTAAGAAAGAGCATCAAGTTTCAATTCTAAGAATACTTCTTAGTGTCTGAAAAATGAACAAAATGTTGTTTCAACATTCGTGCTGAAACGTAGTGGTGTATTGGTAAACATGTGCATTATCATCTGCTTATATTTATACACAAAGGTATCTAATAGATAATTTTATTTATCAGATAATATTTGTAATTAGATTAGGTTTCAAAGAAAATAAATTTCAATTTAAAATTGCAAAGGGCATTGTACGCTATTCGTTTCATACGAATATAAAAAATGAATAAATATCTATTCATTAGATGTTAATAGCTCGGAAAGGTATTTCAATTAAATTTTATCTTGTTTTTTTATCGATGACACACGACTATGTAAAGGCCAGCTATCCTAAGGTAATAGAGCAAAAGTCAACTATTGAATATTATCATAAGGTAATTAGAAACATGCCCTTTGACAATATATGATTACTGTCGTTCATGATATTTTGTCGGAAGAATATATATAACTCACGTTTTTCGAAATTTTTTATACGGATGAATAATTCGTCGTCGAGTGTCATACATAAACGATTTCTTTCCATGATTTTAACACTCATCATTCCCTCGAGTCGCATGCGATGAATCAGAATGTGTCACGAATGGTGCGAAAAACCATGTCAAGAAAAATCAGTTTCATGCTCAATTGTTCAATTATATCGAAAGAATTTTAACTATTTTTTTCGAATAAAATAAATACGGATTTGCATTATGTACTTGAAAAAGACAACTTCCGATCAAATCATAATATTCATTATCTGTCAAGATAAGAAAAACGGATAGCAGCTTTGCATAATGTTTGTTTACTTTACGTGGATAGCGTGGTTGCCGTTAATTTTTAATACAAAAAATATAAGCCCATACATTTGGGCTAGACAAAAAAGTTTGTTTTTTTCTTGTTCCGACTTTCATTGTATAATTACACCATTCTCGTCTTACGCGAGTATGACTTTGCTAGACGTACATTAATATCACTTTTACAGGTAAAGGTGAATGGTAGCGTTTGCATTTTACAAAAATTTTATCTAGAAGGTGGTGGCAAACATGTTCGATCCATCTATAGTACCTCGCGTTCTCGCAATGGCCGCTACTGTGAGTGTCATGGGAGTTGTGGTTGCTGCTGTTGTATATATCGGTACAAGCACGCCAACTGCGAAGCCAGTGTTTGAATCCGAGATGCAGCTTGCTATTGATCGCCCTATCGCTGTCTATGAATTAGACTTCTTCTTCAGTCCCCGAGCAACATTGGCAGATTTCATTGAAAGTTTAAACGCCATATTTAACTCAGATTTCCCAGGCTCATGCATTAAAGTTATTGTTACAGCTTTCTCCGTAAAACCAATTATGGTACCTGGATCTTCGAATGGTATGGACCAAACAAAGAAAGACACGCCAGCACTCGTAGTATTGAATGCATCTGCGTACTTTACTGAAGCTAAAACCGCGCAACAAATTCGTACAGCTCTTACAAATTATACACGTCTCATCGTTCTCATTAACAAATATAGTGGGCAACCGAGTGGAAGATTAAGCACTATAGATATGCAAAGATCAACTTTTACAGATGCTGTTCCAGAAGAAATAACACGATACAGAGCAAAAGCGCTAAAAGATATTACAGTCGATGATATACCATCAGTTCCTGACCCTGTACCAGAACCTGATGGTGTCTCAACAACTTCACCACCCCCATCAGCCAGAACTTGCGACCGCTTTATGCCTGCATATATGAGTGTAACATTCGAGCGTTCCTTTGCTGCCATGGAACAGCTGGCATTTGTTGATCCCGTCTCAACTCTCCGTGATCTTGCTGCCACTGTTCAAAACAAGATTTTCTCAACTTTCAGTATAACTTTCGTTAAGTTAGAAATATTATTGTTTTCCGACAGCCCAATTTTCATTTCACAAACCAATACGGTACTCACTACTGTTATTTGTCGGATCTTTTTGACAAGCCACCAACATAGCACGCTGATTGCAAGTAGTTTCGGAGCTTCCACGCAATACATTACACTATTGAATACTTTCGACGATTCTAGTTCCGCTCTCGCTTCCTTTTCCCCCAAATATTCAATTTTCACCAACTCCTATGATCAAGCACTCACTAGCAAAGAAACTACCGAGCTCACTGGTCTTTGCATCAAAAACCTATACACCGTAACGATGTCTACTCCAACAACGACAACACGAAAACCTACAACGCCATACACGACTCAACCTACAAAACCTTCTACGTCCCCGACAACGATACTAACGGTACCAACCACAGCCTCCACGCTGTCCACAACCGTTTATCATCCACCTACAACCACTACTACTCGAGCCCCGACTACCACCACATCGAGCACAACTTCTACCACGACAACTACAACCAGTGCAAGCACAAGTAGTACTAGCACCAGCACTAGTACCAGTACCACCACCACCTCAACAACAACGGCAACTACCACTAGTACCACTACCACTACCACAACGACCGAAACTACTAGCACCACCAGTATCACCACCACTACAACAACAACTGCCACTACTAGCACCACCAGTACCAGTACCACCGCCACTACAACAACGACCGAAACTACGAGCACCACCAGTACCAGTACCACCACCACTACAACAACAACTGCCACCACTAGCACCACCAGTACCAGCACCACCGCCACTACAACAACGACCGAAACTACGAGCACCACCAGTACCAGTACCACTACGACTACAACAACAACTGCCACCACTAGCACCACCAGTACCAGTACTACCGCCACTACAACAACGTCCGAAACTACTAGTACCACCAGTACCAGTACCACTACGACTACAACAACAAGTGCCACTACTAGCACCACCAGTACCAGTACCACCACAACTACCGCAACTACTAGCACCACTAGTACCACTAGTACCACCACCACTACAACCACAACCACTGAAACTACTAGCACGACCAGTACCAGTACCACCACTACTACCACAACAACTGAAACTACTAGCACCACCAGTACCAGCACCACCAGTACCAGCACCACCAGTACCAGCACCACCAGTACCAGCACCACCAGTACCAGCACCACCAGTACCAGCAGCACCACCACTACCACAACAACAGAAACTACTAGCACCACTAGTACCAGTACCACCACTACTACCACAACAACTGCAACTACTAGCACCACCAGTACCAGTACGACCACCACGACAACAACAACTGAAACTACGAGCACCACCAGTACCAGTACCACCTCTACTACCGCAACTACTAGCACCACTAGCACCAGTACCACCACCACTACCACAACAACCGAAACTACTAGCACCACCAGTACCAGTACGACCACCACGACAACAACAACTGAAACTACGAGCACCACCAGTACCAGTACCACCACCACTACCACAACTACTAGCACCACCAGTACCAGTACCACCTCTACTACCGCAACTACTAGCACCACCAGTACCAGTACGACCACCACGACAACAACGACTGAAACTACGAGCACCACTAGTACCAGTACCACCACTACTACCACAACAACTGCGACTACTAGCACCACTACTACCACAACCACCGAAACTACAAGCACCACCACTACCACAACAACTGCAACTACTAGCACCACGAGTACCACCACGACCACAACAACAACTGAAACTACAAGCACCACCAGCACCAGTACAACTAGCACCAGTACCAGTAGTACCACCAGCACCAGTAGTACCACCAGTACCAGTAGTACCAGCACTACCAGTACCGCCAGTACCACCACAACGACTGTAACTACTAGCACCACCAGTACTAGTACGACCACCACCTCAACGACAACTGACACTACCAGCAGTACTAGTACAACGAGTGTTAGCACGAGTACCAGTAGTACAAGCACGACCAGTACTACTAGTACTACCACCAGTGCGACGACTAGAACGACAACGACCACCAGCGCAAGCACATCCAGTACTAGCCCTTCGACAGCTAGCACAAAAGGTAGTACGACGATGGTTACAACGGCATTGCAGGCTACTACCGGATTATCCACAATTGGAACTCCAGCGGTTACGACCACGTCAAGATGTCGTTTGAACGATGGAGCTCACGAGGCATATATGAGTCTCGGTTTGTTGTTGTCGATAGCGAATGATGACAATACAGAGTATTTCGATATGTCGTCAGCGTTTGAAAATTTCAGATCGACCATAAATACTCGATTGCAAGCAATGTTCCCAGCAACGTTTCTGAAGTTCAATATTTTAATGATGTCAAATGGACCGATAGAATTTACAGCAGCCGGAAGAAAACGACGAAAGCGACAATTAAATCGAGCAACAGTTGTAATCGTGATTGGTAATGCATATTTTACCGAAAGTGTGGCACGAGCAAATATTCGCACATCCTTTCAAGGTTATACACTAAACATAGATCTTAAACGCAGCGATGATAGCAGAAGTTCAAGAGTCAGCTACTTTTCTGCTGATCATTCAATATTTGGTGACACAATGCTAACAGACTTAAACAGTGATGAAATCGCTTATTTGACTCCTGTTTGTTAAATTGAATCTTCTTGGAACATGTTTTCAAAATGTGTAAGAATTTCTAAGACCATCAAATTGTCTTTAATCGTTGGTTACGTCTTTTGCAACAAATTATTTATTGTCTCAACAGTTTTACTGTGTTTTTTTTTCTTTCAGTACTAACAATATATATATAGCATCTATTTAGCGAGATCATGTAAAGTGGAATCATTCAGTATTCAAGTATACACTACGCACATGTAATATTTGTGGTGGAGGAAGAATGCTTCATTGTTCTCAATGAATATATATATATATATTGTTTATTTTAAAACAAGAGAATTTGGCATTTATTCCGTGGGTTCGTACGATGATTTCAACAAATCTCCCTTTGAGACTACACTATATTGATATTTATTGATAAGATATACAATCACAATAAAAAGTCTTAAATGGAATATGCGGATGCGGAAAACAAGTTTATTTCATCTTGCTAATGGACTAACAGATGTTGACCGACGAGAAGCATAGCAATCGATAATAGTGATGCCAGATACCGTTTTGTACTTGAGATTTCAGTCGCACCTGCTGGCATTAAATCTACCAAAGTCTTGATATTCATTGCTGGTAAATGTTTATTGCAATAATTCGTAGAGCAACAGCTCACACGATGATTTGCTTCATCTACTTCTTCACAGTCTTTTATACCACGTAAAATAACCTTTGTTTCACCTGTACTTGGATTCCACGATTGTTCGCTCTAGAATGAATGCGATAATTGAGTCAAAGTAACAATTACTTCGTCCGTATTGGATATGCTTACCATACAAGAATAACTTGGATCGTAGCCGGCTGTATCGATTGTGTTTTCATTACTCTCATCCCCTGCATCGAAATACAGTGGTAAAGGGCAGTAGAAACCACCTTCGTTACATGTATAACACTGAATAGCATCTAATTGACGAATGAGTCCTAAACAAGTTCAATGATAATTACTGCAAGAGCTCGTCGTTCCTCTCACCAAAAAGAAGAAATATCACAACCGTAAAAAGCATGCTTGACATGTGTTGCCTCGTTGAAAATGACATACTAACAATGTTGATCACAACATATGAGAAGTTCTCTCTTTCTATTGAGTTTTCTTCGCACTTGCCATTCCACAGATGAATAAATACGTGTTACACTATTTATTCTTCTCCTTCCGAAAAAGAATGCAAGCAACTTCTTTCTCGAACACATCTCAATGACCTGATCGAGCATAATTGAAAAGGCTTGATATTTACAAATAGAATATCTTTGTTTTTCTTCTCGGCAAAAAATTTGTGCACAACCTTTTCCTCAAATATGTTCTATGTTGTGATCGGAAGAATTTCTGTTTACAAATAGTACATCTTTGATTTTCTCACCGGAAACTAAGACAATCAAAATTTTATTGAAAAAAAAGCCCAGGACATCAAGGATTGTTTTATTCAAAAAACATGGAGCAATAACATCTGCAAATCGAAGAAATTATTGTCGACAAAGATGTCAAAGAGAAAGATACTGATCTGACAAAGTTGATGTTCGTTTTCAATCAGATAGGTTTATTGAACATAAAAGAGAAAGAAAGCAAAAAGTTATTATCATTCAGATATGTAAAGAATTCTTTCGCGTTCTTTCTCTCGACTACGCATATATCTCGCGTTATCGAGGTCAATCAATATGTCAGTGTTTCATCGTTCTACTTCAATGCGTCTACTAACAATTATTTAAACAAGCTGATAGTGCACTAGTATTAACGATGAATACAATCGATGCAGATGCTCGTCGTCTTCAGTCACTTGGTTACAAACAAGAGTTAACACGAGGTTTTACTTGTTTAACTAATTATGGAATGTCTTTGTCAGTTATCAGTGTGACATCAGGTCTTTCGTCACTTTTCTCCTATGGAATGATTACCGGCGGCCCAGTCGTGATGATCTGGGGATGGTTAGTCGTTTGTTTTTTCACTCTCTTTGTTGTCTTCGGTATGGCTGAAATCTGCTCGGCTTATCCGACAGCAGGTGGGCTATATTATTGGACAGGTATACTCGTTCCACAACGACACAAAGCATTGGCAAGTTGGTTTACAGGTTGGTTTAATTTAATCGGACAATTTGCCGTGACAGCAGCAATCGATTTTGGCCTTGCGACATTAATTGCAAGTGTGATTTCATTGTGTTTTGATATGCAATGGTCGCCTAAACCATATCATATTCTTTTAATTCATTTATCGATCATCATCAGTCAAGGAATATGTAATTCGTTAGGTGTACGTTTTCTCTCTTGGTTGACGTATGTATCAACATGGTGGCAGTTGTTAGCACCGATAATTGTTTCAATCACACTGTTAGTTGGTGCGAAACCAGGACATCAATCGATGAAATTTGTTTTTACTGAATTTAAGAATGAAACCGGATGGACAAACAAAGTAGAAAGAAAATTTTTCTCATGCGAACTGGCTTTTAAATAGTTGCTTTCTGAAGGTCTATGTCATTTTAATGGGTCTTCTACAAGCTCAATATGTGCTGACGGGTTACGATGCATCTGCACATATGACAGAAGAAACAAAACAAGCAGATAAAGCAAGTCCATGGGGAATGATCAGTGCGATACTAGTTTCAGCTGTTATCGGTTGGCTTTTTCTTATTGCATTTTGCTTCGGCATACATGATTACAATCATACTCTTCAAACTCCAACTGGCTTTCCAATTACACAGATTTTACTTGATAATTTCAGTCGCGAATGGACTCTTGTCTTCATGTCTCTTCTACTAGTTGCGTGTTGGTTCTGCGGTCTAACATCAATTACAGCCAATTCAAGAATGATCTACGCCTTTAGTCGAGACCATGCTTTGGTAAACTATGCATTTCTCTCATCGATTATTTCTCAATAATTCTTCTCTTCAGCCTGGTTCTCGTTGGTGGCATACGATTCATTCACGTTTATCATGTCCTATCAATGCTGTATGGTTATCATGTGCTATTGCATTTCTTCCTGCTTTGCTCTATTTAGTCAATACAACTGCTTATGTGGCCATTACTAGTCTTTCAACAATTTGTTTATACATATCATATGCGCTACCAATTGGATGTAAACTTTTTTATCCGAACATATTTCTTGGCGGTCCGTTTCATCTGGGAAAGTTTTCCACGCTCATCAATACGGTTGCTGTCCTTTGGGTTAGTGTTATTGTCGTTCTCTTCCTTATGCCACCAGTCCATCCGGTAACAGCAGTTACTATGAATTACGCATCGGTTGGTGTTGGAGGTGTACTGATCTTTGCTGGACTTGCTTATGTTCTTTCGGCAAGATATTGGTTCTATGGGCCAGCGACGAATGCAAACATAAACATCGATAAAATTCATATGAATAAAAATTTCATCTAAATGTCGATCCAATAAAGATATGTGTGAATTGAATATCACATGTGACTTGTAAATGCACTATTATCATACAACTCATATGCCAATCTAGATTTGAGAAAAATAGTCCGCTTTACTGCTTGGTATACCTCCGAGGAAAAATAGTGGCCATCCCATTTTTTTTCAATTGTTTTTAAAGCAGCTGTTTCTGTCTCTCACGAATTATAACCATCTTTGGCTAATATTAGACAGATAATAAGATAAATTTGATCGAAAATAAGATTTCTCCTATAAATAAGATCGATCCCAGTCTACTAATTGACATAAAAAATGAATACTATTTTACGTATTTCATTTTTCCTCACATACTGTTTTACAGCGATCTCTGGTCACGGTTATTTAATTAATCCACCTGCCCGTAGCTCAGCATGGCTTGTTGATCAATCGTTTCGACAATGTTGCACCTATTCTAACCATATGGAAATGTTCTGCGGTGGCACTCAACACCAATGGGCAACTCATGGTTGGTCTGCTAGTGAAACTAGTGATATCTAATATTCTCAGAATCTTCTAGGTGGTAAATGTAGTATTTGTGGTGAACCATATGATAGAGTAAATAAGGTATTTGAAAAAGGTGGAGCTATGTATCTTGGTAAGATTGTGAAGACATACAATCAAGGACAACAAATTGATGTTACAGTTGTAGTAAGTTTCTATGAAGTAGAATTTTTCAAGTCTACAACCATTCTTCTATACTTTTTTATTCTTAGTTAACAGCAAACCATAAAGGTTACTTTGAATTTCGTTTATGCAGTTTGGATAGTAATCCAAACTCAGAAGCTACACAAGATTGTCTTGATCGTCGTGTATTGAAAATTGCTGGTACCGATTCGACAAAGTATCGCGATGTTGATAAATATGGTTCAGAAGCAATTACTGTTCGCCTTCAACTTCCTGCCGATGTAGCTTGTCGTCATTGTGTTTTTCAATGGAAATATGTAACAGGTAACAGTTGGGGTACTGATCCATTCACAGGTCAATCAGGTCTTGGTATGGGTATTGAAAATGAGACATTCATGGGCTGTGCCGATATCTCCATTGTTGCTAATGGTACACCTGTAAATACTCTACCGCCGATTGATATAACTACCGGGTAAACAAAGAATTTTATGAATGACGATGTTGTTAACAAATGAATTTGAATTCAAGAACTTTATCTACGTCAACAAGTCGTCCAGAAGTAACAACTGCTCAAGCTACAACATCACGGCCATCAGGTGGTGTCACAACGTGGTCAGCCAGCAATGTTCAATATAAAACCGGCGATATTGTTATGTATGAAGGTTCTAAATATCTTTGTGTTCACGATCATACATCATTTCCCGGTGCTGAACCAAGTCCAGTTACATGGGCATGGTGGAAACGTATCGACTAATCAGTTATCTATTTTAATAAGAGTCGTGAACAGTATAATATTATGAATTCTTTTCGGCGAATAAAATGATCAACATATTGACAGATCTATTCGATGTCATACGAGAGGAATGGTTTCATAATATGAAGTATGAACGATTACTACGTAAAAATGTTGAGTCAAGAACATGTCATTTCTCATCGGTGGTAATCAATACCTCACTTGATTTTTGAATAAGTACACCATAGGATCAAATGTTCTATTTCAAAGGTAATCTTTCATATGTGATTCACTTGATCAGTTTGTTCGTTGACGTGATCATCATGTACAAGTTGCTGATTTTCTTTTCCTTTTGTCTAATATCAATCGATGCTCATGGTTATCTCTTCGAACCCGTCGCTCGTAGTTCAGCTTGGCTTGTTGATCCAGCGTTCAAAGAGTGTTGTACTTATTCGGGACATATGGAAATGTTCTGTGGTGGAATTGGACATCAGTGGAATAACAATGGTCTATATTTGGCTTGAAATTGCTTGACACTGATGAGAATCTTTTCTTTAGGAGGAAAGTGTGGCATCTGCGGTGAACCATACGATCGAGCTGCGAAATTATTCGAGAAAGGCGGCAGATTGTACCTAGGTAAAGTAGTTCAAACCTATGCTCAAGGTCAACAAATTGAAGTAAAAGTTAAAGTAAATGAATATTTCCTAGAAGTCAACTTTGTCTAAATACTTTACATGTACGTAGTTATCAGCGAATCATCAAGGATATTTTGAATTTCGTTTATGCAGTGTGGATAACAATCCCGATGCCGATGCTACACAGGAATGTCTTGATAATCATTTGCTAACAGTCATTGACTCGAATTCAACTAAGCATAGCGATATTTATCGACACGGCTCAGGAATGATCACTGTTCGTGTACAATTACCTTCAAATCTAGCTTGTCAACATTGCGTATTTCAATGGAAATATACAACAGGAAATAATTGGGGTAGAGATCCAATAACGAATAAGTCGGGTCCTGGTTTAGGAAAAGAGAATGAAACATTTATGGGTTGTTCAGATATCAGTATTACACCAAAACGAACAACGACAATTCGTCCACCGAGACTTTTCATTTCAAAAGCTGCTGCGACTACAACGAAGAAAAGTTCAACATCGACTTCAGCTGATTATTGGATACTATTACTTTCGAAATATTGGTCCTTGCCACCAATGAAACATCAATCCAAAACAACAACAACAACAACAACAACAACAAAGATGAGCTCATTCAAGTCATCAAAGAAAACAAAAACGAGAACAACCACTCCCATAACCACTTCAGCTGCCATTATCCGTTCCGTCGCACAAATATCCATGTGGTCTTCACTATTAGTTCCGTATAAAAAAGGTGATGAAGTCGTGTATAACGGTACAAAATATCGTTGTGTAACTTCACACCGTTCGTACGCAGGTTCAGAACCCAGTTTGCTTACATGGGCTCTTTGGCGAAAAGTGACATAGATATTTCATACTTACTTTTTTGCATTATTCTTCATCCCATGATAAATAAATACACTCTAGCTCGTAGGAATAATTCACGCTGGCGTATTAGATTTATTTACCAAGTAAAAAGAAAGGAAAAGAGGAAAAAACAAAATATCTATCTATGCAAACAGAAGAGAAGGGAGAACTTATGTACATGAAGACCAAAAACAGTTATCAATTCGAAATATTATGTCATTTAAGAGGTTGTTCTGATGATACTGTGTAGCTTTTAACACGTGAGAATACCAAAGGTGGAAAATTGTGTCGGTCATCGACTACATCGAGTAGTGATGAACTTTCTATACCTGTACGTCTAAATGAAAAGGTTTCCGTCGAAGAGAGATCGAATCATTGCAAGTGAAAGTCCTTACTTATCAATCGATCGTATTTCATAGTGTACCCAAGTCAATTGATTATGTTTTCGCTTTCCAGTACTACACATTTCAAACTCCTAAAAACCACGCAAGGAAATGAAGTTTTATCGATTGTAAAATCAATTCTAACCATATGCATTGTCTGGTCGATATCCGGTGCTGGTATATTTCTTCCACCACGTCGTTGTATATTAGTGACCATAGTATTTGGCTGTCCCGTACGTTTTGCTACTATTAATACCTAAAATTGTCGTACTATATTAACAAGCTGATTGACTTCTTTAAGGTTTCATTACTCGATTGCTTTGCAACCGATAGTTTCCATACAACAGCGAAGAATCACGAATAGAGTATCGACTTTTCAAGCGACCCACTGTCGAACGTGGCTCATCGGCTATGATATAAATAGAGTTTTCTTTCCTTCGTACATCCAAAGCATTCTCTTACCACTTGTGTATATCAAAACAATACCTAAACAATAACAAAAAACACTTTCGATTAACACAATTCCTCTCAACAATCAAGAAAACAAACCATCAGGGAAAAATCGTATATATCGGTAGTATTCTACCAAATGCCATGATGAATAGAATGGATCTAACGATTGTTCACCTGCGCGGACATACGTTGTACGACTGATATACACACCTACGGACGAAATTCGATATTCGAGATGTTGATTGCGAACGTTTTTTTTTTCTTACCGTTAAAAATCACATGTGGTCTATTAATAAACATGTGTCGCCAATTGATATTTGTCGATGCATTTGCGATGTGAATACCCCATGTTTTAAAACAAATTGTTTTCCATAGTTGAGGATCACGTGCGCATATATAAAAACCACGACAGACACAAGCGCATTGTTCTAATGAACGAATGTCCAAATCGGATGAGACAACCCAACGAAATATATAAATCAGCACTTCCGATGGAATGGAGGATATATGTGTAGCCTAGGGAAAGCACTATCTGGCAAAAATATGTCAACCGAGAAAAGTTACTTGTTGAGGAAAATTTTTTGTGCATATTGTTGAACGTTCGTTTTCATCGACGGTCATACGTTGTAAAGTATCCACAAGATCCTCTGCATCCTCAGTTATATCGCCAGTGCGAGGACTTTCATCAGCGGATTCCCTACAGAAAACAGTTTATGATCTCTTAGTTGAATTTCGCGATATCAACTTGTACATACAGTTGATAATCGGAATCCATTGTTGTTCTTGATTGTTGTTGCCCTTTACGAGCCATACGAGTTTCAATATCAGGAACCAACTGCATCGCTGCTCGATAATATTTTATAGCTAAAAATAGCACAAAACAGATTTCGAACGAGTACATCGGTTATCTTCTGACCTTCGTAGAACTTTGCTTCACGTTCTAATTCAGCTGCTCGTTCGAAGAAATGTTTTGCCTGAAAATTTTGTTTCATGACAGCAGTGTTCTTGGAAATTCAGTTTATTGCTTTACTTGTTCTTCATTGTTGATAGTCTCATCTTGTTGCTGTTCTTTTGGTTTATCGTTGATAACGTGTCCGTAGACAGTTCGTTGTTGAATTTCTTTTTTCCATTTGTTACGAAACTCGTCAAGTTGTTGTTCAATGCGACGTTCATTTTGACGTTGCTCTGTCATTTCGTAATCGCAATCATCACTATCTTGATCGGAATTCTACGATGAAAGTTGAATGACGATTTTCCGCTAAGAACTAGACGCAAATACACTACCATTGTTAGACGAAACTTGGGTTCTTAGAGATCTCGGAATGAAAATTGAATAACTGTCTGATAAAGTTTTGCACGGCAAACACTAGCCATTCGATGAAAGACAAAATAAATATTGCAAAATGAAACTTATTTTCACCTTAAATATTTGGGATGCATTATGGACCAAATCCAAGTTTTATTCGAAACATTACCGACATCTATATAGTTTCACTTCGAATCTATTTCAATGTTGAAATTCAAGTGACGCCTAGGATTTTTGGAGAACTAATTTTTATTTTTGTTTCTTCATGTAACATTCAGATGAGGTCACTACTTACCTGTGCATGAATGACCACTCTACTATATGTTTTATCAATAAAACCAATATTTATTCACAATACGTCATACATATTTTTCAAAAGTCTACACATTGTATTTGATTTCTATCTTATCAAATTTGTTTCATCCGAGTTTTCGCTGGTAAAACGATATCATGATGCTTTATTAAGCTAGTCAATGTTTTCATCGGTTGTCGTTTAAAATGCTTGTAAAATAAAGTGAATTGGTCAACGTAACGATCAACAACACCGTCATGATCAAATGGAAACAAAAGTTTTTTTAAATGTGGGTACAATGGTTGCGGTGGAGTTGGTAAATCATAATACAAAACCTCTGCATGCCACATTAATAAAGTTACACATAAACCAAGAAACATATCGACTGAATAGTGATGTAGTTCAACAACTGCTCGAATCATTCGTTGAATAACTTGAGTCCAAATAAAGACACGTATGAAAAAACGTAATATTGCAAACGGATATGATGAACAGAGAATTGTGACAGCTAATGCTGATATGGTATAAACAATAACATGGCCACTATATAACAAATCATTACATGCTCCACCTAGAAAAAAAGAACAGAGATTTCGAAACATTTCTTTTCGATGTGAGCGTCAAAAGAACTTTACCAGGACTTAAATTGAATGGGTCAACAGGTCCTGTAAACTTGCATTTCGGATTTGGATTAGGTAAGATGGTTAAAGAAAACGTGATTACGCGAAGTGCACGTGCTAAGGTTAAACATCGAACACCTTTCTGTAAAACTTTCAAACCCGTTGGTCCATGCAGAAAGCAATAAAATATCCATAGAAATAAGACACTATTCGTTTCGACTTGATACGTCTCTACCCCAATGTAAGCGAACTCTACAAACGACCGATTTTCATTACTTAGATATTCTTCAGCTAGATCGCGTAATGGAGTTCGATTGTGTGCTTTTAACGATATGACTTGTATCATTGTATTTTCAGTAAGTAATTCAATTCCCATGAAGACAAGATCACGTATTGATTTCAACGCATAGACACCCATTTCCGGTGTAATATGGTAGTGGTACATTTGTGATATTGCATTGATGTGAAATAACGCTGAAAAGAGATTTCCACGCTCGTCTTGAGCGGTATGATGGTGACGACGATGCGATACCTTAGGCATATGCATTACGTTCGGTTTCGCATCAGTAATTTAACATTCTTTGTCAATGAAAAGTACAGAATATAATCGCTAATGCTTGGTTGTGCAATGTACGAAATACACACACGAAGGTAACTATAATGATCAATGAGAATGGTCTGAATACGTCGCTGACTTGTATGTCAATATATGACTAGCGATGTTTGATCTCTCGTTTCTTCAGTTGTTTATTTATTGTACATACCAATTATATGTATTGACTTCCTTGTCAAGACGAAAATAAACATCCTACTCATGTAGAAGAAAAAGAATGATTGATCTTAACTTTTTGTTTCTTCTTGCGCACATTACGATGAGTAATTCAATTCGATCAAATCAGTATTTCAATCAAAGGACATGCCTGTGTCGATCTAATCAATGTAATGGCCGTGCACACGGCGACTTCTTTTACAACTGTCAAACTCTTCTTTTTCCGAGGAAGCAAATCTTTTTGAATGACGTTACAGAAACATGACACAATTATATAGAACTAAGATCAAGGAAAGAGGACGTATATGTATGTATCTTACGCACGTTCAAGTTGCTAAAATACTGAAATACCCTTCGTGGTTCTCCTTGACGATAGTTATACTTGATTCAAGTATTGCAGAAGTGTGAAATTAGCATATATGAATCAATAACATCAGTCAGGCATAGCTTTTGTAGCAATGACGGATTCAAGAACAGAAGCATTTCGAAAACACCATGGAATATTATCATAAGGCGAAAAAAAGTACAAACAAACGCCCTCACGTACTTTAATGATATTCATGGGCACCGGATGGTGTCTTTGTTCAGTTGAATTAATTCTATCTATGCCGTATGGCCAATATAAGAAAGTTTGCTTTTTCGGAATATATTTGAGAATTGAGTAGCACATATCACGAACAATGATGAAACTAATTTTTATTCTGTGTTTTCTTGTTGTGGCACTGATAGCCGATGAAAGTGGAAATATGATCAATGCTAGAGATGGTGACGGTCTCTCAACACCCGTCGAAACAGACTTGAGTACCACTGCTTTGGAAGAGCAAAAAACCGATTCACTCAATGTCTCAACTGAATCTGCTCAAAACACTGATGCTCAAGCTGGCGTGGAAAACGGTGGTAGTGTACACAACGATACGGACAAGGAAGAACCAAAAAATGATGACGACCGCAAGGAAGAACCGAAGCCTGACGAAGATAGCAGCGAAGAGGAGCCAAAAAATGATGATGACGGTAACGAAGAATCAAAGAATGACGACGACCGCAAGGAGGAACCGAAGCCTGACGAAGATAGCAGCGAAGAGGAGTCAAAGAGTGATGATGGTGATGAACGATCCAAAGATGATGATCGTAAGCGAGAACCAGAGGGCAATGGTGAAGATTGCAGGGGAAAATCAAGTGATGACCGTGATCAAAAGGGAGAAGTCTTGGAGATTCAACAAATCGCGGAAGTAGCTGATCTACTCGAAACTGAAGAGAGTAACGAAAACGCTGCTGAAGAACAAACGGACTAACATTCGCAATAAATCTCTATATAGCCATTCACATTTTATCGAACATAATCCCATCTTTGCTTTTACAAAAAAGAACGAGAATAAATTTTTCTTTAACAAGTGTTACAGCGACATCTATGAACGTACATGTATAATTGTATAATTATGATGACGTCCCGTCTTGAATAGGTTAGAGTTCCTATTATTGATGCAAGGATATGAATATGATGAACTAAACGAGCTTTCCGGAAGGTACCATTGAAAATACGTCTCAATGGCATAGAGAATTGTACAATAGAAATGGAAAATCGAAATTCGATGAGTCATCGTCGTTTGTCATATGTAGTAAAACATAAGGTGCAACAGTAGTCACTTGATAAGCTTTTGTTTGATGATCTTATTCTAATAATAAAAACAAATCCAGGTTTCGTTTGTCTCAACGCAAGAAACCTTTTTCGGAATTGGATATTTTATTGGAAACTTTCCAATTTTTTAGATTAATATGGCTGAACCATCTATATCTACGCTAGAATCGCTACCTAATGAAGTTTTATTCAATCTATTTGAATATTTCGATGCTCAAGAACTTTACAGATCTTTTTATCATCTTAATTCGCATTGGAATTGTCTTCTTCAATCTTTATCACGTCTCTCACTTATGTTTCGAACATCTGATATAAATTCGTTCGAAAAGTATCATCAAAACTTCCCATCACAAATTCACACTCTAATGATCTATTCACAGGATAACATTGAAATTAGCCAATTTTTCAATCTACGTAATCTATTAATTTGGTCGCCAACTGCCGAACAAATTCTTCAAATTAATACTCAATCATTTCGATCGATCGTCTACCTTTACATTTCTTTCACCATTTTGAAACCTTCCATTTCTTCTCTATACGAAAAAATCTTTTCAAACGGTTTTCCCTCTCTAAAATTCTGTTATCTATGTGGACTTGAATCACCCGAAAATAATATTCAATGGAGTCAATCACCAAACCTTCAATATTTACATACATCATCCAATCCTGCATCTATTCTCAATTCGTCGCCCAATTTATCTTCATTAATTTTAGATCTAATCATCCTAGATGACAAATCTCTACACTTCAATCCACACTTCAACTTAAGGCGCTTAAAATTAGTTATTTCGCATATCACATGGCTAGATGACACGAAACACTTGACAACATTATTCACTCTATTACCAAATCTGGAACGCTTGTCCTATCATAAGACTTACTCAATTACGAATTCACTGGATATTCTGCTGAGCTATGATTGGTTAGGTGGTATTCTAATGAAATATTTGCCGTTATTGAAACGATTTATTTATCACCTTCGTGTTTGTAATTTATTTTCCATTGATCAAACAGAATTCAATGAACACCGATCGAAATTTAGAGACAATTTCTTTAAAATTTTCCCCAACCGATCAAAATATTCTTTCCGAATTAATTAAAAATCGAACATATTTGTTTCAGATATGTCTACCCGTTTCGAAGATCTTCCGAATGAATTAATCTTGAAAATATATTCTTATACTAGAATTGACGATTTAGCTTTGGCCTTTTGGAACTTGAATCAACGTTTGAATGATTTAATTCGCTCATTGAAACACTTGTCATTAATTCTAGCCACAAAAACAGAAACATTTGCTAGTCAACTGTTTTCCCAACAAATTGGTCGAGTTGTTATTCTAACACTGAAAGATATACAACTGAATTCATTTATCAATCTAAGTTCTCTGATATTAAACATTGCTACTGAACATCATCTGAAGCAAATTCAACCGGATGTCGTACCGAATCTTGTTTATCTTTCGATACCAATTGCATTCGAATCACACGTGACCAGACACTTAGCATCTCAACTCTTTTCGAATCGATTCCCAGCTCTTCGTTATGCTGATGTGAATATTGTCGACATACCGCCGATACTCTCATGGTCACAATCTCCATCATTGCAATCTCTTCATCTTTCATCGCCAAGCATAAATATTATTCCTTTAATACTTCAATCATGTCCTCAGCTGATTCATCTACAAATTCGCATGACTAATCAACAGGATTTCGACTCATCGTTGACCGAGCTTCCTAGAACAAATCATCCGTTGAAGAATTTTATTTTTACACAATACCCAACTTCGAAGTCTATTTTTCATATTGCATCACTTTTTCCTGTCATACCCAACGTCAGACGACTCGATTTTCATCTGTGTACAAGTTCATTTACGAATTTAATACAATCGATATCGGAATCATTTCTACAATTGAATTGTTTTGATTGCCAAATCATCGAGTATCCGAATCAAAGTCAATATGCCGATCTTCGTCGCATTCGAAGCAGCCGCGCATGTTATTCGAATATTCAGTGCACATATCAAGAAAAGTCGTTTTGTCTTTACACGACAAAACATCATTGAATGTATGCTTTCGTATTTTGTATTGGAGTGTTCGACATCTCTCGAATAGCAATAATTAGGAACTGAATTTTGATTTTTAGATGACAAATCGATTAGAAAATTTACCAAATGAAATATTAATCGAAATCTTTCATTATTTTGACGCACGAAGATTATATCGAAGTTTCTATAATCTCAATCATCGTTTCAATACTCTTCTTCAATCCCTCACCCATCTATGCTTAATTATTTGGTCGCTTAAAGATGATCTCTACGATGATTTATTTGCTTCACGTGTCCGAACACTGGTCGTGCATTTCGATGTTATTTATACACTTTCTCGATACATCAATGTTCGCCATTTGGTACTTTTTCATTCGAAACACGAACAAATCTGTCAAATTATGAACGAAGGATTTCATTTAGAAACGATTTCGTTAATCTCACCACGATGTTTCTATTCCACACTTGGCGTTTACGAGATGATCTTCTCAAACCAATTTCCTCGATTAAAATTCTGCCATCTAACTAATGTTTATTCTCCATCTATCGAATTACGACAATTATCGTGGAGTCAATCGCCATTACTACGTTCTCTGCGTATTTCATCTCATGATTCACTTATTCACGTGGCGATCCTGAACGCTTGTCCAAATCTGTCATCTCTTAGTCTTTCGTTATTTCATCTAGATCAAACGCCATTGAATGTGCAATCCCATCGGAATTTGAAGAAGTTAAAATTCATCATAAATAATCTTCGGTGGCCATCAGATGAGACAATATTCGAAACATTTTTCTGCACGATGCCTTGTTTAGAACGGTTGGTCATTCAACGTTCAGCAGCATTACCAGATATTCTCAATGAACTTCAGCAATTCGATTGGCTTGCCAAGATCATTCTTCGTCGTTTACCACAATTGAAGCAATTTATCTTCTATTTACAATTAGTAAATACCAGTGTAATGAATCCATTGGATTTTAATCAATATATTTGTCAGATCAAAAAGAATTTTGTGGATAAATTTCACAATTATACAAATTATCGTCTTCTTATCAATCAGGCTTAACTTTTGTGAATGCTTTTTTTTGCTCTGTATATATCAGTCAGAATAGTTTTATCTTTCGATAATGTGAAAGATGCAATTGGATGATAAAAAAATTTTTCTTGAATTATTTGTAGATAAACAGTACAGCATGATCTTCGTGTATCGGATTGTATTTGGACTTCTTTCAGATGTCATCGAAAATTGAATGGTTACCGAATGAAATCTTTGTGGAATTATTCGAATATTTCAATGCTCAAACGCTTTTTAATGCTTTTTATAATCTAAATTCTCGCTTTAATAATCTGCTATCTTCATTAACCAATGTTTCTTTCACAATCTTAGCGAAGAGTGCGAATCAATTAGATCATTCTCACAGATTTGTTACAGCAATCAACAAATTATCAATTGGGCCCATGGTCAATAGTCATTTCGATCGTTTTATCAATGTTCGTTGTCTTAGTTTGACATATGTGTTGAATGAAACGTTAACTTATTTGCAAAACAACGACATTTTACCTTGTTTAGAACATCTTCTTATTGTCTATCGAGTCAATCAACCATCCGCTACCGGTTTACATAAAAAAATTTTCTCCAACGGCTTCCCTCATCTCATATCTTGTCAACTACTTGGTCTCGGACTGATCAAAACAGCTGACAATTGGACGCAGTCACCTTCATTACGTATTCTCCATATAAGAATGATCAATCTATTGGTTTACAAAGCAATTCTATCGGCTTGTCCTGACCTACACTTTCTTCGTCTCAATATACCGAGAGACGATCTCTCTTGCTGTGATATCAATCCGCATCTGAACATCAAACAAATGATATTGAAAATCCCTCTTCAGTATTATCTGGAAACAGATGAAGTCATCAGTAATTTCCTTGCCAGTACTCCGAATCTCGAAGAATTTTGTATACACAGATTTATTTGGGATATGAATAGCATACTTTCACTCGTGGAATACGATTGGCTTTCGAAGATTATTCATCTTCGCCTACAACACCTCCACCGATTCGTTTTCAAATTACACTTCTCGACGTTTGTCAAACTCCATAAAGCGACTATCAAATCTGTACTCAATCGAATAGATGAACACTTCACCGAGGTTCATGATAAACAATATGAGTCTCGATTAGTTATTCCGTTGACAGATTTTAAGCTTTAGAAGACATACTCGAAAAGTTTAACTTTTGTGAACATGTCTGCTTTGTATTGCGTCCGTTCATGTGAAAAAAAACGACAAAGTGCTTTGTCTACGATTAACACGCGAACAAGTGATCAATTGATTTGTGATTCCTATTGAAACGTACATCTAATTATTGTGGAAAATGTTTGTTTTTAGATTAGTTGTCAACGTAATGAATAAATTCGAAGATTTGCCCAATGAAATTCTCTTGGATGTGTTTCAATACTTCGATGCTCGTGATCTATTTCAATTGTTTTATCAACTCAACACTCGTCTCAATAACCTGCTCAAATCCTCTCAGCAACTCAACTTAATTTTCCATATGCAAATCTTCGCTGATAATCAAATCAATGATCTTCATCTATTTCCTCATTTCACCCACACACTCATCGTCGGTCGAGCGATATTGATCGATCTTAATCAATTTCGTAACATTCGTTCTCTTAAATTAGAATGTCCATTGAAACGAGTTCTATCACAACTGACTTCTCAAAATCTACCCTACCTCGAACATCTTTCCGTATCTCATCTCGGTACGACATATCGCACACTTTGCCGAACTTTTCATCCGTTTTTTTCTTCTTCCGATAGATACATTGACTACTGCAGATGAATGGACCTCGTTACCATCGTTACGTACGTTGAGAATTTCACGTATCACCTTAGTTGTTTACCACGCCATTTTGAAGGCTTGTCAACATTTACATTCATTGGAACTAGCAATGTTTAGTTGCGATGATTCTACACTGAATATTGAATCACATAGCAGACTGAAAAGATTAGTCATGGATGTTGGGGATATGAAATGGCCTTGGACTGATCACGTTTTCGATAGTTATTTATCATGTGCACCAAATATCGAACATTTGATTGTTTATCGATCGATGTTTAGTTCAAAATTGACAGATTCTCTACTGGAATATGACTGGTTAGCATCGAAATTATTTGTATATTTAGCATTCTTGCAACAATTTAAATTCTACTTCAAAATTATTCAAGGACAAATCTATAATGAATCGAATGTCTTATCTCAACTAGAAGAAAAATTTCTTAATTTTCATTGTCATAAATATCAGTCTCGACTCATCATTTACGAATGAAAATGCAAATGTTTACCTGTATATTTGTTTCTTCTAGATCATCTTTAGATATTTATGTAATTCTATTGAAAGTCGAAACACGATAGTGATCAACTGTCTTTCGCTCAGCACTCCTACTGACATTCTATTCTTATCACCATTTCGATGAATATCGTAATATGCAAGTACCACGGTACGATCATAACTCCGTTGAAAGTAAGTGTCTGCATAGTTCTGCGAGCTTGTTGTCGACAAAATGCTATTCTTTAGACGGCAAACAAACGCAAATCTCGGCTAGAAGATCTTCCAAATGAATTGCTTACAGGTACTTTTAGATATCTCAATGCTCGCGATCTCTTTCGTTCATTTCACAATCTCAACGAACGTTTCAATGATCTGATTCAATCGTTTCAATATCTTCAACTATCCTATCACATGAAAGTACCAGTAAACCTCAAATCGAACGATGAACTGTTTTCCTTCTATGTCTATACACTAATCGTTGATGAATGGATTGACTTCAATCCTAAACATTTCCCTAACGTTCGTCGGTTAAAACTGAAAAGTCCAATACCGAAAGTACTCGGACTGTTGAAAGGAAATATTATGCCACATTTAGAACATTTATCTGTTCTATATAAATACACAATGTATGAGATCAATCTTTTACATAACGAAATCTTTTCCAATCGTTTTCCAAAGTTATACTCGTGTGAACTATATGGACAAGAGGGCTTATTGACGATTCAACAATCCGAGCATTCACCGATGATACGAATATTGAAAACTGACCTGATCGATCTGATGATTTATGAAATCATACTTCGAACTTGTCCAAACTTATCGTTTCTCAAGTTTTCTATACAATCACCAAATGATACTTCAACAAATACTTTTCAACACATCAATCTTAAACGTATGGTTATCAACCTAACGAACTCAGACTGGTCAGATGATGATCATACGTTAAGTACGCTTTTATCATATGTACAGAATCTTCATCAACTTGATATTCATCGGCGAAACTATTCCCACAATATTCTCGATTACATTCAATATTGTGATTGGTTGAAATCAATAATAAATCGTCGTCTGCCGTGTCTACGAATATTTAAATTCTATTTTCATATATCAACTGATGAACAATTACGAATAATTCTTCATGAGAATCTTCTCGAACAAATACAAAGTGATTTTAGTAATGTACATACTGAACAGGAATATCAAGCTCAACTAATAATTTGTAGAGAATCAATGTAAATGAAGTTTTCTGGAAATTATTTTTTGAATAAACATATTTCATGAATTACAAACTTTCCATGTATATTTCTTTCTTTTTCTAGATTAGTTGTACATATGTCTGGCTTAGAACGTTTACCCAATGAGTTATTAATTGAATTGTTCAAATATCTCAAAGCTCCGCAACTTTTCCAAGCTTTTTATAATCTTAACTTTCGCTTCAATTATCTCATTCAGTCTTTAACTCATCTGACGTACTCGACGAACGAACAAGACAATCAAACTCAAGCGTATCCATACATTCGCACATTGATTATTGAGAAAACGATTCCAGATAAACTCGTCTGCTTTCCAAACATTCGCCGTCTCATTCTCGACTACGTTACCGAAGAATTTCTTGTGCAATTCAATGGACATACATTGCCGAATTTAGAATATTTAGCTATTTATCATAAAATCCATCCGTTTTATATGCCGGATCTCCGTACTAAGATCTTCTCGGATGTTTTTCCTTCTCTGAAATGTTGTTATATATCTCGAATGAGATCGCCAAGTGCACCGCAAGATTGGACACGATCGTTATCTATACGATTTTTAAGGTTCAATGACATTAATGCATCGATTTACACATCGGTTCTGCTTGCATGTCCAAATTTATCGATTCTGAAATTTAAATTACCAACAAGATCGAAAATCGAGACAAATTTTATCAAGCATATCAATCTGAAGCGATTGTTCATCAATATGAAGTACGACGATTACCCGTGGGATGATGAGATTTTAGAAAGTTATTTGTTATGTGTACCTAATCTCGAACAGTTGAGAATATCTCGGTCAATCTCGATCAATGCTAGTGTCATGCATCATTTACAGTATTATGATTGGCTTTTATCGATGATTTCTAGTCATTTAAGAAAACTTAATCAATTTAAATTTGATTTATACATTCATCGGTCTCAGGAATTAAGTGAAGAATGGAATTATCAGGACGTTCTGAAAAGACAATTTAACAGTGTTCATCTGAATCGATATGAAAGTCGATTGGTTGTTTTTTGAGAATATTTTCCCGTTTTTTTTGTAACAGTTCAATAATGCCTTTTTTAGTTTCTAGTTTTTACAGTATAGTAGAATTCTATGTACATTGAAATCAATAAAATAATCTACCGACACCTATCGACCATTCCATTATTTAACTGTTGGATTAAATTCCGTACCAGTCATACGCTTCACATCAGACATCTTGCTATTTTTCGCACGATATATAGTTTCTTTCTGTATTCAGATGTTTCAGCTACTCCGTCGTTTCGTTTCATTACCAAAACAATCGATTCGTTCGTTTCATTCATTCGATGAAATAACACCCGGAAAGTACATCTCAACTCATCTACAGAACGGTATCGGTTCGCGCTATGTTTGTCAACTGCAACGCTTGACGATCCAGGTGTGTAAAGAATTTCGTACATCGTACGGCACACGAGAATGGATTGCTAATGATTTAACAGCATTTGCTCGTCAACATCCGTACGTTGTGATATACGTTCAACCACGTCGTCATCGAGCACCAAATCTAATCGGAGAATATCTAAGTGGCGATCGTCAATGGATTCCACTATCAAATTGTGACCGACAGCATGTGAATTGGTGGATACACAGTTTATTGACACAACAAGGTGACCCACAATGGAGGTTATTAAAGAAAATGCATACGGATTCACCGTCGACTCAAGGCATATGGACACCATTTACAAATAAACCGACTGATCGAACATTGCGAACATATCCCGACAACGATCTGACCGAAATGGAATTTCCACAAGTAACAGCAACGCAACAAATTCAAGAATTATTCGAACAACAAAAAGCTAGATAAAAAGACCTACGTTTCTGTTAGAATCATTCAGTTAACATTCACCTGTGTTTACTAGATCGATTTTTCTAATGTTAGTAAAGAAAATGTTTTTGTTTGTTTTTTTTTTAGATTTATAAAATTCTTGAAGATAGTTATGATCTTCACGTAGCTTATTCGTCTCTTTACCATTAAATATTATTTATCATGTTCTCCGTTACCGTCTTGAATAGAATCATAATCAATGACACTATTTTATCGAATTATATTTCGACGGAGTTTTCATCGACTAGTGCAATGTTGTCCTTCGATTGATGTTCGTCAATCTCTTACAACTTTATGTTTATTTCTTCTTCTTTCATTTACCACTACAATTATTGTTAATATTTTAATCCCACATTTATTAATCAAAGTTTCATCGCCACCACTCTCATCGATATCATCATCATCGTCGCTCAGTTTACTCACTTCCCGTCATGTGTTCTTTCCAGCCGGCGTCACATCTGTGCAATGTTCGTCAGCGAAGAAGAATGAATTGCAAGCACAGCATCATCAACGCCAACCTTCTAATACAGAACGCAAGTATACCAAAGACAAAATTAAAGAAAAGAACGTGTCTAGTGGTAAGTTTTCGTTAGTTTTCTACCGACAATCGACTCCTGTTATGTGTGTTTTTCAAGATCTTCGACAAGAAGCGGAAACTGCACTTCATCTCGCGCTCCGTTTAATCGATGAAAATAAGTTTGAAAAAGCACGCAAAGTTTTCGAACATGCTCTTACACTCGATCCTTACAATTCCGAAATTCTCGTCGAATATGGTCAATTTCTCGAATATCATCATAAAGATTTGGTACATGCTGATAGTTTATACACGCGCGCACTTTTCAATCAACCAACCAATCCTCGTGCTTTAGAACTGAAAAAACGCACATTACCACTGGTTGAAGAAATCGATCAGAAACATTTTACGTTCGTTGATAATCTCCTTCAAGAACTCTATCGAATTCCGGACACAAATCCTTATTTACGACGTGCTAAACGTGATGCTTATTATTTACACATTTATCATTCGAATGCCATCGAAGGAAATACATTGAATCTGCGTGAAACGCGGCATATTGTTGAAACACGCATGGCCATTGGTGGAAAATCTCTAATTGAACAGCAAGAAGTTCTTGGACTCGACTTAGCTTTGCAGTACGTTAATTGTACATTAGTGAATCGTCTCGGTTCGATCAAACGCGAAGATATCTTCGAAATTCATCGACGAGTTTTAGGTTTTGTCGATCCCGTTCAAGCCGGTCAGTTACGTGAACATCAAGTTTATGTTGGATCGTTTGTTCCTCCGGCTGCCAGTGAAGTCGACGGATATCTGGAAGATTTCCTTGTTTGGTTAAATTCATTAGAAGATACGAGAGATCTTCATGCAATTGAATTAGCTGCTATTGCACATTACAAATTTGTTTATATTCATCCCTTTATTGATGGAAATGGCCGAACAGGTCGTTTGTTAATGAATTTGATTTTAATGAGATCCGGTTTTCCACCTGTGATTATTAAGAAAACAGAACGTTTAACCTATTACGCTTGCCTTGATCAAGCAAACGATGGCGATTTGCGGCCACTGATACGTTTTATAGCTCGCTGCACCGAACGCACATTAACAGAATTTATTCAGCAATCTCAACCGACGAAAACTACTGGACAAGAATTGAGTTTAACAGATAACGACGACGATACTGATGAAAACAGTTTCATTGACGAACGCGTTATCACTATTGATCGAAATATTAAAGAAGAACAGTGACAGTGTTTATATTGAAGATTTTCATTATATTTTTTTTGCGATCTTTGTTTGAATGTAACTTCATATGACATGAGAATTCTGGAATAAAAATACCAAAACTTTCGAAAAAGTACCTACGACTCTTCCAGGTACAAAACAACGAATTCAAAATTTCAGTCGCGAAACGTTTTCCACTATTCGTTCACTTTCCTCTACTCCTTTTTTCCTTTCCTGTCGTCCGTCATCTATTTTGTCGCCATATATATGTGGCGCAAAAACGCACACGTGAAACATATCCGACTATATTTATCATGCCAAAGATGCTCTCTGGTAAAGGATACTGCACACAACCAACATGTTTTCCCGTGTTGGGCGCTCCACCCATTCATGTTTTTCTATGCAAAACTCATTGTGGACATATGCTCTGTTATCGCCATTGGCTATCTCATCAGACATCGGAAATCGTTGAAAAAGAAGATTTGGACCATTCGTCGTCAAGTATGTCGTTTTGTTAAGAGCGCAAACATGTCGTATGATATCGCTTAGCCGTTACACTTGATTCCGATGCTGAAGAACAAAAAAATGTTCCTGATCTACTCAAAGAATGTACTAATCAAGAAGATCAACACCTATCTCAAGTACCTTTATCGATGAAAAATTCGAATTATTTCGATGACGATGAAAGTAAAGAAATAGTTGCGTTACTTATGTAAGAATTCTTTTGGGAAAGATTTGAATTGATTAAGCAATTTGAAATATCTAGTCAGCCAAAAGAAATTGAATGGTGGAATGAAATAACACCCTGGAAAAACGATGAAAGTAATACGACTTATGAAATGAAGAATGTTTTACCAATTATTGTTCAAAATCTGTTATTTAGATTTCAATGTAAATATAACCGAAGAATTCAGTGATGAAGGTAAGACATCGCAGTAAAGTGTGAAAAAGTCATTTTTTGTTCTTTAAACAGAGTATGATTATATGGATCAGAACAATAGAACGGACGATTCAGATTACGATATAAAAACTAAACGAAAGGCAACTAAGAAAAAACTCGGCCAATCAATGGCCTGCGGTTCATATCTCGGCGAATGTCCACTAACATTCGATGGAGCATTCGGTTTATTTCAAGACTATCATCAACATCAATTATGTGCAAAATCAAAAGGTTCAACTAAAAAGATTTGTCTGTATCAACATTTCAATTCGAAACACGGCTTCAAACGTCAAGTCTCGATCCGTCTGGTAAAAGCAATGATTTATCAACAAGATCCATCTACTAGCAAATTGTTTTCTATAACAACTGATACGACATTGACATTGTTCGATCCACTTCATAAAGTCAAATGTCCATTGGCAATCAACGATCCTATTGCAAATATGCCATGTTCAACGCAAGAAATCACTCGGAAAAGTATTCGACGACATTTATCTGGTGTACATCGATTAGATTCAGAAACTATTAACAAACTGATGAAACAAGTCTATAAATAGTAAAAGATAACTCCTTCCTTCTTTTTCGTATTTTTCTTGCTGCGTTTTATTGTATATGTAGCTCTTTTCTTTTCGTCTTTGTTTGTGTTTTACACGCTAAATAATGCTAGAAAACGTACTAGAGATTAAATTGATATAGGTTTCATTTGAGAAAAGAAATAGATCGGTTTCGTAGATGTTTATTAGTAACAAAAGAAAAGAGAAAGAAACGAAAGGAATAACTGTGAAACAAGAGTCATATACATTTTTATTTGGTTGTAAAAGATCTTTTTGTAGGTTATTTCAATCGAACTGCAAACTCGACGACTAGCAAAACTGAAAACAAAATATAAGATAATTTATTATCACCGGTAAGAAATATGAACGTATTTCTCTATCACTCAGTTTCTCTCTTCGGATTCGGATCTTTTCTCTGTATATTCCCTCGTGTCCATTGTTGTCGTCAATGGTTGTTGCTCGATGATTACAGGAATTTCAACTTCTTGTTCTTGGTTCTGCGTAGCGGTAGTATTTGCTGCGAGAGATTGATTCGCAGAAACTATGGCAGCACGAACTACTTTATTCAATGCTGAACGATATGCTTCAATGTTATGCAATTGACCACCGAGATTTGCAGTTGTCAGATTGAGACTGGCGAATAATTGCGATGTGATTTCGTCAACAGGTTTGTTATTGTCTAAAATAAGAAATAGCAAAAGAAAAATATTAATCACATAATTTCGATTCCATACTAGTATCAGTAAAATGTTCAAATTGAACAATAGGCGGCGTGTCTATTGGTTCTGGTTGCGATTGAATTTTCTGCTCGAATCCTTTTAGCTTTTTTGGTACCATTGGACAGGTAGATCTCTTTTCGAACAATGTCATTTGCCCATAAATCCAGCGATTTGTTATTTGATCCCGCGGTTCAACGAGACTTTCCAGAACTTCGAGCTGTTCATAGAAACTTTCTTTCAAACAACGTTCGTCTCCAACATAAACAATCAAATTCGGGTATTTTGTTAGCAAATGTAACAAATGAAATGCTTCTTCCTTGAACATTAACACAACGGGTATGTGAACATCATTATTTCCATCACCAGTCATGGAGAATATGCCATTTGTCGACGATTTCAACGATGTATTATGGTCAATGACGATTCCTCCAATAGCATGAACATTTTCCAATCGACGGGCTTTCTCGATGAACATGCAATCACCACGTCGAACAATGCCGATACGTGAGTGAAGAAAATGGGAAGAAAACAGCTGCGAACAAGCAGAGAAGGGTTGAGCAACATGTAGTTGAGCGAATATCTAGAAGTAAAAAAATGAGAATTTTCAATCTTTACTCAAGATTGATTTACTCCTGATTTGCCGTGCAATTGTTTTCCAAATTGAGCAGATCCAACAGCGAAACTATGCCGTTTTTCTTCAGTGTTATCTATCAAGGGAATAATCGATAGTGGAACATGATAATTAGACTCAGATGATGTTGGGTTTAATCCATTGATATTCTTCATCATGTCCATCATTTCTTGAATAAACAGCAGACCATCTTCTGCATCTTCATGTGACGCGGCAGTGGCTGAATTGTGGATTAATTGAACACCTGAATAAAGAAGAGAATTTGTTGACATCGAATAAAAATCGTTTCAATTCTTACGGCCATCAGTCATTGTTTGAATTTGTATACCCATATTCGATAACTGAGTGATATGATCGGGATTAACAGCAGAAAATTCCAAAGCTGTCAAGCGATTGTGAGATTCACTAGAAATGACTTTTATTCGTACTTAAGTTTCAAAATGAGCTTCTCTTACTTTTTCGATCGTTTTTCTGGTTCAATCGCCGAAGTCGTTGTTATTGTTTCTGTCATATCCTGATCGCCACGAATATTTCTTCTCAATTGCTCCTTGTACTGGTGCGATTGAAATTGATCGTCCATCGCAGGACATTGATTATACTTCGCTCGTTTTTCATTGAATCGCTCGGTCAACGAAAGATTCTTTTGTTCATACAGGCGTGCAGATAATAAAGTCTGTCGGTCGAATTCTTTTTGTAATGTTTCATTAACATGAAACGCGAATAAATCTAATGGAAGGATATGAGCTTCGGTGGTAAACACAAATTGATCCACATCGATATAACGATGCGGACTTGTATCAAATAGCAGATAAAGATATTTGAATGTTTCTGCTAAGACAAATGAATCCATTCGATCTTCTTGTTGACCAGTCGATACATCGGATATAGCTGCATAACCGCATGGAACTCGAGCGTGTTCTTCTAAATTATTCAATATTGTACGTCCGACTTCGAGATAATGTGGATCACCAGTGGCCTACGAAAGAAAGATGTGTAGTTTTTACTCCTTCAATTATGTTTTTCTTTACTTTATAGATAAAATAAGTGGATTCAACAAATTCAGGTCGCAACGGATGTGAATTCCAATGTATTCGATAGTCAGTTGTAAACGCTTCAGGCAAAAATTTATGCTTCTTCACAACTTGATACAACATTTCGTGCAATTCAATCGCCGGTTTTAAATCACCTGTCATGACTTGCAAGCCAGGCCAAAACGCTAACAAAGCATCCATATGATTTTTTGCTAATCGATACGGTTGATGCATGTGAACATTAACCATAGCAACACCTTGTTGAACGTAGGACATTATCGAGGAATAGTGTTCTTGAAAACGAGCTAGATAATCCGTATTCTTTTCTCCCAAGAGAACATAAGCTTTAAATAAGTATTCATAATATGAATCAATACCAGCACCAATGCCTGCTTCTCGAACAATCCAATCACCTGAATGAACATTCAGTATAGTACCCATCAGATTTGATTGTCGATGACGACGCTCCCACAGATATGACATCGCACGATCGGCATACTGTTCGAACAGATAGTTGCCCGTCAGTCGCGAGAGAGTAGCCCATTCTAATATCAATGTTCCAGCACAAGCCGTACAAGTGAAACGCTCGCGGTCACTTTTCGACAATGTCAGATCGATTCCATGACGAAGATTCACACGTGGTAAGGGCAAACCACTTGATGTATTAAAAGCCGGTAGCAGTCGAAGGCCTAAGTCATGTGCTAAAACCAATAGTTCATCACGATACCATGATAAGCGCAATGGATGATATGAATTGATATATTTAGCTGAGATGTGACCACCGAGAAGTCCACTAAACATTATACAAAGAATCAAGAATGTCTTCTACCCTGTAAAATAAATTACCCAATCATCCGAATATTTGTTTCGAAAACAGACACAATAACATCGCGATCAAAAGAGACGTGTTGAATGACTTGACGAACAGCGTGTTCGAATTCATCAAACATTCCCAGCACCTAAATCAAAAATCCATGTCCGACAACATTCAAGCCACGATGGCAATCACTCACCGCTAATGTGTCCAAGCTATCAACAAGTGTTAAGGAGAAACTAGAATATACATACGCGTTTCATTTGTCCACTCATTGAAAAGATGTTTGCTTACTTTCCAAGAGCATCATCGATATCACCTCGAGATGGTTCAGAACCACGATATCGGCCTTTACAACTACAAAAGCAAGAAGTAATCGTCTTTTCAAACATTCTGTACTCTCACCTCAACGGCATTAACTCATCAGCTGGAAAAGCGTATTTCTATATGAAAACATTTACGTCGAGTTTACAGAAAAACTTGAAACACGAGCTGCATTGACTTACCATATAAGATCCAAAGCCATGCTTAAACATATCGAGAACTCGTACACGAAGTTTCGATTTTTCCTCAGGCGACATTGCCATTATGGCGGAGATTAGGAAAACGACTTGGACAATTTTGACACACATTTTCTTTGATTAAAACTTAAAACAAAAAAAGAAACATGATCAGTTTGCATATAAAAGTGCTACAGTAGGACAATTCGATCACATACGTGTTCTGAACGTAATTTATACTGATAGAAAAACAGAAGAGAAACAATATTATAGATTCATTTGATTAGTAAGAGCAAATGCACCACATGTTGGACTGTCTGTCTACGGAATGAATTGATGAGAAGAGGAAAAAAGGATATTTGCGTTTTCGTTTGATTTATCAGTCAATGATAATCTTCGCTTGTACATCGAACGAAAATATTTTGGTTGATTCTAATGGGCATCAACATAAACGAATCGTGCCTTGTACAGCAAGGCTTTCATAGAGATGTCACTTTAGTACAGATGAAGAAGAGAACTCTATATATATTTAGTTAACTCAAACATCTGAAAGTCAACGTCAATGTACACAGCTTATGTAATTCACTAAAGCAATTCTCAGATCTTTACTCATGAAAAACAGAGTAACTAGCATCACTGCAATGAAAATTGTTATCATTTCAATAGCAACTGAACACAGAAATTTTGGTGCAGCTTGTGGTTGAATCCAATTCCAGAACGTGGATATGACATAAAATGATCCAGCAAATATTAAAATATTCAATAAAACAAAAACTTTCTTCAGAATTTCGATTTCACGCTTGTAATTCGGCAACGTTTGATTCGTCGTCACAATTGCCTTTGATGTTTCCGCTACAAAACTCACAATTCGACGCGAAGATTGACGTATATGACGAAGAATAATACCATAAATCACCGCTAGTGCACATGTTGGCAAAATATACGCAAGACACATCACGTATAGTGCTGACGGGATATTTTTCGTTGTTGGAATGCAAAGACGAGATTCGTCTTCAAAGATATACCCATCATAGATTATAGGAACCAGTGGTATGACAAAAGCCAGAATCCAATTAATAAGAATCATGATCCAATGCACGAACCAGGTTTGTAATTTTTTACATTTAAAAAATACACAAAAAAATAATCGACTAATTGTCTGAATCAAGTATGAGTAGCACAGCGCAGTGCAAGCAACAGTAAATATATAACCACGCAGGATACATGCTGGTTGATACGAAGACCAGCCTTCGCTGAGACTGTAAGCTACTGAAAACAGAAATGGGACGTAGTAAAGAATGGCAGCAGTGACGGTATTGCATAATAATAGATTGGTGATAGTACGACATTGTCGATTAATGATGAAAAGAACTAGTGTCGTGACTGCAAACATTAACGCAACAATCGCGAAAAAGATCTCTATGGAAAAATTGATCGTGTAGAACATATTTGTGAACATTGTCTAAGTAACAACTTCTATATAACCTTCTTAGTATCTATAATTGAATATTTTTCTCCTACGTGGGATTAAATATGCAAAATATCTTCCTTTTGTAAGGCTTTTTGTCATAAGATGTCTTTAAGATGGAACAAAAATAGCATTTGTTTTCTTTCATTACATTTTTTTTCGTCTAGAATCGCTTCGGACAGAAACACTTGGTAAAACATTTAGCAGACTCTGCCAATGATAATTGAGCATTAGGCAAGGTGTTCTGATGCTCGGATTTAATAAATCCTCGCCTTCTTTACTAATCTCGAAGCAAAATCTAGCAGAAAAGGATGAAACTCTACAAGGAATTCTGGATTCTTCCCTGCTTATGTTAATCGCAAGAAAATATCTTTGAAAGTCGCTTGCAAGATTATTTTTTTTGCTGCAAACATAATTTTAATAAACACTAAAGCTCATCAATGATCTCAACGCGGGTACAGACCAAGTTCAATGCTTCTGTGAATAACTCGCAGACTATGTCAATATGTGTTAAAATAAATTGCATAGTTATCCTCGAATATATTGACGAACAAAACAAAAAAGGCATCGACATGTCTTCAGAAGATCTATATACATCTCTGGCTGCTGTTGATTGAAACGAGCCGTTCTGGTTACAGTATTGACGGATGTACCGGGTACAAGTTATTCTAAGATACGCCATGGTAATAATTTACCGAAACTTTTGACAAAGATTTTTCGAAATAAACTGCAAGTTAAGAGTGATAGATAAAAGGATTTGACGTTACTTATGTAATACAAATCATTACTCAGAAAAAAACGGCAAACATTAGAATTGACCAATGGCCTACACCTTCGAAACCTTTTCCGGAAATTGTAAAGCACATATAGATGATAATCTATGTTGTAAAGAAAAGAAACTAGTAACCAGCACTTGAGTTACTATCATTATGATGAATGGAGTTCGAGCGCTTCGTCAATTGATGACAATTCCATTACCATAAAAATCGAATATTAATAAACGAAACGTTCGAAAACGAAAGATTTCAAACTATTGTACGTACTACTCGTCGACGATTTCGGCTAATATTCTGATAAGTGAGCATCAATAAAGGTCGATTTAGACCGATCAGTACCATGTACAAAATACTTATTGTTTCTAGTTGAGTCGAACCGCAAAATATGCCGTATTATAGATCGAATAGCATAGGAGCATATAGAGTGACGCTAGGCCGTTGGTGCAAGGATCGAGAATGAATACCACGGAATATCAGTATTGTACTGAATAGTTGGATAATTTGTAGATGCGTTCAATGATAGATTTATGATATCGATTACTGATACGCAAAGTGAATAGATACAACATGATGTATTGAACCGAAGTTCTCTTTGAGGGTAAGTAAAAGTATTTCTGAGAAATTCCAAAAAGCCCAAGATGAGAATCTTTTGATTTACTTGGTATAAATCATCATTGATTGATTTGACTATTGAGTGCGAATGTCACTAATGGGTCCTGAATTATTTGAGCATTTGATTAAATGTCGAGTTTACAATGGGAAATATTGGAGAGATGTTTCCCAAATGAATATTCTTTCTATAGAAAAGTTCTTATCACGAAAAGCTAAATGCTATTTTGACGAGGATGTTTATAGGTTACATTCGTTATTCTTTTGGAAGAAATAATCCTGTTGATGACATTGATTCTATAAAAGAAAAACCTTTCTTTGTAAATTATTTCAGAAAAATTACAGGTTATAAAGAAAAAAAGGATATATATTGCTTAATATCTGATAAGAATTAGCTTTAGTTACCAAGGTTCGGCAAAGGGAATAACTAATCAGTGCACCTCATCTCAGAAGCATCCTCAGTAGATCATATCTTGCTTGAAATCTGTGTCACTGTTACGTTTAGTTTGTTACCACCATAGGGAAAATAATCTGGCCATTGAAAGGCATCCTTACATAATTACTCTATCCTTCAATTTGTTTTTCTCTATCAGATTTTGAATTTTACCCTAATCGAGATTATGTTTTGCACTTTAGCGAGGTAATTCTTTGGACGCACGCTTAACTAAAGTAAAGATCTATGGATTCTTTGCCTTGATCTATGCTGAAGAAGGAACACGCTGAAAATAATAATTGGTATCTTTCGAACTGCATGAACTCGAGGATACCATTTTCTATAATTCACATATTCATTTATAATTGTACAAAACAACACGTTTGTTACAGACATTGTTTGTCTTTTCTTTTCGTTCTAACTCAAAGTAAATAGTTGTAGTTCGCGTATCTTTCGTTTGAAGTTTATAGATAAGAAAGTTGATGTTTTGCTTTTTGTCAAACAATTTTCAATCTATGCATTGTGTTTTAGTTCGCATAAACCATGAATGAATTTTAAGTTATTCAATGCTATTACTTGTTCTCAACATATTGATCAGTTTTATCATCGAATTAATTGTCTTTTGCTCTTTTCTACTGGAACATATCGCCTTGATTTCCAACCTTTCGACTAATTTAACACTGACTCTATTCATCAGCAATACGTTTGATTGAAATTCAAACATCTCGTGGACGTTTGTCGTCGTTTACGAATCTGTCCAGTCATTATTGTGATATTTGACACATCGAAGATTTATTTGACGAATACAGGACAACAAAACGTTTTATATGTTTAATATTTTCTCCTTACATGTATGAATTTAAAGTTTTTTAGCCCTAAAGAGGGCTGTTGGGTTTTTTAGAATATCTTGATGTTATGATATGACTAGGTCAAGAATATTTAGGCTTTTTCACCACCTTTGTTGCCCGATGCTGCTGATTTTTCAGCTGGTTTCTTCTTGCTTGGTCCAGCACCGCCTGTTGTTTCACGTGGTGTTGAGACTGGAGCACCTTCAGCTGTCTTCTTTGGTAAGAGAATAGCTTGAATGTTAGGCAAGACACCACCTTGAGCAATGGTAACACCCGATAACAATTTGTTCAATTCTTCATCGTTTCGGATGGCTAATTGAAGATGACGGGGGATGATACGTGTCTTCTTGTTATCACGTGCAGCATTACCAGCCAATTCAAGAATTTCAGCCGACAAGTATTCGAGGACAGCGCCCAAGTAAACTGGAGCACCAGCACCGACACGTTCGGCATAGTTACCACGTCGGAGAAGACGATGAATACGACCAACTGGAAATTGAAGACCAGCTCGTGATGAACGAGTTTTGGCTTTAGCACGGGCTTTGCCACTTCCTGCAGTTTTTCCACGTCCTGACATTGTGTCTTGATTTGTTTTCTTTTACTTGACGAAAATGTAATGAAATGATAGGAAGTCAATCGATCTCAAATCTTTATATATGGCCATGCAATGAACAACTTTTTCAACCAATCAGATGACGACGCTAATGATTGGCTGTTCATCAATGCGCGTAACAAGGAGAGCATCGGGCGTCATGCATGCATGTATGTGTGTGTGTATATATAAATAGAAGAAGTGAAGAACGAAAAGAAATTTTCCAAATCTTTCTCTATCTAACGTTCTCATTCAACACATTACTCACCATGCCACCAAAAACTCCATCAAAAGGCTCAAAAAAAGCCGTTACAAAGACAACCAAAGGTTCATCGGGTGCCAAAGGCTCTGATAAAAAAGCTAGACGTCGACGANTTATTTAACTGTTGGATTAAGTTCCGTACCAGTCATACGCTTCACATCAGACATCTTGCTATTTTTCGCACGATATATAGTTTCTTTCTGTATTCAGATGTTTCAGCTACTCCGTCGTTTCGTTTCATTACCAAAACAATCGATTCGTTCGTTTCATTCATTCGATGAAATAACACCTGGAAAGTACATCTCAACTCATCTGCAGAATGGTGTCGGTTCGCGATATGTTTGTCAACTGCAACGCTTGACGATTCAAGTGTGTAAAGAATTTCGTACATCGTACGGCACACGAGAATGGATTGCTAATGATTTAACAGCATTTGCTCGTCAACATCCGTATGTTGTTATATATGTTCAACCACGTCGTCACCGAGCACCAAATCTAATCGGAGAATATCTAAGTGGTGATCGTCAATGGATTCCACTATCAAATTGTGATCGACAGCATGTGAATTGGTGGATACACAGTTTGTTGACACAACAAGGTGATCCACAATGGAGACTATTAAAGAAAATGCATACGGATTCACCGTCGACTCAAGGCATATGGACACCATTTACAAATAAACCAACTGATCGAACATTGCGAACATATCCCGACAACGATCTGACTGAAATGGAATTTCCACAAGTAACAGCAACGCAACAAATTCAAGAATTATTCGAACAACAAAAAGCTAGATAAAAAGGCCTACGTTTCTGCTAGAATCATTCAGTTAACATCCACCTGTGTTTACTAGATCGATTTTTCTAATGTTAGTAAAGAAAATGTTTTTGTTTGTCTTTTTTTAGATTCATAAAATTCTTGAAGATAGTCATGATCTTCACGTAGCTTATTCATCTCTTTACCATTAAATATTATCTATCATGTTCTCCGCTACCGTCTTGAATAGAATCATAATCAATGACACTATTTTATCGAATTATATTTCGACGGAGTTTTCACCGACTGGCACAATGTTGTCCTTCGATTGACGTCCGTCAATCTCTTACAACGTTATGTTTATTTCTTCTTCTTTCATTTACCACTACAATTATTGTTAATATTTTAATCCCACATTTATTAATTAAAGTTTCATCGCCACCATTTTCATCGATATCATCATCATCATCGTCGCTCAGTTTACTCACTTCCCGTCATGTTTTTTTCCCAGCGGGCGTTACATCTGTGCAATGTTCATCAGCGAAGAAGAATGAATTGCAAGCACAGCATCGTCAACGCGAACCTTCAAATACAGAACGCAAGTATACCAAAGACCAGATTAAAGAAAAGAACGTGTCTAGTGGTAAGTTTTTCGTTAGGTTTTTTTTCTGACAATCGACTTCTGTTATGTGTTTTTCAAGATCTTCGACAAGAAGCAGAAACTGCACTTCATCTCGCGCTTCGTTTAATCGTTGAAAACAAGTTTGAAAAGGCACGCAAAGTTTTCGAACATGCTCTAACACTCGATCCTTATAATTCCGAAATTCTCGTCGAATATGGTCAATTTCTCGAATATCATCATAAAGATTTGATACATGCTGATAGTTTATACACGCGCGCACTTTTCAATCAACCAACCAATCCTCGTGCTTTAGAACTGAAAAAACGCACATTACCATTAGTTGAAGAAATCGATCAGAAACATTTTACGTTCATTGATAATCTTCTTCAAGAACTCTATCGAATTCCGGACACAAATCCTTATTTACGACGTGCTAAACGTGATGCTTATTATTTACACATTTATCATTCGAATGCCATCGAAGGAAATACGTTGAATCTGCGTGAAACGCGGCATATTGTTGAAACACGCATGGCCATTGGTGGAAAATCTCTAATTGAGCAGCAAGAAGTTCTTGGACTCGACTTAGCTTTGCAATACGTTAATTGTACATTAGTGAATCGTCTCGGTTCGATCAAACGCGAAGATATCTTCGAAATTCACCGACGAGTTTTAGGTTTTGTCGATCCCGTTCAAGCCGGTCAGTTACGTGAACATCAAGTTTATGTTGGATCATTTGTTCCTCCGGCTGCCAGTGAAGTCGACGGATATCTGGAAGATTTCCTAGTTTGGTTAAATTCATTAGAAGATACGAGAGATCTTCATGCAATTGAATTAGCTGCTATCGCACATTACAAATTTGTTTATATTCATCCGTTTATTGATGGAAATGGCCGAACAGGTCGTTTGTTAATGAATTTGATTTTAATGAGATCCGGTTTTCCACCTGTGATTATTAAGAAAACAGAACGTTTAACCTATTACGCTTGTCTTGATCAAGCAAATGATGGCGATTTACGGCCACTGATACGTTTTATAGCTCGCTGTACCGAACGCACATTAACAGAATTTATTCAACAATCTCAACCGACGAAAACCACTGGACAAGAATTGAGTTTAACCGATAACGACGACGATACTGATGAAAACAGTTTCATTGACGAACGTGTTATCACTATTGATCGAAATCTGAAAGAAGAACAGTGATAGTGTTTATATTGAAGATTTTCATTATATTTTTTGCGATCTTTGTTTGAATATAACTTCACATGACATGAGAATTCTGGAATAAAAATATAGAAAAGAAAAACGAAAAAGTATCTCCGACTCTTCCAGGTACAAAACAACGAATTCAAAATTTCAGTCTCGAAACGTTTTCAACTATTTGTTCACTTTTCTCTAATCCTTTTTTCCTTTCCTGTCGTCCGTCATCTATTTTGTCGCCATATATATGTGGCACAAAAACGAACACGTGAAACATATCCGACTATATTTATCATGCCAAAGATGCTCTCTGGTAAGGGATATTGCACACAACCAACATGTTTTCCCGTATTGGGTGCTCCACCCATTCATGTTTTTCTATGCAAAACTCATTGTGAACATATGCTCTGTTATCGCCATTGGCTTTCTCATCAGACATCGGGAATCGATGAGAAAGAAGATTTGGACCATTCGTCGTCAAGTATGTCGTTTTGTTAAGAGTGCAAACATGTCGTATGATATCGTTTAGCTGTTACACTTGATTCCGATGCTGAAGAACAAAAAAATGTTCCTGATCTACTCAAAGAATGTACTAATCAAGAAGATCAACACCTATCCGAAGTACCGTTATCGATGAAAAATTCGAATTATTTCGATGGCGATGAAAATAAAGAAATAGTTACGTCACATATGTAAGAATTCTTTTGGGAAAGATTTGAATTGATTAAACGATTTGAAATATCTAGTCAGCCAAAAGAAATTGAATGGTGGAATGAAATAACACCCTGGAAAAACGATGAAAGTGCGATTGAAATAAAGGATATTTTACCAATTATTGTTCAAAATCTGTTATTTAGATTTCAATGTAAATACAACCGAAGAATTCAGTGATGAAGGTAAGACATTGCAGTAAAGTGTCAAAAACTTCTTTTTTGTTTTTTTTTAAACCAGAGTATGATTATGTGGATCAGAACAATAGAACAGACGATTCAGATTACGATATAAAAACTAAACGAAGAACATCTAAGAAAAAACTCGGCCAATCAATGTCCTGCGGTTCATATCTCGGCGAATGTCCACTAACATTCGATGGCGCATTCGGTTTATTTCAAGACTACCATCAACATCAATTGTGTACGAAATCAAAAGGTCCAACTAAAAAGATTTGTTTGTATCAACATTTCAATTCCAAACATGGCTTCAAACGTCAAGTCTCGATTCGTCTGGTAAAAGCAATGATTTATCAACAAGATCCATCTACTAGTAAATTGTTTTCGATAACAACTGATACGACATTGACATTGTTTGATCCACTTCATAAAGTCAAATGTCCATTGGCAATCAACGATCCTATTACAAATATGCCATGTTCAACGCAAGAAATCACTCGAAAAAGTATTCGGCGACATTTATCTGGTGTGCATCGATTAGATTCAGAAACTATTAACAAACTGATGAAACAAATCTATAAATAGTCAAAAATGACTCCTTCGTTTTTTTTGTTGTTGCGTTTTATTGTACATGTAGTTCTTTTCTTTTTGTCTTTGTTTGTGTTTTACACGCTAAATTAATGCTAGAAAACGTACTAGAGATTAAATTGATATAGGTTTCCTTTGAGAAAAGAAATAGATCGGTTGCGTAGGTGTTTATTAGTAACAAAAGAAAAGAGAAGGAAACGAAAGGAATAACTGTGAAACAATAGTCATATACATTTTTATTTAGTTGTAGAAGATCTCTTGGTAGGTTATTTCAATCGAACTGCAAACTCGACGACTAGCAAAACTGAAAACAAAATATAACATAATTTATTATCACCGGCGAGAAATATGAACGTATTTCTCTGTCACTCAGCTTTTCTCTTCGGACTCGGATCTTTTCTCTGTATATTCCCTAGTGTCCGCTGTTGTCGTCAATGGTTCTTGCTCGATGATTACAGGAATTTCCACTTCTTGTTCTTGGTTCTGCGTAGCGGTATTATTTGCTGCGAGAGATTGATTCGCAGAAACTATGGCAGCACGAACTACTTTATTCAATGCTGAACGATACGCTTCAATGTTATATAATTGACCACCGAGATTTGCAGTTGTCAGATTGAGACTGGCGAATAATTGTGACGTGATTTCGTCAACAGATTTGTTATCGTCTAAAATAAGAAATAGCAAAACAAAAGTATTAGTATGTAATTTTGAATTTCACATAATTTCGATTCCGTACTAGTATCAGTAAAATGTTCAAATTGAACGACAGGCGGCGTGTCTATTGTTTCTAGTTGTGATTGAATTTTCTGCTCGAATTCTTTTAGCTTCTCTGGCACCATCGGGCAGGTAGATCTCTTTTTGAACAATGACATTTGTCCATAAATCCAGCGATTTGTTATTTGATTCCACGGTTCAACGAGGCTTTCCAGAAGTTCGAGTTGTTCATAGAAACTTTCTTTCAAGCAACGTTCGTCTCCAACATAAACGATCAAATTCGGGTATTTTGTTAGCAAATGTAACAAATGAAATGCTTCTTCCTTGAACATTAACACAACGGGAATATGAACATCATTATTTCCATCACCAGTCATGGAGAATATGCCATTTGTGGACGATTTCAACGAAGTATTATGATCAATGACGATTCCTCCAATAGCATGAACATTTTCCAATCGACGGGCTTTCTCAATGAACATGCAATCGCCACGTCGAACAATACCAATACGTGAGTGAAGAAAATGGGAAGAGAACAGCTGCGAACAAGCAGAGAAAGGTTGAGCAACATATAGTTGAGCGAATATCTAGAAGTAAAAAATGGGAATTTCTAATCTTTACTCAAGATTGATTTACTCCTGATTTGCCGTGCAATTGTTTTCCAAATTGAGCAGATCCAACGGCGAAACTATGCCGTTTTCCTTCGGGGTTATCTATCAAGGGAATAATCGATAATGGAACATGATAATTAGACTCAGATGATGTCGGGTTTAATCCATTGATATTCTTCATCATGTCTATCATTTCTTGAATGAACAAAAGACCATCTTCTGCATCTTCATGTGACGCGGCAGTGGCTGAATTGTGGATCAATTGAACACCTGCATAGAGAAGAGAAGTTGTTTACGTCAAATGAAGATCTTTTCAATTCTTACGGCCATCCGTCATTGTTTGAATTTGTATACCCATATTCGATAATTGAGTGATATGATCAGGGTTAACAGCAGAAAATTCCAAAGCTGTCAAGCGATTGTGAGATTCACTAGAAAGGACTTTTTATTCGTACTTCAATTTCAAAATGATCCTCTCTTACTTTTTCGATCGTTTTTCTGGTTCAATCGCCGAAATCGTTGTTACTGTTTCCGTCATATCCTGATCGCCACGAATATTTCTTCTCAATTTCTCCTTGTACTGGTGCGATTGAAATTGATCGTCCATCGCAGGACATTGATTATACTTCGCTCGTTTTTCATTGAATCGTTCAGTTAACGAAAGATTCTTTTGTTCATACAGACGTGCAGATAATAAAGTCTGTCGATCGAATTCTTTCTGTAATGTTTCGTTAACATGAAACGCGAATAAATCTAACGGAAGGATATGAGCTTCGGTGGTAAACACGAATTGATCCACATCGATATAACGATGTGGACTTGTATCGAATAGCAGATAAAGATATTTGAATGTTTCTGCTAAGACAAATGAATCCATTCGGTCTTCTTGTTGACCAGTTGATACATCGGATATAGCCGCATAACCACATGGAACACGAGCGTGTTCTTCTAAATTGTTCAATATTGTACGTCCGACTTCGAGATAATGAGGATCACCAGTGGCCTACGAAAGAACGATGTGTAATTTTTACTCCTTCAATTATGCTTTTTCTTTACTTTATAGATAAAATAAGTGGACTCGACAAATTCAGGTCGCAACGGATGGGAATTCCAATGTATTCTATAGTCAGTTGTAAATGCTTCAGGTAAAAATTTATGCTTCTTCACAACTTGATACAACATTTCGTGCAATTCAATCGCCGGTTTTAAGTCGCCTGTCATGACTTGTAAGCCAGGCCAAAACGCTAACAAAGCATCCATATGATTTTTCGCTAATCGATACGGTTGATGCATGTGAACATTAACCATAGCAACACCTTGTTGAACGTAGGACATTATCGAGGAATAGTGTTCTTGAAAACGAGCTAAATAATCCGTATTCTTTTCTCCCAAGAGAACATAAGCTTTAAATAAGTATTCATAATATGAATCAATACCAGCACCAATGCCTGCTTCTCGAACAATCCAATCACCCGAATGAACATTCAGTATAGTACCCATTAGATTTGATTGTCGATGACGACGCTCCCACAGATAGGACATCGCACGGTCAGCATACTGTTCGAACAGATAGTTGCCCGTCAGTCGTGAGAGAGTAGCCCATTCTAATATCAATGTTCCAGCACATGCTGTACAGGTGAAACGTTCGCGATCACTTTTTGACAATGTCAAATCGATTCCATGACGAAGATTCACACGTGGTAAAGGCAAACCACTTGATGTATTAAATGCTGGCAGCAGTCGAAGGCCTAAGTCATGTGCTAAAACCAATAGTTCATCACGATACCATGATAAGCGCAATGGATGATGTGAATTGATATATTTAGCTGAGATGTGACCACCGAGAAGACCACTAAACATTATAAAAAGAATCAAGAACGTCTTTCTTTTATCATGCAAAATGAATTACCCAATCATACGAATATTTGTTTCGAAAACAGACACGATAACATCACGATCAAAAGAGACGTGTTGAATGACTTGACGAACAGCATGTTCGAATTCATCAAACATACCCAGCACCTAAATCAAAAATCCATGTCCGACAACATTCAAGCCACAATGGCAATTACTTACCGCTAATGTGTCCAAGCTATCAACAAGTGTTAAGGAGAAACTAGAATATACACACGTGTTTCATTTGTCCACTCATAGAAAAGATGTTTGCTTACTTTCCAAGAGCATCATCGATATCACCTCGAGATGGTTCAGAACCACGATATCGACCTTTACAACTACAAAAGCAAAAGGTAACAGTCTTTTCAAACATTCCATAAACTCACCTCAATGGCATTAACTCATCAGCTGGAAAAGCATATTTCTATATGAAAACATTTTCGTCGAGTTTACAAAAAAAAACTTGAAACAAGAGCTACATTGACTTACCATGTAAGATCCAAAGCCATGCTTAAACATATCGAGAACTTGTCCACGAAGTTTCGACTTTTCCTCGGGCGACATTGCCATTATGGCGGAGATAAGGAAAACGACTTGGACAAATTTGACAAACATTTTCTTTGATTAAAACTTAAAACAAAAAATGAAACATGATCAGTTTGTATATAAAAGTACTACAGTAGGACAATTCGATCACATACGTGTTCTGAACGTAATTTATACTGATAGAAAAACAGAAGAGAAACAATATTATAGATTCATTTGATTAGTAAGAGCAAATGCACCACATGTTGCACTGTCTGTCTACGCAATGAATTGATGAGAAGAGGAGAAAAGGATATTTGCGTTTTCGTTTAATTTATCAGTCGATGATAATCTTCGCTTGTACATCGAACGAAAATATTTTGCTTGATTCTAATGGACATCAACATAAACGAATCGTGCCTTGCATAGCAAGGCTTTCATAGAGATGTCACTTTAGTACAGATGAAGACGAGAAATCTACGTATTCAGTTAACGTAAACAGCTTATGTAATTCACCAAAGCAGTCCGCAGATCTTTACTCATGAGAAACAGAGTGACTATCATCACTGCAATAAAAATTGTTATCATTTCAATAGCAATTGGACATAAAAATGTTGGTGCAGTTTGTGGTTGAATCCAATTCCAGAACGTAGATACGACATAAAATGATCCAGCAAGTATTAAAATATTCATCAGAACAAAAACTTTCTTCATAATTTCGATTTCACGCTTGTAATTCGGCAACGTTTGCTTCGTCGTCACAGTTGCTCTTGATGTTTCTGCAACAAAACTCACAATTCGACGCGAAGATCGACGTATATGACGAAGAATAATGCCGTAAATCACCGCTAGTGTACATGTTGGCAAAGTATACGGAACACATATGACGTATAGTGCTGACGGGAAATTTTTCGTTGTTGGAATGCAAAGACGAGATTCGATTTCAAAGATATACCCATCATAGATTATAGGCACCAGTGGTATGAGAAAAGCTAGAATCCAATTGATAAGAATCATGATCCAATGTACGAAACAGGTTTGTAATCTTTTATATTTAAAAAATACGCAAAAAAATAATCGACTAATTGTCTGAATTAAGTATGAGTAGCACAGTGCAGTGCAAGCAACAATAAATATATAAGCACGTAGGATACATGCTGGTTGATACGAAGACCAGCCTTCTTTGAGACTGTACGCTACTGAAAATAGAAATGTAACGTAGTAAAGAATAACAGCAGATGCGGTATTGCATATTAGTAGATTAGTGATAGTACGGCATTGTCGATTAATGATGAAAAGAACTAATGTCGAGATTGCAAACGTTAACGCAACAATCGCAAAAAAGATCTCTATGGAAAAATTGATCGTGTAGAACATATTTGTGAACATTGTTTAAATAACAACTTCTATGTAACCTTCTTAGAACCTATAATTGAATATTTTTCTCCTAGATAGGATTAAATAAGCAAGCTGTTTTCCTTTTGAGAGGCTTTTCGTTTTAAGATGTCTTTGAGATAGAACAAAGATAGCATTTGTTTTCTTCTTCCAGAATTCCTTCGGAAATAAACACTTGGTAAACATTTAGGAGACTCTATCAACGATAATTGAGTATTAGGAAAGGTGTTCTGATGCTCGGTTTTAATCAATCCTCGTCTTCTTGACTGATCTCAAAGCAAAATCTAACAGAAGAAAGGGTAAAACTCTACAAGGACATCTGGATTCTTCGCTACTTATGTTAACTACAAGAAAAAAGATTTTCATTAATTTTATGAGAAGCTGTTAAACGACAGATTGTAAGAAAATAACATTGAAAGTTGCTTGCAAGGTTGTTTTTTGCTACAAATATCATTCTAAAACACACAAAAGTTCATCAATAATCTTAACGTGGGTACAAACCATGTTCAACCTCCATAAGAACTGTGCTGGATGCTTTTGTAAATAACTCGCAAACTATGTCAATATGTGTTCAGATAAATTGCATATTTATCCCCGAATATGTTTACGAACAAAACAAAAAGCATCAACGTGTCTTCAGAAGATCTGTGTACATCTATGGTCGCTGTTGATTGAAACGAGCCGTTCTGATTACAGTATTGACGGATGCATTGGGTACAAGTTATTCTAACATATACCATGGTAATAATTTACAGAAACTTTTGACAAAGACTTTTCGAAATAAACTGCAAGTTAAGAGTGAGAGATAAAAGGATTTGATGTTATTCATGTAATATAAATCATTACAAAAAAAGACAAACATTAAAACTGACCATTGGCGTGCAGCTTCGAAACCTTTTTCGCAAATTGTAGAGCACATATAGATGATAATCCATTGTGACGAAAAGAAAACTGGTATCCAGCGCTTGAGTTACTATCATTATAATGAATGGATTTCGAGCGCTTCGTCGATTGATGACAACTCCATTACCCTAAAAATCGAATATCAATAAACGAAAGATTTCAAACTACATACGTACCACTCGTCGACGACTTCAGCTAACATTCTGATAAGTGAGCAAAACAAAGGTTGAATTAGACCGATCAGCACAATGTACAAAATACGTGTTGTTTCTAGTTGAGTCGAACCCCCAAATATTCCGTATTGTAGATCGAATAACATAGGAGCATAGAGTGACCCTAGGCCGTTGGTTAAAATCAGTAGAAGACTAAATCATGGTATATTTTTAGTTGTATGTATTTGTCGTACGAACGAAGCGTGGATGGACGTTGCTGCGAATCGATCAATAGTTGACATTAATGAAAATTTGATTGATAAATTCGGTAAAAATACGAGAAGGAAAAGGTTAGTTTTACATAGGATCGAGGGTGAATACCATAGAATATGAATATTGTACTGAATAGTTGGATAATTTGGAAATGTGTTCAATGAGAAGTGTATGATATCGATTATTGATGCGCAAAGTGAATAGATACGATATGATGTATTGGACCGGAGTTCCCTTTGAACGTAAGTCAAAGTATTTCCGAGAAATTCCAAAACGCTCAAGATGACAAAGATAAGTAGGGTATAAATGAGAAACTTTTGATTTACTTGATATAGATCATCACTGATTGGTTTGACTATTGAATGAATGTCAGCAAAAGGTCCTGAATTGTTTGATAATTTGTTCAAATGTCGAATTTACAATGGGAAATATTGGACCGATGTTTTCCAAATGAATATTCTTTCTGCAGAAAAGTTCGTAGTATGAAAAACTAAGGACAAATTTGATGAGGATGTATATAGGTTGCATCCGTTGTTCTTTTTGAAGAAATAATCCTGTTGTTGACGTCAATTCTATGAAAAACTTTTCTTCGTAAATTATTTCAGAAATAATACAGGTTATAATGTAAAAAAGGGTATATATTGTTTACCATCTAATAAGAATTACCTTTGGTTACAAAATTTTGGCTAAGGAAATAAGTAATCAGTGTACAGCATCTCAGAAGCATCCTCAGTAGATCATATCTTGCTGGAAATCTGTGTCGCTGTTATGTATAGTTTGCTACCACCATAGGAAAATAATCTGGTCATTGAAAAGTATTCTTACATAAGTGCTTTATCCTTCAATTTATTTTTCTCTGTCAGATTTTGGATTTTATTCTAATCGAGATTATGTTTTGCACTTTAGAGAGATGATTCTCTGGACTAAAGTAGTATGTTTTGTGAAAATACTCTTTGGACGCACTCTTGACTAAAGTAAAGACCTATGGAATCTTTGCTGTTGATCTATGCTGAAGAAGGAACACGCTGAAAATAACAATTGGCATCTTTGAAATTGCATGAACTTGAAAATACCTTTCTAAACAATTCACATATTTATTTATAATTGTACAGAACAGCATGTTTGTTCTATATATTGTTTGTCGTTTCTTTTCGTTCTAACTCAAAGTAAATAGTTCTAGTTTGCGTATCATTCATGATTATCACCTATTCTTCTATCTTTCATTTGAAGTTTATAGATAAGAAAGTCGATGTTTTGCTTTTTGTCAAACAATTTTCAATCTATGCACTATGTTTTAGTTCGCATAAACCATGAATGAATTTTAAATTGTTCAATGTTATTACTTGTTCTCAACATATTAATCAGTTTTATCATCGAATTAATTGTCCTTTGTTCTTTTCTACTGGAACATATCGCCTTATTTTCCAACCTTTCGACTAATTTAACACTGACTGTATTCATCAGCAATACGTTTGATTGAAATTCAAACATCTCGTGGACGTCTGCCGTCGTTTACAGATCTGTTCAGTCATTTTTGTGATACTCGACACATCGAAGGTTTATTTGACGAATACAAAACAACAAAACGTTTTATATGTTTAATATTTTCTCCTTACATTTATGAATTTAAAGTTTTTTAGCCCTAAAGAGGGCTGTTGGGTTTTTTAGAATATCTTGATGTTATGATATGACTAGGTCAAGAATATTTAGGCTTTTTCACCACCTTTGTTGCCCGATGGTGTTGATTTTTCAGCTGGTTTCTTCTTGCTTGGTCCAGCACCACCTGTTGTTTCACGTGGTGTTGAGACTGGAGCACCTTCAGCTGTCTTCTTTGGTAAGAGAATAGCTTGAATGTTAGGCAAGACACCACCTTGAGCAATGGTAACACCTGATAATAATTTGTTCAATTCTTCATCGTTTCGGATGGCTAATTGAAGATGACGCGGGATGATACGTGTCTTCTTGTTATCACGTGCAGCATTGCCAGCCAATTCAAGAATTTCAGCCGACAAGTATTCGAGGACAGCGCCCAAGTAAACTGGAGCACCAGCACCGACACGTTCGGCATAGTTACCACGTCGAAGAAGACGGTGAATACGACCAACTGGAAATTGAAGACCAGCTCGTGATGAACGAGTTTTGGCTTTAGCACGGGCTTTGCCACTTCCTGCAGTTTTTCCACGTCCTGACATTGTGTCTTGATTTGTTTTTTTTACTTGACGAAAATGTAATGAAATGATAGGAAGGCAATCGATGTCAAATCTTTATATATGACCATGCAATGAACAACTTTTTCAACCAATCAGATGACGACGCTAATGATTGGCTGTTCATCAATGCGCGTAACAAGGAATAGCATCGGCATCATGCATGCATGTGTGTGTATATATATAAATAGAAGAAGTAAAGAACGCAAAGAAATTTTCCAAATCTTTCTCTGTCTAACGCTCTCATTCAACACATTACTCACCATGCCACCAAAAACTCCATCAAAAGGCTCAAAAAAAGCCGTTACAAAGACAACCAAAGGTTCATCGGGTGCCAAAGGCTCTGATAAAAAAGCTAGACGTCGACGAAAGGAAACCTATTCAATTTACATCTACAAAGTACTTAAACAAGTTCATCCTGATACAGGTATTTCATCGAAAGCAATGTCAATTATGAATTCATTCGTTAATGACATCTTTGAACGTATTGCTGCTGAATCCAGTCGTTTATCTCATTACAATAAACGATCAACAATCAGCAGTCGAGAAATTCAAACAGCTGTTCGACTCTTATTGCCTGGTGAACTTGCTAAACATGCTGTATCTGAAGGTACTAAAGCTGTTACAAAATACACAAGTGCTAAGTAAAGGAATTCGAATGAGAAATCAAACTATGATATAAACCCAAACAGCCCTTTTTAGGGCTAATATTCTTTAAATTCACATGTGTTGACTTTCGTGTTTCACAAATTGAATTAAACAATAATAAAAATATCTCTTGACATAAATTTCGACTGTTTCAAAGTATGAGATGGCGTGAAGCCTTTGCTGTTTAAAGAATTGTCAAAATAAGAAGAGAATATGATAAAAATTTTGGATTGATTCACACTGAGTATGATCGCTCATGAATGCGTGCAGTGACATTTTTTTCGCGTTCTCAGACCATGATGTGTAACATACATTCGTTACGTGTATTCATTTGCACTTAAACAGTTGATTTTCTTTTTGCTCGCTTTCCATTGGCTCCGAACGTAACTCGTTAACTGACCAACGACTGAACTCTATGACATGGATATAAAATGAATGTTGGCACATTCTCACATTCATACAGTTCATTTCATCACAAAAGGCTCAAAAATAAATAAACATGTCCGGACGTGGTAAAGGTGGTAAAGGCTTAGGAAAAGGTGGTGCCAAACGTCATCGTAAAGTACTTCGTGATAACATCCAAGGTATTACCAAGCCAGCTATTCGTCGTTTAGCTCGACGTGGTGGTGTCAAACGTATCAGTGGTCTTATCTATGAAGAAGTACGTGGTGTATTGAAGATCTTCTTAGAAAATGTTATTCGTGACGCTGTTACCTATACTGAACATGCTAAACGAAAAACTGTCACTGCTATGGATGTTGTTTATGCACTCAAACGACAAGGACGTACATTATATGGCTTTGGTTCATAAACTTCCTTAACAATGAACGGAAAAAAATACCCAAACAGCCCTCTTTAGGGCTAGAAAATTTATTTTCTATATTCAGAAATGATGGAAATAGGTAACGAAAGAAAACACAAGTGAACTAGTTTTTTGCTGCACATATCGCATAGTTGATGGCTTTACTTGTTGACCATGACCATCGATTTGTTATAGGATTGTATACCATTCCATTGTTGACAAGAACAGAGAAGCCGTCTAATCGAGAAATAGAAAAAGATTTCCATCGAGCAGAGTGATCAAAACGTTTACTTTTCTCGAATAAGATAACGAGGTCAGATGGACGAATAAATTTGTTCCATGTATGAGTACCAGGTGGAACAATTCGAAAAATATATTCAGCAGCGATAACACCGAGAAAATAAGACGCAGCCGTTTGATTCAATGTCGTTATAAAGCAAAGGCCTTTGGGCTAAAACAAAAAACCAAAAGCATCATGTAGAATTTGAATATCAACTTCGTCTGGTCTTTGGTACTTTTAATAATTTTCCTATGTTGCCAATAAAGCTGTCAACGTCATTGATATGTTCGACAACTTCGGAAGCAATGATAGCATCGTATTTTTCGATATGTTCAACATTTTCGCATAGCTCTTCGAGTGTCACTAAACTACCGAAACGAAATCTATACAAATAACAATATATTCTTATAAAACAACGGGACAGACCATCTTTATAGTTTAAATTGTGTTTCAACGACGGCTCGATATGAAATCGAGCTGTAGAGATATTCTCGGAAACAGCATCGATCCCCAATACTGAAGCACCCAGTCGTGCTAATGGCTACAAAGGAAGAATGTCGAAAAAAGAATTTTTCTCTCTGTTCATCTGCATACTTCACTAAGAATTCCACCGCCACAACCGACATCCAGTAGTTTAAAACCTTTCAATGGTTTGATAACGTCGTTCGTTTGAGTTGATGATTGAAGTAACTGTTCACGAACAAACGGTATTCGTAGTTGGTTCAGTGAATGTAATGCGGCATATTCGCCCGTTTCATTCCACCACGAGGAGGATAACTGACGAAATCGATTCACTTCATCAGGATCTACAGAGCTTTGCACAGACAATGGTCGCGATAAAACAGTAATCGACCTATGAGAGGAAGAAAATAATCAGAACGAAGAGACTGATCAAAGTATTTACCTGAGTCTAGGAAGAAATTTCGATAAAGATCGAAACAAGATCGACATTTCTCAAAAACTTGCTTTCGAATACATGTGAATCATTGATTTTTTTTAATGTTATGCTATCGAGTATCATTGGTCGAGACAATTAAGTATTATCATACTCACCCGATAGAGGTCGAGAGTGAGCGCTACATACTTCATTTCGGATCCTTTCGTATTCACCTAACTTCCGAGAGATCGCAATTCTAGTTTTCTACTCGATTTCTATTCTACGCGATCAAATAGTAATCTTTTCTTCGGAATATTACGAATAATATTTTCAGTTTGTTTTATTTGATTCACAATGCGCCATTCTAGTTTCTTTGCTTGTTCTTATTGCATTCAACTTCTATATATTTAAGATGATTTATGTTTACCCTGATCTTCAGTTTCTCATTTTTATTTGCATTCTTCCGATTTATTCTCTCGCACAAGCGGAGTTGAACTTCGTTTTTCTTAATGGCTATAATGTAATTCGTTGCTCGGACAAACAAATTCAAGTATACAGCACTGACAATGAACTCCTCAGTAAAATATTAGCCTGTGATGATAAAGATAAACTCAAGTATGAGAATAACGCTGGTTATGAGTGGGGTTCGCTAACTGCCGAATGCTCAGCAGATAATGCGTACGTGATAGAGAAACAAGTCATTAAACGTGTACACGCAGCCAAAGATAAAGAACATTTCACGAGTTTTAATGCGTCAGCGGAATTAAAATTACCGTGTCAACCAGTGACACAGTATGACGTCGAAGATGAAAAAGTATTAGAAGACGAACGCTTATTGATTTTTAAACATGAATTGGCAAACAATGCATATTTTGCAGAAATTAATGGGGAAAAACAGAGAACAATTTTTATACAATTTCCAATAGATGCTACTATCTGCAAAATCGTAATTCGTAGTACAAAAGAGCCATGTCCGGTTGATCCAAATGATATGAAGGTGACTCATCACTGTTACTATAATCCTGGTGGTTCGCTACCTACAAGAGAAGACATAGAAGCCGAACTGTACCAAATAGCTCAAGTTCAACCGCATGTTGGTCAAAAGAAATTTGTCGCGAACCTCGACAGACCGGTCTGTTGATAGAAATCACTATGAAATTATGTTAATCGACAGTCAAGGTTAAAGGAAAAGAGTCGTTTTTTACCCATTGAAAGTCAGATGTGAAGAAAGTGCATCTTAGCGTTATCTGTCTCTTCTACAGACGAACGTTTGTCGTTCAATTACTCCGTTGAAAAAAGGAATTGATTGATATTAATCCGTGTTTTTTTAAATATTATTTTCACATAGAGAGCAAACTCCCAAGAGCTAATATAGTTGCCGTAAATTCAGTTTAGATAATAATGAACTCAAAATCAAATCGTCTATCTTGTAGGATATGAATAACTTGCCAAAAGACGATTGCAGTTCATCTGAAACAACTGACACCAATATATATATAACAACTGACACCAGTGTATATATAACAAATCACGTCAATAAACCCGGACCGAGTCAATTTCAGAAAGGGACTAATAATTCATCATCTGGTTCTTCGGTAGTCAATAAAGAGAAAAAAGGCAAAAAACCTAGTGGTGGTGGTTCTCCTTCACCAAAAGGCAAAGCGAAAACGAAATCGACCCAAGTTATTGTGATCGTCATCATAGTGATTTTGACACTTGGTATCATTGGTGGTATTGGCTTTTATGTCTTCCGAAAGTATCGCTTCAAGATCTTTGGGTCTGAATCATCAAATGATCTGGTAGATAGTCGTAATCAGGATCCAGGCAATCTCAAAATGAACGAGAGTCAACAATCTATAGCGTCAACATCAACAAATGACATGAGCGTAGTGATGGATGCAAATGATTTATCACATCGAGGAAAACCAAAAGTCGAACTACAGACAGATGTTGCTAACAAACGACACCGAGGAGGAGTCAACATGGCTTTTGACCAAGATCTTTAGAAAGAAAGTACAAATGATTTTAATAATTATTTTTCTGTCGGATGATTTAAATCGAATGAAAAAGAGTTTTTTCGTTTGCAGTATTCAATAAAGAATTTTAGTTACTTTTTCACGAATAATTCAAACAATGAATGGTACATTGGGATGATTAGATCTGCACTCTTTCTGCCGATGTGAAATTATTTCAGATGTTCGAATAGATGATGCAGACTAAAAAAAGGATTAAAAAGTGCGTATTAGTTTTCACAGTAGATCTTCTGTGTTGAAAAAAGGGGGAAATGAAACGTTAAATTAAAAGTGTGTTATTAGGAAAAATAAGTCCAATTTGTGTTTCTTTTTCAAGCATTAACGATATTCTAACGTTCATTCTGTTGTTTGACGATGTATATCTGGTATAGTTCAGTCAAGCAAATAAGGATAGGATCACAAGTGATAATTCAACTGATTAGTTGGCTTATATTCAACTTACCTATTCCCAAAGCATTCTTCACTTTTTTTTATACCTCTTTCTTTTGTCAACTGTAAAATTTCACAATCCTATAATTATCATCGACTTCTTCTTCCGTCTGAACGACTACCACATAATGATGACAACGTATATTTTCTGTATCAGTTGAAGTAAGCACAAGTCAAACAAGATGAACGCATTCATATCAGTGAGTTCAAAAATTTCTACCATCAATATTACCGATCATTTGACGGGAAGATACGACTCACTTAATATTTATATATTTTTAACTGGCGAAGTCGTACCGAAACTGATTCTTGCTTGCTTTATTCTTGGTCTATTTGGCTTTCTTGTTAATATGTTCACATTTCTTCAACCCGATCTTCGCTCGAATGCGTGTTGCATCTATACACTTTCAAGTTCGGTCATTGATATTGTTCATTTATCAGTGAACATTTTCCCAAATTACCTCGGATTTCAATATAACATCCCAAATCCGTGGATACAATCCTTTACTCTATGTAAATTGCATTATTTTCTGTACAATTTCTTCCCACAATTGGCTACTAACTTGCTACTTTTGAGTATTATCGATCGATATGCGTGTTCATGCGGGCTGACATCTTGGATTACTCGATTGAATCAGTACAAAATGATCCCACGACTGATGACGATGATGGTTATCATCAGCGGAATTTTTTCTATTTACGCTCCTATCTTTGGCACAGATATACCACAAATCTGTGGATTTCATGAGAAAGAAGTATACGGAATATTGACTATTTTAATTAGTGGTGTTTTACAACCAATTGTAATGCTACTGTTCGTGCTGTTGACTTATCAAAATATTCGTCAACGCCGTCAGCGCGTAGTGAGTAAACTTCAATCTATTAGTGTGATAATTCCCACACAACGATCATTTTCTGTACTAGGGTGTGGCAACAAAGACTGGTGTCCAGCGGTTTCGACATCAGTTTGTAATAATGATAATCACTCAAGTTTTGGCTACAGCTTTCTTTTCCCTACAATGGATGATTGTACAGACTTACATTCTGTTCCGCAATGTGAATTCAACGGTATCAGGCGATGAAGTATTGCTGCTTCTTTTCCTTTACCAACTTAGTAATACAATTTATCCATTCAATAACGTCAAATCATTCTATTTTTCTATATTAACATCGAAATCATATCGAAAAGCGTTTGTCAAAGGTTTCAGAAGACTATTCGCGCGAATATAATATGTATCATATACTTCAAACAAACACTACAAATATACCTCGTCAGTTGTCTTTTCTCACTCTGATCGTCATTCAAACTTGTTATCATCATTGATATTATAAAAAGCAAATATTATTCTGTTAAGTTACAGCATTAATGAATAAGCCAAACAGCATTTGGCTATTTTCACATTTGTATTATTCATCAAATACCACATGTATATAAACTCGATGGTTCCTACTACTTGAGCCGAAAATATCAACTTATACTAACGAACATTCGGTTTTATCGTTCGAGGAAAACAAAACCAGGGTAAGACCTTGACGCTTTATCGTTTCCCATTCCAAACGAAACGAAACCTCGCTCCATCTTCTAGAAATCATGAAATACTTATTTGTTCTCGCCTGCTTATTAGCTGTTTGTTTAACAGTCATCTACGGTCAAGCCAGCTCATCACGTGCAACTGGCCGATCAACAAATGTTCCTGCGACAACCAACCGTCCGGCTAGTACAACAGGAGGCAGTAAATTATCCTGTGTTTGTTCATGCTGTTCAGGTCTTCGATGTAAACCAGTTCCTCTTCAATCGTTTCCTGATGCTACATGTACAACAAAAGCATGCAAAGAAAAATGTAAAATCTTTGAACCAAAACACTGTGATCACACATTTATGGGTACAAATGATGCTTTCTGTACTGTTAAAGTCTAAAGCGAAGCAGAGTTCTTTAATAAAGAAACGACTGTTTTTTTTTCAAAATCAGTTATTCACTTCAAATAAAGAATAAATAGTCCTAGTTAACTCTTGAATTTTTATACTAAAAAGTGAATGAAATTGGATGATTCATGGTCATATTTTTGATCAAGCACGAATCTTCTGTTTGAGGGTCAGAAGGAACGATTGCACAGCAATGCATAGGATGGTATCTACTGACGAGGAAACTTCTGGAAGTCATCAGCTGGAAAAGAGACGTGATTTCTAAACATCGAAATAAAGCATTTTTTCGAAGACGGTGTGAATCTCGATGCAAATATCATATATTTTCTTATCAATACACGTGAGAAGTATTTGTAATACCGACGACAAAAAACGATAATTCATGGCGTATGTTGGTTTTGATATATTTATTGTCATATTCGTAGATAAATAGTGTAGAGAAAGAGAAAGAAGGTAGTTTTGCGACAGATTTATCCTCAAAATCGTCTTGAGAAATGGCTGATTTAACAAATGTCCTCAAAACCGAACTTGGCGTAAAAGATGAGGAACATACTAAACATCGTGATCATCATGACAAAGTGATTGTGCCCAGTAAAGCAGTAGACGTCGATGTTACTCATGCGTTACAATCTCAACTTGGTCATGGTAAAGAAGTCGATGAAGAAGTTCAACATGAAAAAACGCCAAAGAACAAAAAATAAACTCATATTTGCGTTTTTGTTTCGTTGTAAATGTTTAATAAAAATGCTATCATATTCCCGCTCTCGATTGCGTATTGTTCAAGGCATTTACACATGTCATTTGTATAGTGAAAGAACACGCTCGTCGACCAATTAGTGACACTTGAAGACGAGGAGAAAAACAAGGACTGATCAACAATGAGTATTCGCAATGTCGATTGTTACATGAACAAAAGGAAATGGAACATGTCAGTAATGAACGTTGGATGTAAAAAGAAGAAAATAATAACGATCGCACTGGCGATTTCTATGCAAAATAATAGTTAGAGACATGCATTATATGAAATGAGTACTCATTAACACAGGAGTATGTCATTCACGAGTAAATGATGTTCTCAGGAAGACCTTCATCGAAGGGTGCCTACTTAATTAGATTAATATGTCTTCTGGATTGATTGAACGTTGAAGTAAATATATGGAAAATGGATTATTATTTGGTGTGTCATATAGTTTAGAAATATCGTTCTCTTTTCGAAAATAGAACTCAATGTTTCTAGAAATAACTCTTTGTGTCGATCTGTTCGATGGAATCTCTGAAGGCGCATGACTAATAAATTTCTTCTGAGTTAGATGAGATTGTTCGAATCTTAATTTTATTATTATTCTCCACTGATGACAAAAAAACGAAATTTGTCGTTACATCTTAGTGTACAAATTGTCGACAGAAAGGAAAAACAATGCTGATAGTCACTGTAAAAGAAAACTAAGAATCAATCTTAGATACACCCACACAGATACTGACAGAAAAAGAAGATTGACAAGAAATGACTAGAATGAAAGGACAATATTAACGTAATTGAATGAACTTGCATTCAAAAGGCAAGTGATCAACACTTGATCGATAAGAAAAACAGAATCACCAATGTGATGACTAGCGAAAGTTCGTCATTTCATAATGGGCAAAGCGTTCGTCATCGTAGATAGGTGCGGAGTTCACTGCTTGTGATGGTATAGTTTGTCGGTAGTAATCCGACGGAGTTGCAGATGGCCGGCGTTGGATAAGATTTCCACCGATACCGGCCGCACCGTATCGATTGATGGGCATTGGTGATTGAGTGAGATCATGTAACAATGGTGACGAAGGAAGAAGACGGGTCGTTGTAGTGACAACAGGTGCGGATCCAATCGGATTTGTTTGTGGTAAATGAGCAACTAGTGTTGCTGTCGGACGTGGTGGTACGTGTGTGGTGTCATGCGCTAAATCATTTTTTTCGTCCAGCTTTGGATGTGTAGCATTCCAATATGAATCTAAGAATGTGGCTAAACTGTTACAAGCATCTTCTAATTGATTCTGCTCTAGAATTAAATCGAACATATCCTAAAATGTAGAAAAGTAAATGACTATGTTTTGCTCAAAATTGGTTTTTCTTCAACATACGACAGGACATTGCGTTAGTTTATCAGCAGCGACTAACTGAACATTCAAATTTCGATGCTGACTTTTACCACGTGATTTGATTAGTTTTTGTAAAACCTTTGGTGATGAGACTTTCAGATAGATGATAATCGGTGCTAGAGAAGTCTTCTGTAACTGAGCTGGATGATTTATTGTATCACAATCGAGAACAACTAATTGTAGACTGCGTGCTAATTCAAATATTCGCTCAATTTCATCGTGAACTTCTTTGATACCAGTTGCGCGAGCAGTCATCGGACTCATTCCAGCTGCTGCCAACGGAGAATTGATACCACTTCCAGCTCCACTTCGTTCGATAAGTGCAATTTTTGATGGATTATTTAGTAGGCCACGTTTTGCCAGGGATATGTCAGCTGTCACACGTGTGATTATTATTCGACCTTCGTAACGATGTTTGAGAAAATCAAAAACAGCTTTTTGCATCATATCAGTGACGTCATATCCTTTCAGAGAGGGACCAACGAGAACAACAGGTCGCATATTTGGTACAACGTCATATGGAGTGATATTGACTGTCTAAAAGAGAACAGAATCCTAGAGATAGCACAAGTTAAGAGTCAAGTGTACTTTTTTGAAAAAATTCTTCTTCTTGTCTTTATTCGTATTGATATTCAATCGTGATTTGTTGACACTGTGATTATCACCATCGAGATCATTTCCTAATAGATCATCACCGAATCCTGGTATGGCCTGATCGATAATATCTAGACCTAGAAGATACAAACAGCTTGAAATAATTTACAACGTTTTTCGTTAGAATTACTTTGAGTAGATGCTTTAATTCGTGGTACTGTATTTGATAGCGTTTGTGCAGGATTTTTATTTTTACGAGTGGCATTTATGCGTATTAATTCCAATTTCGCTGGACTTGGAATAAAACCCAATGGAGCATCCACTTTGACTAACCGACCGATCCACCAATCGTTATTAAATTTCTTGAAAGACAAAACAATGAAGTCAAACAGTTCGATCATGGCGAAGCAATTCTTTTGACTTACATCTTTTATATGTAAGAACTCTTTTGTTCCGAACGGAAGTGCTGCTTTTGGGATAGGACATAGATCATCGGGCGCGGGTATATAATCGATATTGGTGCGCACAGCAAATGCTACTGGTTTCGTTTTACATCGTTCCAATGCTTCGAGTGCTGGACGTGTTTGGTCGCGAGATTTGACTGGTGGTGTTAAACCTCCGACAGATGCTGTCGCTGTTGTTGGCGCATCGGCTTGAGCTTCACCATCTAAACTTTCCGACGACTGTTGACTATAATTGGATTCAGCAGAGCCCTAGATAAACATAAAGTTAAGAAACACGAAAGAGAAGTTCCTAGGGAAATTTAGACGTTTGCAGTTCATAAGGGAATCGATGTTTAATAAATTTTCGAATACACACCAATATCAATCGATTGACAAGCAATGCAAAATTCATCGTTATTAGTATGTCGAAAACTCTTGCCCGAGTTCCGATGTTTTATTTTCCATCTGCTTTCTCATCAATCAAGAATTTGTCAAACATATATCTCTGTTCTTCGCTTGAGTCATTATTTATCGATATGTACCTATAGAGAACTACGCTGTCTTACTCGCTGTTCTAATTACAGCCGATGATAATTTATACGATCGAAAATAAATCATTGTCTTTCGAAAGAAGACATCTTTGACCTGGTATTCATCAAAGATCTCGCTCTCTCTCTCTCTCCTACTCATTCTCCTACATTGATAAGCGATAGTCAAAACAAATCGAAGAAATCAAATGACGAAGACTTACAGCCGTGGTTGTTGAATAAGCACTATCTGCTGAATACTGTTTCACATTTTTGATCGATGGTAAGAACATATTTCATCATATTGTTTTTTAATATTAATCAAAAAGAAAATTTCATCATTTATGTATATCACTACCGTTTATCGCCTGTTAGAATGCCTCATACAAAAAAAACACACACACATTCTCTTCCTTTGCTATTGCGACAATATTTTTTTTCTCTCTTCATTTTCTCTTTTTCCCTATCTCGTTTGATTATAGTAAATAGGTATCAATAGAATGTCGCATTAAGCGACAAGAATGCAGACGGATGTTTGTTAATTCTATACACGCACATGTAACAGACTATAGAAAAACATTAACATCAAATCATGATTTGACAGTGCGAGTAATACACCGTTCTATAAATGCAGAGAATCTTGCTTGTTTCGCTGATTGCTATGAAAGCAAACAATCATTTGTTCTCTCTTTCTCTCTCCTCTGCACTTTTTTCCTGACAAAGACAATAAATTTACACGACATCTTCTTGTACTTTCCGAACTAATTATAGAATATTAAAAAAATTGGTTTACTCCATTCGAGGAGAAAAACTCATTAAAAACATTGAAATGAAATGTCAATAGTGAAGGAAAGAATAACACTTACTTGACGATTGATACTGTTCGAGTCTGATGACAGACTACTGTCTTGCGTTACTCCAGCACCAGCTAGCCGCGGAGAGAAGGCCGGCTTCTAAAAATAAAACAATGATACTCATTAAATTAGATCAGTCATCTGTAAGGCAAATTTCACAAGCAAATCTTTATATTGAAAAGACTTTCCCCAAAGAAAGGATCAAAGACTGAGATGAGAAGAAAGACATCAAAGTCTTGGATAGAAACTTTAATTAACGTCATCTAGTCCACCAGAGAACATGATATGTGTTTCTCGAAAATCAAGTCAATATTTTCAAAATCTACTGAAATTTCCTTCGACTTAAGTCGTGCTGATTTTACTTAAAATAGCCTCATCAAGTCAGCAGTTAGAAGTTCAATCAATATTGACATTAAAAACAAGAGAAATTTCTCTTTAAAATCAATATCAAGCAAATTACTCGAGAGAAAACAGTTCGTCTTACTTTCGGATGAAGTAGATCACGACTAGTTCGAGGAATTGCACTTGATGGTAACGAATCGTTATTTGGTAAACTATTCGCCGTTGTGATCGCGCTAGATTTTATACTGTTCGTATTGTTGGCCATGAAGAGCATAATTTGCTTTGAAGATAATCATTTTCAATAATGAACAAGTTTGGAATAGGTGACGAAAGAATACGAAGTGACAAGTCTTGATTGAACTCTACTTTTTTCAGATTTGTTTACATGTTCATCTATCAAGTTGTTATTCAAGAAATTTGTTCATCCAGCCAATCATTGAAAAACCAACAACCTCTAGTCAGCTTTTTTCTTCCGTCTTGACAAGGAAGCACTTTCGACAGCGGCCTCTATCGAATATATTGATAGAAAAGCGTTTATATATATAATGGAACAATAAATAACAACATTGATAAGAAAAATATTTTTTTATATAGATGACAAGGAAAAATAAACCTACGCATTAAGATGGGTAATGAAGACATTGATATCGTAGGATAAATAACTAAGAAAATAGCCGCGACGAACAATCAATGATATTCAAAGTAAGCACTGGCGTTATTGCGACGTTTTGGTTTATGTATGAATCAATTCTCCACCGAGTTCGATGATATTTTTGCCAGTTAGCTTGCTCGACACATGGAATATTTCGTAATCTGCTTAGGGTGAGAATGGTAAAGATCAAAACACTTTTCGAATACAAAGTCGTTGGAATCCGATTGAGATTTAATTCTTCTTTTCTTTTGGTAGTTTATCGAGCACAGATTCAAATGGATTGATGATAACTAATTTATATAAGAGCACATTAATGTCTCATACAGAGCATTTCTTTTCTTTCAGAAAGACTAGCAACCTTTGCCGGATCACGAGATCACGTTCATGTTGATGTGATTGTAACATGAAAGTAAATACTTGGTCTTAAGTGAACGTGAACTTTAAAGATCGAGAGAAGCATGCAATTTTCTTCAAGTAGAATATTGATCTCTTTCACATTTACAGCGGAAATGAACTATTCAGTAAGAAAGGAATCGAAATCGATGCACAGCACGAAGCACTTAAATGCTGTGATCTTGCGATTTACCTCGATGAGGTTTGTGAGCATCGACTATTCTTAATTTGTTAGATTGAGTGAAAACATACAAAAAATGACGACTTTTTCGCCATATCATCGTTTAGTAATGAAATAGAGAGTCATGTTTTCAAGAGTTTCATACTAATCGTCGGATCTGACAGAGACATACGGATATACCGAACGTTTTGCTTGAGCAACTGCAGTAACGCGATCTTTTGTACTTGCGGGTACGATTGTCGCTGGGGATGGACTTGGTTGTATCGGCAAGGATGCCTGAGTCGTCAGTAGAGGAAATGTGTTGAACGGTGTTGGAACTAAAACTGTTGGTACATAGATAACGGTCGGATAGTTAGGACATGGTGAGATTAGAGGTACTATTGGCTGAGGTGATGTATAAAATTGTTTTGATGAATCTGTCGACGTATCCATCTGTGGTTCACTGTCACCATTACTAAATTTGACATAGATTGGTTTGGAACCAATCCATTGACCATTCATTTCATCCATAGCTCTTGTCGCGTCTTCAGCCGAATCGAAACAAACAAAGCCCACGCCTTTCGATTGAGTTCTTTTTCTTAAAATCTAAAATATACTTCTAACATTTTCTACACATTGTTCTAATGATCACCCACATGCGTTTTTGTAATTGTACCGAATTTGCTAAAAATATTTTCGAGTTGTTTCTCATCAATCATCGTGTCCAAATTGCTGACATATAAACACAATTGATGCGAACGTCTCCCCCAGATCTCCTCCTGTGCACGGCGAAGTTCCTTTTGTCTTTCGGATTTTCTCTGAAAAAATCCAACATACAAATGTTTATTTTGCTCTAATGGGTGGCCATTTAAATGTTCCATAGCCTAATAAGCAACGAAACAATCACACTCTCAAGAAATTATTTATATTCAATTAACCTCTCGTGCCATTTCCGGTCTTTCGAAATTAACATAGCCGAATCCTTTCGATTCGCCATTGCTATCAGTTTGTATCTAAACAATTATGAACGAATACGTATTTTTCACCACGGTAAATTTGTTTCCACATACTTTACAACTAGTAATAGTACCGAATGTCGAAAATAATTGACATAATTTGGTTTCATTGAAATCTGTGCCGAAGTTTTTCACATACAAATTAGTTGGATTCGATGATCGTTTTTTCTCACTCGACATATTCTATTCGATTACAACGACTCGTGTAACTTCACAGCGTCCAAGTTATTTTACATTAATCACATGCTAGAAAAAAAAACAACAGTTATATGTCATACCTTTATTTACTTTTCTTTTCTATCCTTTATAAACTTTTTCTCAGCACATGGAAATATACGTTACAGCGCATATTAGACACAACTTGTTTTCTGTTGGTTGCAAATTATGTACCAAAAATATTCCTGAATATCAGTGTTAGATCAATTCAGCTCTCATATAAATTAAATTCGGTCAAATCTGTATTTGATGTGCACGCACAATCTTGCGATAAAGAGACTCATTTTGAATCTCTGCAGAGTTTATTTAAGTTTTTCTTCACAGTCTAATCAAAATTCCATGAACAGTAAAACCCGTTTTTCAACTGTTCCATCGATGGTGCAAGCAGTAGCAGCTAACAATGTTAACTTATTTTCTTCGACGAATTGCTACAACGGAAATTGCCGACGATTTTCTTGCTCGATTATTGGCGATGCACTAATTCGCTCCTTGGATCGATAGATTAAGAATATCAAACGATGTTGGTCATTCGAACCGACTTTTAGTGCTTGATAAGTGCCTGAATAAAACAGAATCGCAAAATAATTGGAATATCAATCGGAAACACGGTAACATACAAAGCGTGTGTGCATCGACGATGGTTGCATCTTGAAAATTAGCTAGAATCCAGTGAAGATACGGGCCATTGATCGAATTACTCTGATGTCGTGCATCAGCATCGATCAAAATCTATAGTACAGTAGCATAGATTGAGTAACAGGTGTTTCATAGATACGAGAAGCTGGATGGACAAAAGGGTTTCATTTATATTAATTACTACGTCAACTTACTAATGTATAATATTCATCTGTTGATTCAGCATTGATTTCAACCGTGGGATGTGCATGTGTTTTATGTTGATCGAGTGGAATTTCACGAATTACTCTTTTGTCGCCATAGGCAATCGTCATCGATGTAACATTTTCTTTCTTATCATTATATTCTTGAAGTAGATAAGCAACATCTGAACTGATCTGTTCGTCGGATGTACTGGCCATGTCTTACTAGTATCGACTGACAATATCTGTGAATGAATAGAATAAAGAAATTTTTTGAGAGAAGTATCGTCGACTATTGACCTTTTCTTGTCTAGTTACGATCATATGGTAGCATCGGCTGAAACTGCATAGAGGGCAGAAACAATCAACACCATCATATCGAGCGTTGAGCCTGATCAAAACTGCCACGGTCATATCTCCTCGTGGTAATCGACGTTTGCGTATTACTCGCAGTTAGTGTTGTGCAAAAACCATAACGATACGTATGTGACTTTCAACATAGCGTTAGAACCACGTGCTACTGAGTATTCGCATGAAGATAGATATTTAAGGGATCAAGTTATATGTCATACGATGCTGTTTTTCATCAGGTGGAAAGCAAATTTGATTGAATAAATCGTTAACAGACATCATGTTCGCATTTTTTTATTCAAGACAGTCTTTCAAAGGTATACACCGTCATTGAAATTATTAAACAAGTAATGATTTCTAATGTCTATCTGTAATCTCCGGAATTCTTTCGAGCTTTAACGTAACATTCAACAGTGGATAGTAAAGTGCAAATGCAATTCTTTTCATTAATCAGTCATTTCTTTCTCGATTCGAAAAACTACACTCATATGCGACCTTTACTCCCCTTATTATGCAGTGTAATTCGTTCGTTCTGACGGTAGTTCGACACTTCGATAGCGTTTGCTTGAAGAAAGAACAAAACGAGGAGTGTCTATCGAAGCCGAGATAGCGAAAGAATAAGTAGTCCACGATATCACATATATCAGTGCATTTTCAGAAACGAATCATATTGGCAAGACAAAATGATATTCCCACAAGAGTTCTATTTATTATGGTCTTCATTAGAATTGTTCATGGCTTTGACTCACTTATTTGTTTTTCTTGGTAATTATTAGAAAACTTACAGATCTCGACTTATTTTATTATTTTCTTTCAATAGGATTTCGTAATCCCAAATTGGGCTTTTTACGTCGCCAACAAAATTATTTTCTATTGGATGCTTTTACACATGCTGTAAACGCCTTGCTCCATTCGCCAAAGACATTCGGTGGAGTACTTCACGTCATTTGGTTATTTGCCTTCGTTGTTCATCTTTACTATTATCGAAATCTGGCAGCCAATCCTCCACCGCCACGTCAACAAACGGGCGATCAATCAATCGAAGATAATTCCCATAAAATCAGTCGAATTTTTCATTGGTCTTCTTTAGAATTTCAAGCAAATCGATTCAGTATCATGCAATCAGGAAAGGAAATGCTCGAAACCATCATCGATGTTATTGCTCACACAGCTGGCTTTTACCTGGCCTTTCATCTGATCAATTCATTCGTGTATAGATTAGTAGCACTTTTACTTATGCTTGCCCTCCTCTATCGACAAATGCTTAGTTTAAAATACTTCTTCACCGAACTGAAAATGATGCCACCACATTTACAACGATTATTTTCATCGTTTTCAAGCAATCCCGTAGCGAACTAAACTGTTTGCCTTCCGCCATGGATTTCTTTGTTCTATTTTTCGTATCTCTTCTTTGAAAAATAAAATCTTATTTGTTGACTTTCAATGATAAAAATCTCGTTATCGTGCTAAGATCGCCCGAGCAGTTTCAAGATAACTTTCGCTGTCAGACATGATATCTTGATAGAAAATTTATTTATGACAAGAAGAAAAGAAAGAAAAAAATCTTGAATTACAATTCTTTTTCATTACACAAACAATACTGAAAACAGTTCGACGCTAATGAACAATGTCCTGATGCATGTCCGGTTTGAATACATAAATGATGACATTGATCGTTCTCACTCGATGTGATTTCATTTGCAGTTCGAGTTTGAGTACATTTCGAACGTTCATTGTGCAGACAGGTTTCGCCGTTGACGAGAGTGTTTTGTAGAAGGAGTAACACATTGAATAGAATCGTAAGGTAAAGAAACCAACGATTCATTGTTAATGAGCAGATTTCAAAATATTGGTTGAAAGTTTATAACCGTCTTATTCGAACAAATCGAAAGAAATGAAAATTACGTACATGTGTTTTATCTCTCATAGAACGAAGCAAAAGAGCAACAAGTACGTCTCGATGAAAGACATTATCAACCTTGAAGCGAAGAAGAGATCGAATGTTGATGTCGCATTTTCAATAGAAATCATACGATTTGAGAAAAAGTATTTCCTAGTTTGGTCTATTTCACACGGATATTCCCGCTAAGAACATCCGGTTGCACATATATGTGAGTAACTAACGATCTCTATATGTAACGTAACATGGTTTTGTATTCGTTCATAGATTGTCACCGATGATGACGGCTTGTGCGTAGGCTTACGGAGGAGATGAGTCAGTGTTGTTGGGAGAACGGAAAGAAAGAAAAAGAAATTTGCTTTGTCATCAACGATGACGGCATGTGGAATAAATAGAAAAGCTGTCTTATGAAATCGGTTGCACAACCGATATTAAAACGCTTATTTCAAATGGGTCGCTATAATGAAATTCTAGGAACAGCTTCGTCCAATGTTCCTGCTTATTCGAATGGTCATGACGAATATTTTTCCGGTGAACATCATTACTTTCATGGAGTATTGACTGGATTCAAATGGCAATGTGTCGAATACGCTCGTCGATGGTTGTTGATACGAAAAACATGTACATTCAAAAGTGTTCCATCAGCTGCAGATGCCTGGCATGATTTATCCCATGTAGAACGTTTAACCGATGGAAAAAGATTTCCACTAATTGCTCATTCGAATGGTTCACCTTCTGCGCCGAAAAAGGACTCTTTTTTGATCTATTCTCGCTGTCGCGATCTTCCTTTTGGACACATCGCCGTAATAACTGATGTCGGTAGTGATTCTATTCGTATTGCTGAACAGAACTATCGATTTCATCGTTGGTCGGGCAATTATGCGCGTCAGATTCCGATGGTATTCAGAGATGGAGGATATTATCTTCACGACCGATATCGAATCGATGGATGGATGGAAATTGCTGATAATGGACAACTTCAGCCGCTAGATGAACCGTCATTAGAAATCATACGTGCTAAGCAACGACTGTAGATTGAACGCATTTATATAATATTTTCTCTGACGTAAGAGATATTTTGAATAAAAATAAAACGAATGAAGATAACTTGAATAAATCTCTTGATAAAGAACAGCTACTATACGTTGTTCTTCTACGATCCGAACGAAGAGGAAAGAAAAAGCTTCACTGAAGCATGACAAACTATTCACGTGGAACTCGAGCTCTTTTCTCTGTGTAAACGACACACATGATAATTTTTGTTTTACATGCAATTATACACGATGACACATCTTCAATACTTCAAAATTTTGTGTCATGTTTCAAATGATTGATAAATAGTTTCATCCTAACAAACACATGGTTAACGCCAAGTAATTACTTCATTATTTTCTATTGCAGATGAGGACCATTAATTCCAGCCGGTCTCTTTATCGATGGCGACAAAAGAGATTACATCATATATTGGCATACTTTCGTTGGGCGAAATTACGTTGGGTGGTTTTCAGCATTTTGTTAACGATCTTCATCGTACAATTCATTCAAATTCGTTCAGTGACTTATCCGATCTTTTTTCGAATGTTATTTAATAAATATTTTCCAGCTAACAATGAATTTTCCGATGAAATTGAAACTACTACCATTGCTCCCGATGTTGTCCTTGAAATGAACGATCGTACGCCTGCATATAAACTCGTTGTTAGAGCAGATGATCGTACATACGTTGATCCTGATCGTGCACAAGCGAAACTACTGGAGGATATTAAATTATATGATACATGTCAGCATGATCCAAAAACACTCGTCGTTCACATTGGTCCTTACTTAGGTAAAAATCTAGAATAAAATATATACGCTAGATAGACATTCGTTCCCTCTCGTTATTTAGGAGATTTTGGTCTCTACGCGGCGGCATGTGGCTGCATGGTATTCATATTCGAACCTCAACCGAGTGCAGTTGCTCTAATCAATTCATCGATTAAGCTAAATGATTTTTCAACATACCGTGTGCGTCTTTTCAATCGCGTAGTTAACGATTTGCCGTCGAATTCTAGTGTACAATATCCGCCTGGCGATGGATCACCATCTGTATTGGATGATCCGGCTACGGTGTCAACAGTTCAATTAGATGATATAAACTGGCCTTCAGAGTCAATTTTTCTTTTGAAAGTCGATGCTGATGGCTTCGAAATGAATGTCTTTCGTTCTGCAAAGAACCTATTCGCTCAGAAACGTGTTCGCCACTTAATTTTCAAATACCATCCCTGGCTAATCGATCGGGGTACACAAAAAGCACTGCTACCATACGTACGGAGTGAATTAAAAGCTAAGTTTATCTACAATCTCTACCGAACCGATAATACGATATACGGTCCTTTACGTCCCCGAGATATCCAAACATTCTACGATCAACACGTCAATCAAGATCTACCAGCAGATATCTATGCTGCATTGGATAGCAACGCGAACCGGAATACAATCAAAGCACAACGATACCAAACGAATAAGCATGTTTCATTTTAGTTCAATAGAATTTCTTTCATTAAAAAAAAGAATTGTTTTATGTCGAACGTAATGAATAGATTAGTTAAACTCGAAAGTAATTGATCATACAGTTTTCGACATTTAGGTACCCAAGGATGCATAGAGCGATTGCGCCTTGAGCACAAGCAGTATGTCGATTTCCTTAATGATAACAATGGCAAACATAGTCATGACATTTCGAAACCGATCTAACATTAGAATAAATGATATCATCTGATCTTGTTAGTATATCTACGAGTACTTCCGAAACATGAATCAACGCTCGAATAAAGACTAGCACGTGTTTTTCGTTAACTATCGATTTTACACATTCGATGGAGCGATTGACTATCATGATATTACCTTGTCAGTAGTGTGCAGAATTCCAAACAACTTAGGAAAATACATCAACCAAGAAACTATGAGAATTTGTTAAGTGATGTTTATTATGACGAAACATTGGTGAAGTCATGTATTTCATTCATGTTTCGATCGCGTTCAACGAGTGAAGAATAAAAGTGCATCAATCTATGACGAAATGTTTGACGCATGTCCAACATTATGTCTGTGAAATCAGTAGTTGACAAACATGTTTATGACAAAAAAGAACGAAATGAGTATCATTTTCATCGTCAGCGTATTCACCATCTCTCTTTTTCTTCTCTACTTTCAATATATCGACAAACGAAAATGTCGATCATATCATATGTTTACTGTTTGTTATAATCGAGAATTCTTGACAGACGTGAAACAATATTAGATCCATATAAAAAAGTGCATGTATCATAATTATTATCGACAATTTCTGATTGCAAATATCAACACTATGAAATTTGGTGTTTAACAACATCGGCAGCTGCTACCTTACTTTTTCTTATAGATAACTATGAAGAATATTCTTCAAATTGCTTTTAGACCTCGACGAACGAATATGACATTAAGTTCAATACTTTCCAATTTCTCCAGATTAAATTGGATTATATCGATATCGATATCTGTTGTATTAATTATGATTCTCTACGATTTTCATACCTATTCTTACAAAGAAATTATCCGACTGATGAGCGATCCCGCGTATTCCGATTCGATCAGTTTTCTCTCTCCACAAAGTAATACACAGACACCATCCACTACAAAAGGTCCTCTGGAAGTGATGCTGGATGTTTATGATCGATCACCTACATATCAAATAGCAACGAAAGATGGCGAAAGACCGAGTGTGAAGGGTTATCAAGCAGAAACAAAGTTACTTGAAGATCTACATTTACTGGAAGTTTGCTCACGAGACCCATCGACTATTGTCGTCGATGTTGGCGCTTACTTAGGTAAAATGTGTTTACTTTTGAACTAAATTCTATTGATTCCTGTTCAGGTGAATTCGGTCTTTATGCAGCAGCATGTGGCTGTACTGTTTATATGTTTGAAATCCAATCAGACATGATTAAGTTGATTCGTTCATCGGTATCACAGAATTACTTTTCGGATTCTCGAGTGTTTGTTCATCAAAAAGCAGTTACTGATCTTCCTAGCGATTCAACAGTGACATTTAATCCTGAGGGAAGCGCAACAAGCATTACCGATGGTACCTCATCAGTACAAACGATTCGATTAGATGATGTCAATTGGACGTCACCTTCGATTTACCTCCTCAAAGTAGATGTCGAAGGACTGGAATTGGATGCTCTTCGCTCTGCAAAGAAACTCTTCGAGCAGAAGCGTATTCGCCATCTGATCTTTAGATATACACCTTGGTGGACTGATCGAGCGCCACAAAACACGTTGATACCATATGTGAAAAAGGAACTAAAAGCAAAATTTATATATACACTGGACCAAACGGAGAGCATCATCTACGGCCCATTAACTCCGAGAGACGCGTTCTCATTATATGATCGATATACGCAAGATAGTGTGCAAACATACATATATGCGACGTTTGATGCGAGAGCTGTAAGGTCTTCAATTAAATCACAGCGATTCGTGCCAAATAAACGGAAGAACTAAATGGATATTTTAGGTAATTTTTATGGTTTTCTTTTTTTTAATGAATATTCTCATTAAACAATGGAAAAAAGTTTAAATCAAAGACGTATGTTTTACATATGAAAATTTCTCTCACTATACGACAATTTCAAAGCTGAAAGCAATTCTCACTCTTCAAAGAAGTTCGTGCTCAGCTCACAACTGAGCTGAACGACGTTCAAGTATTATTACCATATTAACAGTCGAACAAGACAAAAAAGAATTTTACAGGTACGACACCACGGCCGAGAGTAAACCAATGACAATGATGAAAATAAAACTCAAGTTTCTCTTTATATATGTCTCTACGAGGAGAAGTCCTGTCTACTAAAGGACAGCCGTCTAGGTTCGTGGTACATAAAGAAATAAGTAAAAAGGAACTTTGTTGAATCAAAAGGCATATTTCACATATCATTGATTTCTTGATACCTGTGTAACGGTGTGTGTCAAAAAATCATTTTCCCAATGTCAATTATAACGGAAGGACCACCCTTCAACGTATTTTTGTTCTCGGAAAAAGAAACATCTGATTCAATATTCTCTTGCTTGTCTTCATTGTTCGAGCACTTCTCTTCGTCCCAGGTTGATTTTCATACATTATACAGCATGTCGATTTGATCGAGTAACGAAATGTCTAATTTATACTCGGAGAAAACTCATCATGATGTTATTACCAAAACATGTTTGTCTTGTTTCTTTCTAACTCCTCATTTCTATTTATCGTTCCATGTTCAGTGATGTGAAATTTCTCTGTATCCAACTGTTATCTGCGATTTATTTTTTTAGGGATCAATATGTCAAGAATCAATCAGATTCTGAATCGACTGAAACAACTGAGATTATATTACATTTTGACATCTGTGCGTTGGAGTAGATTACGTTGGTACATTATACTTCTCACCACCTTCGCGATCCTCAACTATCTTCATCCACTTCGTACATTATCGTCAGGAAAAATTCCTAATTCATGGCAGACATCACACTATTCCCAATATATAAACTCATTTTTTCTTGTAGCTAAACCTACTACCACCACTAAACATCCAGACATCATCGTAGATATGCATAAACGCAAGCCGATATACAAAATTGTTATCCGGCCGGAGGATAAGCCATTTATAAAAAATGAACGAGCTGAAGCCATATTATTAGAAAGAATACGTTTACAAGAAACATGCCGACAGGATCCATCAACAATTGTTGTCGATGTTGGTGCTGGTCTCGGTAAAAGAATACCAAAGTTATGTTTTGAACACAAAGGAAGATACTTTTTCGTTTTAAGGTACATTTGGCCTTTACGCAGCAGCATGCGGTTGCACGGTGTATATGTTTGATGCTCAATATGATATGATCAAACTCATTCGTTCATCTATTATACATAATAAGTTTCCAGCAGATCGAGTTCACGTTTATCATAATGTTGTTAACAATCTAGCGTCGCATACGAATGTTAGTTATCCACCTGGTGATGGTTCATCAGTAGTTACTGACAATTCTGTAAGTGTTGAAACGATTCGGTTGGATGATGTTCAATGGTCATCGAAATCTATTTTTATACTGAAAATCGATACGGAAGGGTCTGAAATACAAGTCCTTCGTTCGGCAAAGAAATTATTCTCACAGAAGCGCATACGACACCTACTTTGTAGCTATTCACCATGGTTAACGGAAGAAAAATTACTGAAATCACTCTTGCCGCATGTTATTAAAGACGATTTGAAAGCCAAGTTTGTTTTTGCACTTTATCCCTCTAATGATAATGTCTTTGGACCATTACGACCAAAAGAACTGGAGAATTACTACAATCAACAGTTGAAATGGAATATTCTGTCGGAAATCTACGCTGTCTTCGACGACAAAACGCCCCAATTGATGATCAAAGCAAAACGTTATAATTTATTCAGACCTAAAGCATAAAATATTCTTTCAAAGATAGTTCGATTTGAATTCCAAATTCACTTTGGATCAAGATTATTCGCCGATAAAATTCAAATCTGTTAGAATAGTAAAATCTCTGTCTTCATTCATTCTTATCGTTCAATGGTAATAAATGTTTGTAAACAAGAGAATTTTCGAAAATTTTTCTCTAATTATCTGGATGTTTGGCGAGTGTCGATACAAAGTTCTAAAGCAATTAGAAGATGTTTTTTTTTCTCCTTTGATTTTACTCCAATTTCATACGTCTCAAAATAAATGATGTTATTGATACAGTTTGTTAATTATCAAATATAATTGAGCCAACGAAGTACCTATCGAAGTATAATGTAGTGATTCGAGAATGACCAACACGGTGAATTTATTTCATGTTTACAATTCACTGTTATGAACGTAGTCGTACAAATTAAGCATTGAATGTTGTGTTGCTGTATGGTTTGGACAAGTCGAGAAGGAACAGATTGATTTCGTGTACGAAATCATGAAAATCTCAAGGCAAATCATTGTATTGATTGTAGATCAGCTCTGATATTTTCATGATTTCGGCAACTTGCGTGTTTTCAAATGACTAAACGAATTGGAATTATGACATCAGTTTGGTCGTCTCGGACAATTTCTAATAATTGATGGTGAACACATGATTCATCCAGTACACGCAAGTAAAAATATCGATGCAGAATGATTATGATTCCATGCATTTGTTATGCATAGGTCTGTAGCAGAAGAAAGGCATACCTTCAATCAATGTGCTTCTTCGCTACGATTATCTCTCTACTTCTCTTTTTATTTTTCGTTATTTCGTCTTCTAAGAAGATGAATGTCGTATGATACTCATCTAACTTATAACACGTGTGATTTATATTACTTATGCGTTAATGGTCAGAATAGATTTAAATCAGTTTACAATTGACTGAACGCACGAGAGAGATTTTTCGTGTTTATATGGAACGTAAGCAAATGTCGTGATCGAAAGGGTTAGGCAACAGCACATGGTGTTAGTATATGTGAACAAGAAGAAAAAGAATGAATAGGAAGAAACTTGTGAGGTGAGATTCTTTCTATCTCTCTCGTCCACTTTTATGGTTAAAATGCTTGTTCAAGTCTATAGCAAGAACGTAGAAAGACGATGAATTGATAATCTGGAACGGAATTTGCGATTACAATATCCACACAGTAGAGATCAAACGATTTCCAGAGCTGAGTAGATTTTTTTCGCACTTCTAGATATAATCCTAACTTATCTCATTATTATAAAGTTCACTACTAAACGTGCTGGTGAATCAATGCATTGGAATTCATTCTTCACTTGCAGATACAATCGTTATTCGAAACTATGTTTTCTTCTTTTATTTCCTGTCCTGATCATAATTTTTGTCGTAATTCAACGCGCACAGTATTTATTACCTATGACCACTTTATCAATACCGAGTAACTCTACGTTTCTATCAAGCCCGTCGAAAATACCTTTATCTACAACTGCGGCATTTTCTTCTGAAACTGTAGTACAAATGGATGATCGTGTGCCAAGTTATAAACTGGCTACTGAATCTGGTGATAAACCATACGCCGATGGCGATCGAGCACAAGCACAAGCCCTCGAAGAATTACATCTCTATGAAACATGTCAACGAGATCCATCGACAATCGTTGTCGATGTTGGCGCTTTTCTCGGTATCAAAAAAAATCTATATAAAAAATAAATTCCCTGTCTCCTATTCTAGGTGATTTCGGTCTCTATGCAGCAGCATGCGGTTGTACTGTATATACATTTGAAATTCAGCCAAAAATGGTTGCTTTAATTCGTCTATCAATCAAATACAATTCGTTTCCACCATCTCGCTTTCATCTCTATCATAATGCAGTGAGCGATTTGCCAACTGGATCAGCTGTGACATTTACGCCTGGTGGTGGTTCAACAGCCATTGTGAATGGTTCAATGTCCGTCGAAACTATTCGTCTAGATGATGTACCTTGGTCATCATCTTCGATTTATATGCTTAAAGTGGACGTTGAAGGATTAGAATTGAACGTTTTACGTTCAGCAAAGAATCTGTTTGTTCAAAGACGTATTCACCATGTGATATTTGAATACAGTCCATGGCTAAGTGATCGTGCACCGCAAAAGTTGCTCTTACCCTACGTAGAAAATGAATTAAAAGCAAAATTTTTGTATGCATTACATCGCAAGAAAAAAATTATATTTGGGCCTCTGACTCAAAAAGAATTACAAAGATTCTATCAAAGGCATTTAGTATCGCATCTTCAAACAGATATCTATGCTGTATTTGATGAAAATGCAACTAACACGTCAATCCGCGCAACTCCTTATAGGAAAGGTTTGCAGTCAGCTTGAGAAATCGACTGAACCGAGATTGTAGCTATTATATCGAATATGTGTTACATTCATTGACCAAGGACGATGAATAATGTAGTTGGCTATGTCACATTTGACATAACGCAGGGGAAGTACACATTATCTGATAACGGTGAACACCGACAATTTATAACTTGTTCTACGACGAAAAACGAACTCGACTTATGTTTATATTTTGCTTTGTATTTATATTAAAATTGCATCTGTTTTCTAGAATTAACTATTCTATTCTGCGCGAGCTTTTTTCATCCTCAACGATGAATAGATAATGCTCCCATTACGTATTAAAACATGTTTATCTATTTTACATACACTCGATAGACACTTTTTTTATCCTTGAGAAAAAATACAAAAGAAAGACGAATGCAAAGGAGAGGAAAGAACGGAAAATTCATTCGACCAGAACGAATTAATCAATACGAACAAATACATACACACATGCGCATCCCTAATCAACAGATATAAAATACTTCATAAAGAAACATCGTGTAAAATATCCAACTGTAATTATTTAGGTGTGTTCTACGCGCAAAAAAAAATACCACGCGATTTTTCTCTATATTTTCAGCTATGTTTGCTTACATCCAAATGTCATGAATTGCAGAGTGTAGACATATATGTATATATATGCATCATCAAAGTACATTGAAGGTATTGACGTCTTTTGATAAGTGGAGAATGATTTTACTGTTGTTCGTCTATTAGCTATAAAGGTACATTCCTGAATCAGATTTCTGAAATCTCTTCTTTTATCAACAGCGTTAATTATTGAAACTGAAAAACATGCAGACTACTCGAATGAAATATGTAAATGAGTATCCAATCGTGACAATCACAATCGAATTCAACTGTTGTTCATTCTGCATCTATCTCGTTGTAGATTACTATGTCATATATTAACAAAACCAATTCTGGATATGGTACATTATGCTTACACTATATGGTATCAATGGTTCGTGCTGCGAAGCAGAACTGGTTTATTTTAGTACTAGCGTGTGTCACTTCCGTGCTTGTCTTGCGTCATCTAGCTGCCATTTCTGACTTGCAATTATCACGAATGCTGCTAAATGGAGATGAACCAGAAACGGTCGTCGGAACCGATATTGATGGAGAGAAAACACAAGAGGGAGGGGGTATGGTTGAAGATAACAAGCCTAACGAAACAGTATTTGACATGGACAATCGAGAGCCAGCATTCAAACTTGTAACCAGGACGGGCGACAAGCCACCGATAGATAGTGATCGGGCATATGGAAAAATACTCGATGAATTGCATTTGCAAGAAACTTGTCAACAAGATCCATCAACCGTTGTCATCGATGTTGGTGCTGGTCTCGGTAAAAGAATACGAAAGTGATATTTCGAACGCGAACGACGATATTCTTTCTTTTTAAGGTACATTTGGTCTTTATGCAGCGGCGTGCGGTTGTACTGTTTATATGTTTGAAGCTCAACCGGATTTAGTTAAACTCATTCGCTCGTCTATCCGCCAGAATTCATTTACATCGCCACCCGTGAATGTAACTCAGAGAGCTGTCATGGATTTAGCAAGCGATACAACGATTGATTTTGCACCTCCGGAAGGTGCTGGAGGTGACACCGAAAGCGTTTCGGTAGAAACTATTCGATTAGACGACATTTCATGGCCATCACAATCTATCTATGTACTCAAAATAGATGCAGCTGGAACGGAATTGAATGTTCTTCGTTCGGCCAAAAATCTCTTTGCTCAAAGACGTATTCGACACTTATTTTTCGAATATACTCCTTGGCTAGGGAACCAAGAATCTCAGAAGAATCTCTTATCGTATGTAAGAAGAGATTTAAAAGCAAGATTTATGTACAATCTTTATCGAACGGAGGAGATTTTCTATGGGCCTTTGGTACCGATGCATTTTCCGACATTACACGATCGGGTCTCACAATCTCGGACTGAAGCAGACATTTATGTACTTCTGGATGGTCGAGCAACAAAATCGTCGATCAACTCTCAACCATTCCCTATGAACAATCGCTAGCTTGACATGTAAATTCAGGCATTTTCTTCTTTAGTATATTGATTCTACGCTGATTCTATTGTTTTTAAATATAACATCACAGCTTTCACATTCACTACTCTATAAACCCTACTACGAGCATCACGACGACGTGGTAGGTTCGTTTTGGCAATTTATATCTGTTCTATTCTATCAGGAACATTAATTGACGTGCGTTTAATTAAATTGTGTAATAACCATCGATTTTTGTGCAAATGTAATGCATGATAAAAGTTCATACCATGCGAATTTTCTTGCTGAGGATCACATCCTATTTGAATGAGCAGTTCAACCAATCGATATCGGCGACCTGCAACTTTCAGACAGGTGAAAAGTAGCAGATTGTTTCCATCTTTATCTAATTGATGAATTGATGACGGAGATGATTGTAGAAATTGTTCGATCAATCGGCGGTCTTTTTTCTCGAGTAGTAAAAATATGCACTCTTCATTGATCAACCAAACCTCGGCAAGTTTGTCCTTGATAAGTCGATGAAATAACTTTCTTCGCAATTGGTTCTCTAACATAATACTCACAAATTGTCTGACGTCGTGGAAAAGCTTTTGAAAAAAATCGATATCTCGATAAATTAGGAGTATAATGTCTAATCGATTGTTTTCGATCAAACTATCCAGAATATACTTGAACTGACTTATCAATTCTCCGTCAGATCGTTTCTTTCGAGCCAGCGTTCGATATTCATTCAAAAGTATTTTCAATATTTCCAGCTGAGTTGCATAAATGAGAACTTCACCGACCGGAACTCGCCGACTTTTTGAAAGAACATCCAAGATAATCATTATCGTTTTCTCGAGCCAAATCTCATCATCAGATTCATATTTCTGACACTGTGTTGCGAAGAGTATCAATTCACTCAATGCTTGATAGCCCCGTTGATGTCTTAACGTTGAATAGTAAATCGAGTAGACAAGATACTCGTAAATACTGAAACGATGTCCGCCACCATAGCATGGGTATTTCAATAGTGAAGGATTCGAGATGAATAAGGTTTGAAAGATTTGCGAAGCCAATATTGATGACGATGAGAAAACGAGCTCGCGAAAATCATCGGCAAAATAAAATCCAGCTTGTTCGTGTTCATTGTATTCAAGTGATGCGCCCTGGGCGTGCACGAGTGTTTGAATTTGCCTGAGAATCGGTTTTTGAAATGGATTATGAAGATTCTCAAATGTTTTCTTAAGTTCCGCATCGTGCTGCGTTCGTTGCTGAGAGGACAGATCGAATCGAATCGATTTATGATGGGAGATGTTTTGCTCCACATGTGATTTCATTTGAACATACTGTTCTTGCAAATGGTATTGAACTAATGCTCGAAAACATTGTTGTAATCGAGATTTCTTCGTTAGTTTATTCGCCGATGATAATTGGTGAGTAATGGTTTTGAATAACTCTGAATTCGAATATCGAGAAAAATTTCGATCATGCTTTTTTATATTGATAAGTTTAGCGAGTAAATATATTTGTTTATCGAGCAGAATATGATTGAAACGTTGGTTTAAACCAAGAAATGTGTGGAATAGAAAATAAATGTCATTAAAATATTGAAAGATAATCAATAAGATTTCATCTGGTAACGTTTCTAGTGTTGAAACAAACATTTGCACGATGTACTTTCTAGTTATTTTTTTGACCTTCGACGAACCGTTTGTTTATTCGTACGTGGATTCGATTAGATAAAACCAATCAGTTTTCTTACTCATTATCGAAATTAATCATGTCGCGAAAAACAATTTTCTAATGAGGTACAAGATATTTCATGATCGACTTTTCAATCGATAAGAAAAGTCTGTCGCTTTAGAAAGGTCATGCTAATCGAACTATATGCACAAGGCAACCGTTTGTATCCTGCAATTAGTTTATGTACTTATATTCAAGATGACATCTTTCTCAAGGATAAAGTGTAACATACGTAGTTCTTTTCCGACAAAACAAGAATTCCTGGTATTCGTATGCGTTTTTGAAGAGTTTTACAATCAATTGAAAACGGTGTTGTCATGATAAGACAAAGCTATAAAAGCAACACCAGGAATCATTATTAATAAAGCGCTTGTGATCAAGATGTTGAAGATCTTTCTTATTGCGTTTTTTCTCTCGAAAATCTATCAGACGATCGAACGTCCGTTAGTGATTGGGCATCGTGGTTCAGCGTATTTACCTGAATTGACGCTAGAGACTCAATCTATGGGGCACGCCTTGCATTCCGATATGATTGAAATCGATGTATGTCTTAGTCGAGACAATCAATTGCTCGTTGTTCACGGTAAATTCATAGAATTTCCTATCTCTGTCAACTCTTGTGATTTTATATACAGATCTTTACTTGAATGCAGTCAGTAACGTTGGTAATTTGTATCCAAATCGAAATCGGTCAGATGGATATCATTATGTGATTGATTTTGATCTCGCTGAGTTACGTCGATTAACCATTCATGAGCGTACTATACCATTTACCAATACTCAAGTTTATCCATCTCGATTTCCTTCTTCATCGTCAATCCCATTTTCTCTCTCGACATTGAATGAAACACTTGAATTACTTCTTGGTTTGCGTCGATCAACAAATCAACAGTATCAATTGCTTATCGAAATTAAAAATCCGGAATACCATTCACAATATAATCGATCGATCTCAGAAATTTTACTTTCAACATTAGCTGCTTACAATCTAACTGAATTAACTGATCCAATTGTCATACAAACGTTCCATATTGAAGAATTGATACATATACGCAAGAATCACGGTAGTCGTTTACGTCTAGTTGCCTTATTGACATGGAATTGGTTGAATGAATCTTCGAGTGACTACGATTTCTATCGAAGTGAACAAGGTTTACAAAATTTATCTTGGATAGTGCAAGGAATTGCACCAAACATGGAATTATTAGTGAATTTTGATTCGAATGGTTCGATCATCGATATGACAAATTTAACTTCGTTGGCTCATAAGTATCAACTTGCTGTCTATCCGTGGACATTTCGATATGATACATACAAAGGAAATTTCAAAGAATTAATCGACTTTTTCCATCGAAAAGTTCAGGTTGATGGGTTCATTACTAGTCAACCTGATCTTGTGATCAAACTATTAGAACAGACAACAACGAATGCAATGGGAGAGCTTCCAGGAATATCGATGCTTCTCTATGGCTTAATATTTGTGATATATTTACTTATGAAAATGAATACGAGTATATAAAAGAATTGACTTCACTTAGATCGAGAAGCACGTTCAATTTAAACGATAAAAATTGAGTAAACTTTACGAGAATATTCTATCGCATTGTGATTTGATTTCAATAAATACTAAATTATTCATCACTGAATCACATAGTTAAATAGAAAACAAAAATAAACATTTTCTTATTCATCTCGAAGATGTTCTCTCGATCGGTATCGTTGCTTCTGCTCGTGAACCGTAAGTTATTGCTAACAGTACGGGAGAGAAATATTTTTCTTGTGGAATTATCTAATTTAGTATATCTCATCCTCACTCAAGTAAATCTTTCAATCGAAATCGATGATGTTGACTTTGCGAATCTGATTGAATGGTATAATTTCTCCATCTTTGTCTGTGGAAATGAATCAACTATCGAAGTACATCTGTTTGATTGCGAGTTGCCCATGGAAGTGCTCGAAAATTTTGATAATGCAACGTGTTATCCAACGACGATTCAGTCAACTCAACAGACCACCACGACGATGGACATTCAACTAATTATTAACAAATGTCCCGATCCGAATTATATAGGTAGTTATTGTAACGTTACAAACGACAAGTGCATATCCATGGAGCCATGCGAAAATAATGCTGAATGCATATCGAACTCATCTTACCCATTAGGATATCATTGTCAATGTTTATCCGATGAGTATTCGGGTTATAACTGTGAAAATGATAATCGAGATTGTAAGAACGATACTTGCTGGTAAGAAGAAAGATGGTTTCGAATGATAGGAACACCATATATCTATTGATTATTTTAAGGCATGATGGTAAATGTATTCAAGACAGTATTGCGATTGATAATAAAACAACATTCGTCTGTTTGTGTCGACAAGGCTATGAAGGATTAAATTGTGAATTAGTTTCGAACATGTGCACAAACATAACCTGCGAAAACCGAGGCGCTTGCAGATCATCGGAGTTATCCTGGCAATGTCATTGTGTGGATCCAACGGTATATTCAGGTGTTTACTGTGAACATGAAAGTAAATCGTTGGTAGTGAAGAAAGCGCTAGGAAAGTCATTTGCATCAATAGCAATTGCGGCTATTGTTGTGGTGTTTCTATTTGTTATTGTCATGGATGTATTGAAATATGGATTTATGATTGATCCAGTGGAGAGAGAACGACAATTGATGAAAGATGAACGAAAGAAGAAGAAGAAGAAGAAAGTCGATAAGAAGATACATGGGCGCATAGCAATTCGTTTCGTGTATATAGATTCTTCTAATAATTGAGTGTATGTTTATGAATTAAATTTGAAAAGTATACAAATTATACTCATATTATCAATAGAATTATCTACAATCACAATTAAGAAGTCTATGAAATTTAAAAAAGTACACTCTTGCATCTTCTGAAGGTTATTGTTTCATTTTGAATGAAGAAGTCAATAGAAGCGTTAACACGATTCGCTGTTCTAGTACAATGTTGAAATACGTCGAGCAGAAGAAAGGAAATCTTTTTAGCCTTAATTCAGTCATGAGTCTCACACAATGAACACCTTCGATTTGTTTTGTTTACCACTTGTTGAGATTTTGACCAAATAAAACAAACTTTACAAGGTCATTTATTCTCCTTTCGAACAACAACGATTATCTTTAAATCTACTTTTGCTATTCATATTAATTACAAGAGAATCCTTGAGATGATGTTTCTCTTCGAAATTATGCTATGACTCTTACCCTTCAAGGCTAAAATTTCTTTAATTGGTCGTAAATGATAAAGACAAAGTTTCGTTACAAAGATTCTCCAATGAACTTACACGCTCATCATAGAATTTGATACAATATTCCGATACGGATTTGAATTTTACTTGCTAAAATGAGAAAATTGGACTTTAGGAAACAAGGAATGTAGTTGTTCGATACGATGAGCATGTTTTGAAAAGTCAAGAGTCAACGGAAGTTTGATTCGTAAATGAACTAAATTGGGTACGTAGGTTGTTAATAAACGAGTGAATAAATCAAATGAGAAATTCGCGGTAAATTCATTTTGATCGATAATTAACTGAAAAGTTTCTAAGTGCGGTAGAATGGTTAATAACCATTGCATATGTTCATACCAATCACTACCAAGTGAATAAAATCGAACGTAAAGAGAAGAAATGGACTGTTGGGCCGGAACTGAACATGCTGAAGGCAATTTAAAGGATAAATCTCGTAAACGAATGATTCGTATATGCGTTAAATTAGGACACGAAGAAAATATATGTTCATAGTTGTTTACTTTCCATGTTGAAGGCGTAATAGTCAAATGTCGAAGTGACAACGATGAATTCATATGATTGTCATCGAACGTTATTCGATCGATTTGACAAGAACGTAAATGAGGAAAGGCAGGAGAAAATATCAGACGACTTAACTGTTGTGTATGGTCAGAAAAGAAAAAATTCGATATGGATAAACATTCGAGATAGGGTAGCACGTACGGTTGAATAACATTACATTGAGCTTCTGTCGGCCGCGATAACTTTAATGAACGGAGATTTTTGTACGCAGATAAATCGATCTCTTCGTCATGATTGACAGTCAATATGCGGACACGTGATGAGAAAAACGGAGTCGTTCGTGGTCGATTGTCCCAGTCTTCTTCAAGAGTTAAATGAAGATGTTGGAAGGAGTTTATGAGAAGATTCAAACGAGAATTTAAGTTATAAAATGCTCCATACAAATCATACGCACTGAGATAACCAAATAGTTCAATGAATAGTTCATTTGGAAAGGTTTCAATTGTACTGTTCATCGTCAAACGAAAAACTGACATTATATCATTATAAAAAATAGCCAGTGAACGAATGATGTGTTGCCAGCAGATGAGGAAAAAAAGAGTGTACAATGATTGCAAAAGCGTGCGTATTCAGTCATTCTGTTCAAGTGAGAAGGGTCAAGGCCCAAAAGAAAAAAAAGAACACAGAGAAAGAGAATAGAACAAGAGTAGGAGCACAGTCGAAGGCAGATACTTGTATATGTCATCAACCATTCACAATAGTATGACGTAGGTAGCACACTCGTGTGCTATACGTATATGTGACCAAATCATTAATTAAAATACACAATCAAATCGTGAATGTGTCATTCATGTCAATACATTCTGTTTCAAAAGTCTCAATTTGTTTGTTTGTTTGTTTGTTTCTTTATCGAACGCTAGAAGTAAATGAGTCAAGTTTGCGTTATTACGAAATAACTGAAAACGAATAACGCACTGATAACATAGCGAAATGTATTCACACAGAAATGAGTGAGAACATCGATCGTAAGTAGGCAAGAAAACGTAGCACGAAATATTAACACTCTTCGCCCTATTTAGTACAAATTATATCATCAAAGATCATCAAATCTAATTCGTTTACATCATTGAAACTATCTCCCAATGATTGGATTATACCTTCAAGTAGCACAATTAGTTGCATCTATTTTTATGACATTCAGCAATGGTCACTCTTCAAACAAGAAGTTAATGAAATCTTTATGAATGTAGAAAGGTTGACATCAAGTTTACAGCTTTTGTTAAAGTTTTATCCTTTATTAAATGGTACGTTCAATGTATTCGATACTGATAATCGAGTATCTCTTGAATACGAAGAAAACAAAGGTGGAATTTTGTTCGTTTCGACATTGGTCAATATTCCTTTAAGTGATTTACCAGTCACAGTCGACAAGTATACTGATACGAAGAAAATACCTGAATCACTTCAACTGATCAATTCCTTCCATCCAGATCATTTACTTCATATTCGTCATACACGATTTTCATGTGGAAGTGTAGCACTCGGCGTATCACTGAATCATCAAATTGCTGATGCACATTCGTATTTCCAACTTATTGATCACTGGCGACAACTGTACAGAGATGAAAACTATCAACCAGACGTCTGTCATCAACGATCATTTCTCGAACCAACTGACGAAGAAATTCAACAATTACAAACTTCGAATCCTGGTTTTGATAATCGAAGAAGTCTTGCATACAATGAAGAAATTCCCGATACTTCGTTACTAACAAAACAAACAGTTGTCAAAGTATTTCGATTTTCACATGATGAACTGCAGCGAATGAAATCTAATGCGACTGCTCATCTTTCATCTGATATTCGTTATCTATCAACATTTGAAGTTCTTACCGCCCATCTTTTTCAGCATGTCATGCTCGCGCGTTATCATTCAGCATCCTCGACATCGTTACAAAGCAAACTCTACATTTCAACTAATACTCGTCCACGTTTGGTTCAGCCATCCATTCCTACAAGTTATTTCGGAAATGCAATTATGCTCTCCTATTCCGAAATGATGCTGAATGATGTACTGAATGTTGATAGTCTCAGTTCAATCGCAAGTCGAGCTCATAAATCAATTGAAGAGAATACAAGTTATGATATTCGAACGACTTTGGCTTGGATTGTCTGTCAGAAGGATAAAGCAAAGATACGACCGACTTGGCATTCCGAAACAACAGACTTTACGATTTCTGCATGGAATAAAATGGGAATGTATACAGGCTCTGAATTCGAAAGTGATGTTTGTGCATGTCGAATTATCTTACCACCGGATGTGAAGTTTAATGGTGCAGCGATATTACTTTCAACGGAAGAAGATGATGGAAGTATTGACGTCTTCTTAGGACTAGAAGTGAACGAAATGGATCGATTGGAAAAGAACTCAGATTTTCGAAGATATTCTGGAAAGTCAAACCGATGATTTTCTATAATAAATAGTCATTTGCATCTTGAAATGGAAAACTTCAGAAGCTCAAAGTGTCCAGAGCTTTGATTACACGTTCGATAGATCGAAAAGTTCAATAAATAATCAACAATCACCTTCCACACCATTTACTTTATAAATTTCTTCTTTCTCTGTGTGTTTATCCAGGATTGTCTATTTGTAGATGTTGTCCGTTACTGTCTTCTTCCAATAATCATAAGATACTTTGACAGCGAATCGAGCTTGTGAGAAAAAATCAACTCTATCTGTACTCCAGGTAAAAGAGTGTCAGTTTCCGGAGTCGGAGCTGTCGATCTCTGTTTGAGATATTACAACAATCCAAATCTCACAAAAATGTCATTTTTTTCTCTTTCAGAAGTCTCTCGTGCTCAAGCACAAACTTCTGCAATAACATATAATTCAATGGAAACGTTAATAGAACATCACAATACTCGAGGTTTTCCTAATTGCGACTCATTTGGCGAAGGCTTCATTGCAAACTGTTACTCTTTGGTTCTTTTGAGAATGATTTTTCCAGACGAGACTATACGGTATTTTTAATTTTCACTACTATATCTCAGCAGGTTTACAGAAACTAAATAAAAGATTCAATTTCGTGATAACTTCAGATTTCTCATATATTCACGTTATAGCACGCTATTGTGGCACGATGTTTAACTAAGAACTTTCATAATTATATGTTCTTTTCCTTCCAGATTATCCCAGAAGGTGAAAAGTAGAATCTTTGTGGCAGATCTTCATTTCAAGGTTCGGTACGTATTCATGTCACTTCTCATCAGTATTCCACATTATATGTCGATCTATATCGGAATTCCTCTGTATACTTTTGGTTTTCTCGGTAATTTAATCAATATTACTGTTCTTTTTTCCAAACGAAACAATCCGTGTACATTCTTATTGATTTACGCATCAATTATTGATTGTTTTGTACTTAATATTGGCCTATTACCACGTATACAAGCGGTAGGGTTCAACACTGATTCGACTTTAATGAATTTACCGTGGTGTAAAATTCGATCGTACGGATTACGTGTTACATCATTGACTTCAATTCACATTGTTTCTCTCATGTCAATCGAACGATTCTTTGTCAGCTGTCGAACAGCTCACTGGCGGGACATGAGTAATCTAAAATGGATTCGTTGTGTAGCGTTTCTCATCACATTTGTTTTCGTTTTCGAAAGCTTACCATTCCTCATTCTAACAGAAATCCTTCGTTCTGCGACGAGTATCAGCTGTACTCCGATGTATAATGCGATCTTCGCAAGATATGCGTCATTTTTCGGCATACCAGCTTTCTATGGCGTCATTCCGTTAAGTATTATGATAATCATGAGTATTTTAATATACTATAAATTACGTACGAGAACTCATCTGAGAAAGGCACAACGTTCATTAACATTAATTATACTCGTACGAATCATAATCGTCTTAGTTTCGTGTGGTCCATATGCAGTGTATTTCATTTACTCAGCGATTGTCATGCTTACGGTGTCAGGCAAGTCTTCGGAAAGAATCGCTATAGAAAATTGTATACTAGGTGTTGTGAGTACTTTTCTTTATGTCACGTATTCGCCATCATTTTTCATCTATTATTCCATATCATCATCTTATCGAAAGCAAGTTCTTTATGTACTTCGATATGTTTATAAGAGAAGAAGAAATGCAATTCAACCAGCATAAATGATAGATGATTCAATGAATGATGGGTTTAGAAAGTGACTTAATAAATAGCAATGACGTCAAGAAACTGTTTTCGTATTTGTCTTAGCTATTTGAAATACTTCGATTTGAAAATAAATAATGAATCAGCAGAAAAAGCTGCATTAAGGGCATTCATTTCGAGGTAGAGGCCTATGACACGAACGAGAAGAAGAAAGAAACCAATTGTTAGCTGGTATCAAACTTTTGCGAATAATTTGCTTCTCGTCCAGACATGAACTCGAGAGCAGAAGAAATACGTCTTGAAAATAAATAAATGTATATATATGTCTATAAAGCACCAGGCAACACCGATTTTGACATAGGTAAATATATACTATTACTCATTGGATGTCATTGAATGGGACGTTAAAAAATATTTTTCTTTTTATTTGTTGCTATTTGGAAGAGAAAAGAAATGTGTGTTGAAGTAATCTTATCGATATATAGTTGCATACGTTTTTTCTCTCTGCCAGGATCAAGAAATTATGACTACTAACAGTAAGGATTTGACATATATTGATTTTAACCATGGATGGAAATGCTACTATCAACGATCGAATGATAGTACGATTGCATCAGCAAGCAATCCTGATCAATGTTGGTCTCCTATTGATTTACCGCATGTGACAAAAGTGAATGCAGATGTGGGCCAATGGTGGTACATGAAACAGTTTGAATGGTCTGCGATAGATCAAGAATCACAACAAGAAATTTACATCAGGTTCAAAACATCCGACACCAAATCTGACGTTACTGCGACGATCTGGATGAATAATAAACAAGTCTATTCGGGTTCATTGTCTTCATTGAAGAAACCAGTCGAAATATCTCCAAAATTCCTACATAAAGATAATAAACATGACAATATATTGTTAATCCGTTGTTTTGACAATGCAAGCCTTACTTTTCAAGTTTCTCTTCTGATTCATGCCAAACTCATTTGTGCAACTGGACAAGTAATGACTGATGAACAGATGGACAATTCAGAGCATAGATCAATGAATATTCTGGATTATACGGTTAGCCTCGATAACAATGATGGACGCATTGATCTGGTTTTTAATCCAGAACTAAAATCGAAATCAACATCAAAGTCGTTAATCCAACAAAATGAGATCATGGTACCGCATAATAGAACAACAAATGAAACCACGGATGAAGATATTCTTGTTCCTCGTCTGGCAATTGTGATACTCATTGTTGGTACTCGAGGTGATGTTCAGCCATTTATCGCGTAAGTCGATTCAACAGAATGATTATCGGCAGAGACATTTATTGTGACTTTTCAGTCTTGGACAAGCACTGCACCAAGTAGGACATCGTGTTCGCATAGCTACGCATGAAACATTTCGCTCATTTGTTCGTGGTAACGGACTAGAATTCTATCCATTGGCTGGTGATCCAGCCGATCTAATGGCATTCATGGTGAAAAATGCTGGTATTATTCCTTCGATGAGTTGTATTCTCGAAGGTGATCTTGTGAAAAAACGTCGTTGTCTTGCTGATATTCTTGCTTCAACTTGGCTCGCATGTATAGCAGATGATGATGAAACGAAAGCACCTTTCACTGCGGAAGCGATCATTGCCAATCCACCGTCGTTTGGTCATGTACACTGTGCGGAAAAACTACAAATTCCTCTACATATCATGTTCACAATGCCTTGGACACCAACAACACAATTTCCTCATCCATTAGCAAATATCGCAAGTTCTATTGGACTGAAAGAAACGATTAATCTATACTCATACGATGTGATTGAAATGCTAGTAAGTCAATGACTCAAATCGTCAAGTCTATTCCTGAATTTTTTTATCTGTAAAAGACATGGACAGGTATGCGCGACATAGTCAATAGTTTTCGGAAGAAAACCTTAGGACTTCGAGAATTACATGTACGGCAAGCGATCAATGTGTTGATCGATGAAAGTGTACCACATACATACTGTTGGTCACCATCACTTGTTGCTAAGCCAAAAGACTGGGGCGCACATATTGATGTTTCCGGATTTTTCTTCCTTAATCTTGGTTCTTCTTATACAAATCCTCCTGATGATCTTCTGAGATTTTTGGGTATCAACCATGATGGAACCTGTATAGGTGACTCGATAGTTCCGCCGATTTACGTAGGTTTCGGTTCAATTACCGGTCATGATTCTCGTCGTATTTTAAAAGTTGTTATCGATGCTGCCGAACAAACAGAATGTCGAGTCCTATTGTCAGGTCTAGCAGTAGATACCGATCGATTACCGCCCGACATATTTCGCATTGGAAATGTACCGCATGATTGGCTCTTTCAATATGGTATATATATATATATATATATATATTTGTTTTTGACTGCTCTTTGAATACATGCAACTATTCTTCATTTAGTATGTGCTGTTTGCCATCATGGTGGAGCAGGCACTACAGCTGCTGGCCTACGTGCTGGTAAACCAACAATAATCATACCATTTTTTGGTGATCAGTTCTTTTGGGGTAATGTAATCGAGAAGAGCGGTGCTGGACCACAAGCACTTCCAGGAAAATCAATTACTAGTTCTCAACTAGCTGCAGCATTCCGTTTTGTTCAAAAACCATCGACACGCGCTGCTGCAGAACGAGTTCGGGATGGTATTCTGAAAGAAGATGGATGTGCAGCAGCTATCTATGCATTTCATGCTAATCTGCCTTTGAAACGTTTGCACAGTGATCTTGAGCCAACGTTCGCGGCTTGTTATTATCTGGATAACTATAATATGCAGATTTCTCGACCAGTAGCTCAGGTACTTGTCGCTGCTGGCGTTGTGCAAGAATATGAGCTCCGTCATCATATCACGCGCGAATGGCGATTTGAACACGATAATCGTGTACATTTAGTCACTCATGGGATTGTTGAGCATTCTGAAAAAGCGATTTCAAGTATGTTTATTGATACTGCCGAAGATTTAAAACGTGCTGTGAACAATGATGATCCAGTGAAAGGAACATTAGAAGGAGTTGGAACTGTAGCGAAAGGTGTTGGCCTCGGTCTAGGCCATCTAACAATCGGATGTTTATCGTTATACGGTGAAATGACAGATGCACTCGATGTGATTACATCACTTTATGATCCCTACAGGTAAGATCGTCTCTTCAAAGTTTTGCTTCGACATATTCAATGATTAACTCATTTATAGCAATCCGAAAGCACGCGAACGGCCACGCGTAACAGATTTCAAATCAGGTGCCAAAGCGGCCGGTTTAGCTTTATACAATGGTTGGAAAGATGGAATAACTGGTATTGTCAAGCAACCACGTGCTGGTTATCAACGTCATGGAGCATTGGGTACTGCAGCTGGCTCGTTGATTGCGACAGTCAATGTAGCTCTGAAACCAACAGTCGGAACTCTTTCATCCATTACTTGGCTAAGTCGAGGTACTTATGCCAGCGTTAGAAAGACAATAGAAACGTATCGGAATGAAGGACGACAGATTTCATCGAAACTGTTTGATGCATCATCTACGAATGGTGAACAGACAATGCATGACGATGCTGGCGCATCATATTCAGCAACGGTGAAGACAGCATCAGCACGTTCGGGTTTTCATCCAAAAGTATGCCAGCATATTCTTGATGAATTCGAACGAGTCAAAAGAGAACAAGAGCAAGAAGCTAGTGTAAAAACTGGCAAAAAACATCGGCTATCCGACTTTTTTTCGAAAAAGTAGAAAAAAGAATTACTGCGCATTAAAATTAAAAATAAACTTTTGCAAAAGAATCACAAGACTTGTTTCTGCTTATTCTTCCACCATTTTTCGATAAATTCATCGATTTTTGTAACTTGCATCGCTGGAAAATGTTCATTCAAAGTTGCTTCATACTCCATTTCCCCTTGAGCGAAATGAATCATGGCGTCAGCATAAAATGCTTCCATGGAATTAGCAGATTCTTGATTTCGTGTAGCTAATATTTCATCAACGGTTAACCGTTCTACTTCAAACTTTTGCTCTCGAACTTTTTCTCCTAGTCGAATAACTTCATTCCAACTTGTTCGTGATCCAACAATACCTGAATGAAGTTCCCAGTGTTCTAAATCAAGTGCAGCAGCAACAAATTTTCCCACATCTTCCAATAGAGTAACATTGAACGGTTCATCGCCAGTACCAACAAAGCGCGCAGTACATTTATTCATATCAACACCGAAAGGCATTGGTTCCAGATAAGGGTTACTTTGCTGTGGTGATGCAAAATAATCCATGAATAATCCGTTTAGAAATAAAGTATATTCAATACCAGAACATTTCACTGCGTCGACAACAGGTTTCTTCACTTTTGTATATAATTCAATAGAGATATTTCTCTCACTGGAACCAGCCCATTCCGATGGTGCAAAGCGTTTGACGCCAGCTTTGAGACAAGCATGTAGTAGGGCAATTTGAGCATCTCGACAAGATTCATCTAAATCGCCAATGCATGATATGACGGTATGCACATTCTTTAAAGTTTGGTGAAGTTGATAATGATCGTTGTAATCAACGATAATCAGTGTGACGCCTTTAGGTACTGGATTCGATGGTTGTTGACGTGAAAATACGATAACAGCATATTTTCCAGTTGCGACAATAGCATCCACAATATTTCGGCCAACTGAACCTGTTCCTCCCGCAACGACAACTTTCTTCATTTCATTGCTATCCGCCATATTGAAATGTGTTATCGCGAGTGTTTCAGATGCAATAGATAACTAATATCTATTTCCCATATACACACGTAGAGAGAGGACTATACTTATCTGAAATATATGTATATATAAGTATAAATAAACATGCTAGTTTCTAATGAAAGTTATTAAGATTTTTTTGTTAGAAAAGTTCAAGTTAAAAAAAAGCGAATAAGTGTTATTGTTTGAGTTTGCTTTGCTCTTTATCGTATGCTTTCAGACATGCATAAGACCACATAGCAGTCATTAGATCTTGAATACCCAAGATAATGAGTGGGGTTTCAACCGAACTAAAACCATAGTCGACTCTAACAATTTAATGATCGTTAATATGGCACTCACAAGAAATGAATCATTGCAAGCAAGACGGGAAGAAGAGTCAAGCGTCCAATAATACTTGCTCTACATATATAGAATAATCATAGAACTCAACATCAAGAATTGTCTCTTTACTACCGGAAAAAACTGATCAGTCCACATTTTCCTGCGACGCAATAATAATATCCAATGACTACAACGGCCAAACCGGTGGTTCGTACGTATTGTACTGCTTGGGCGGTTTCAAGTGGCGATAGGAGCAGTAGTTTCGTTGTCAACTGTGGAAGCATTACAAGAGCTAAACCTTGACATATCAGCATAATTCCAGCAATGACATGGCTATTTTTCAATGCTTGTTCGGCAGACATAATTGACGAAGGTGAACGTTTGCAAATAAAATCGAATTAGATGTCAAAATTACACTGTATTTGAAAATAAGAGTCTACTTGTCTTCTCTTTTATATCACACGTGGTAGAGTGCCCTATGTATATTTCTAAATGTGTGTGTTGGTGACAGAAAGAGAAAAAAACATTTCTTTTTTCTTTTTTTCTTCGTTATATGTTTTATCAGTCATCATAGAGGGCGTGTATCTATGTATGTCAACATTCTTGCAGTTCAGATTTCTTTTTTTACTCAGCGAACAAAAAATACTCAAAAATAAATTTCAATATGTTGGTATTTTTAAAATATATGTGCTGTCGTACCGATAGATCATTCACGGTTCAGAAAAATACGATTGGCGTGTCGCCCATCGTCGATGAGGATAATCTTGTTTATATGCAGTTGGGATCCATACTGGTCGTTCTTCTGGTATCGGTCGTTGACGAAGACGTTGAAGATCGAGTTGTCGAGATAAATATTCCGATAATCTATCTTCTTCGTATCTTAATTTCTTTTTCGGTCGTGTAGATGATGGTCGAAGTGGCGGTGGTGATACATAAGTTTCATCAGTCACATAATCATGACAGATTGAACAATAATGAACCGGTGATGGTGAACGAGAATAACTAAGACGACGTGTCGGTGGATAACAGATAATGCAATCAAGATCGCATGGAGTCGATTGTATTCTCGATGAGCACAAACGACAAGTGGTATCTTTCTCTAAACGTAAATCAGCCAGTTCTTCGCGTAGATCAGCTAGGTCTTTTTGAACTCGCGTGAGATCATTGTTCAATTTTGCATTTGAATCGTCGACTAATAACCGAGTTGTTGTTACCGTTGGATAGATAGGCACATGACTTACTGGTACTCTATAGTAGCTATCAGTCACTGGAACATAATACATCTTTTCTTTTTTTGACGGTAACGATAATCAAGACGAGAAAGAAAAAAAAGGAAAATGACTCGCAACTACCACCAAGCAACCACTTCAACAACTTTTTTCTTTTTATTCTCTCTTCTTTTTTTTCTAACAAACAGAGTAAAAACAACAACAACTACAACAACCATTACCACAACAATCTTTCTCGTTTGTCTCCGATTCTTTCACTTTCATAACAAGATGACATATATGTAATTTCAAAACACCTCGATATTTTTTCTCCCGAATCGAACTCAATCGTTCGATTTTAAAAATGTATGTCGATAAATCCATTTCAAAACTCGTTGCACTCGTCGATCCCATTGTTTCTCAATATGTTCATGATAAAGATGAAGTGTCGCAGATGCTGGCAAGTACTGCAAACGAAAGATTTCCCATTCACGTAGTAATTCATATCGTCTAGTTGCATTTCGTACACGAGCAATAGCCGATAGGTCAGCTATTTCACCCACAGCCAATGCTAGAAATCGACGTCATATGAAAATTCTGCAGTACTACTATGTGAAAGCTCTCCCTACCTGTGAGAAGATTATTGACGAGAATTGTCATTGTTACACCGAATAGAAGAAACAAAACAAAAAGTACGGGATAAAGACTAATGTATGAGTCACTGTCTGGTCCAAAGAAACGATCTTCATAGCCAGTGTCTAACATCATGAATACTATAGAAAGAGAGAAGCACATGAAAACTTTTTTGGACATGTTCTGAAAACACTCAACCTGATCGAAACCAAGCAAATGGAATAGTTGAAAAAACAGGTTGATTTTGTAAAAGCATGTAGAATGCCGACGAAAATGAACAAATTAATATGACTAAAACAGGTGCGAACCATAAAAATTTCAACATGATAACTTCCAACATGACCACATAAACTCCAAATATTGGTAGAAAACGAAGATACGATAATAATGTTGCCCAAGCAAGAAACACTCCGAAAGCACCTACTTGCCATTGTTTCGGGCAGCGAAATTTCAGTTTCCTTTGCCATCGATTATCGTCATACAAACAAATGAAACTTAGAATAAACGAAATTGTTTCAAGATAGAGTCGCCATACTAAAGAACATCGATGAACACCAATAATGAGCAGAGCGTCTTTACAGACATGAATCCAGAGAAGAATGAGAACTATGTTTTTCAAGATTCGATCAGTCGGATGTTTCATTGCTTCGTGAAAATTCAATTTCACGAGATACTTGGCAACTTCAGCGCATTCCTGTACAAACAAATGTAGAAACTCCTCTTTCAAATCGAAAAATGTTTACCGACCATTCGAGTTGTTCCATTCAAATGATATCTGTGTGGAAATGACGCATTAACTAATCGATAAAAATGTTCCGGCTGTTTGTTTCGTAACATGATTACAGTAAATAAGATTAGATAAACACAATAAATGATAAATGATGTTAAAAATAAAGGCAAACCAAACTGCTGCCATTTCAATTGCGTTAATTGTCGACAAAGGGGATGATGCATCAATCGATAGCCATGTTGGATATGCTCATAATTATCTTCATGATCTTTTAAATCGATTTTTTTCGCACATTTACACATCATGGAAAGTACATTATTATGTATTAAGGTATATGGATCTGCTGTGTAAGCAATCAACGGTCGATGAAGATTGTTATGACGATATCTTGTTTGGAATTGCAATGGTTTATGATGACAAAATATTGGACAATACCATGTATGTATGTGATCGTCATCTATACGGACGGATAATGTTCGATCATGTTGCCAATGTTGAATTGAACAATAATCTTCAAGAAATGCGAAATCGTAAATCATTTTCGATTGTGCTCTGTGCTTATCTCCAATATGTGTAATGCAAATATTCAATACTTGATAGGCTAAATCAGGCATACATGTAATTAATTTTCTTAATGGCGTGTCTACATGTCGATAATGTACATCAAGAATTTGAGCGTTACGTAAAAGATTTTTGAATAAAGGAATATTATTTAGATTTAATAAGTAGCTCACAAACGAACGATTCCGTGCAAGAATGGCTGTTTCAAGACAATTGTGACCGAAGCCGTCAATTGCCGTTAATAAATCAAAAGACATTTGTTTACAGTTCTGAATGTATTCGAGAAAAATATCCAAAATACAAGCAGATGCATCATTTCCATTGATATATCTCATGTGAACACAACGAGCTACACAATGTAATGGTGTTGATCCATCCATATCACGTACATAGACATCCACATTCAATGAAAACAATTTCTTCACGATTTCAAGATATCCCTTCAAGCAAGCTAGATGTAACGCCGTTCGTATTTGGCCATTGGTTTGCTCTAATAAATATCTCCTACCAGATTCGTCTACATATTGAAGAAACAGATTCATTAGGTATAAATCACCCTGAAGAACGGCAGTATGAAACGATGATTGACCAGTTTTATTTTTACATGCAATTGTGTATACACGTGATTTAGTTAACATAGAAGACATCATCGTTGGTATCACACGAATAGTATTTGTGTATGTGTGTGTTGATCGAATTAGTTCGCCATCGATTTTATCAAAATAGATATGCGGCTGTTGAATATCATCAAGTTTATCGGCGAATTGGAGTAAGAATTGACAAAACGAATACAGTTTCAGCCGAACGGCAAGTTGGAGTGGAGTTTCATCGTTGTAATCTAATGCATATAGCATCGGTTCAATTAACTTCACGAATAAAGATGATTCCGAATGAATGGTCAAGAAGAAAGTGTCCAAAATCCTTGCTTCTCGTGATAAAACGGCAAGATGTAACAATGTTCGACCATATCGATCAACCAGCAAATCAGGTTTGGTTGACATTGCTTCAAGAGTATAATCCAGCATACATTCAAAACATTTCACTTGACCGATGTAAACCGCTGAAAGTAGAGGAGTAAATCCATGTTGTTTTTCACGTAAGAAAATGGCATTTGGCCCTTGGTGATGATCTTTTCGTTGGCGCTCGAGAAGATATTGAACAGTTGTTGAGCAACCAAGTGTGCACGCGAGATGGAGTACCGTTTCACCGGTATGCTCATTGATAATAAACCAACTAGGATATGAATCGAGAGTGAGATAATCATCCACGCGAATGGCTTTGCAGATCCGATTCGAGATCATTCTATCTCTTTCTTGCCAATGAATATCATCGTTTGGAATATGTTCAAAGAGTTCATCAAGAATCTCATCATGTGCGTACATTCGCGCGAGGGAAAATGCATCATGACCATCTCTTGACTTCGCATTGATATAATCAAGTTTCGAACGGATGGGAAAGCATGCTTTATGCGATGCATTTCGTCCCATCCATTGAAATCTATCCGGTTGAAATGCTAGAGACTCAGCTTGAGCTAATAAATATCGAACGATTGTGTTTGTTTGATTATAACGACAAGCATAATGTAATGGTGTTGCTTGACAAATATCCCTAACCTATAGATGATTATCAATTGAAAAACGCATATCTAAATTCTTCAAGAAACGATTTACCGCAATGCACGCCTGATAATCGAGTAACAACTTCGTATTAGCTATTCGATTGGACATAATAGCATGATGCAGTGCAGATCGTCCATGGTCATCACGTTGATCAATATTAACCAACGCTTTTTTCTTTATTGTCAATTTTGATAATAAATAGAATAGTAATGAATGAAATTGGTCACGTTCAGTATCGCCATTGATCTCTTTCGATCGAGCTGCAATATGCAATATAGTTTCACCATCCTTGCCCATAGTGTTGAAATCTAGATGAGATTTATAGGTATGCTTAAACGAATTTAGAAAGGTGTACCACAGTTCTCATCGGCCAATCTTTGACAGATTTCGAAATTGTTATGATAGGCAACGTAATGAATAACAGATAAATTATCTTTATCAAGTACTTCCGCAAGTGCTTGGATAGTTTTCGAAGAAGTGGATGAGTGTCGCTTTGTAAGGAAAAAATGTCGTTCAATTGTTGATGATTGTTCGCGGTTGATGCGATAAGCATGAAGAGTTTCGTAGAAGTGATTCCACCATTGAATCGCTTCTTGAACATCCGATGTTCGAGTTGCCTAAAGACACAAAAGTTCACCGGTATCTTCGACTTTTCGATCAAACTACTTTCAATAAAAGATCTAATAGCACAGTATGACTTGCACTGTTCATCGTCTCATTCACTAACAATGATCTTCGATTGCTATATTGAATTTCCAATCTCTTATTAGAAGTCTGTAAAGACACAAACGAATAAAAAATCATTAAAATAACAAGAGAAGAACTCGAAATCACCTTGTCAGATGATTTATTTGGTTTCTGTTGAGTTACTGCTCAGTTCGACTAATAAGATTCAATTGTTATATGTATCTTCAAGAATAAATGTATACATAAATCCAATCTTTACTTGATGCTTTATTCAAATAGAAGAATAGTTTGACAAAAAAAATGTTATTCTCTTTTATATTGCGCAGTTTTACTCGATAATATCCACTGAATTCCGTGTAGAAGCACAATGATTACACTTCCAATGAAAAATGTCATCTTTAGCAAACCTGTGTAGCATGCGAATGTCATGATCGGATCATTTCGTTCCGGATAGATTTCTAAAACATATTTCTCGGCAATATTTTCCAGATAATCAACGAACATGTAAATAAATGGACCGACGACACAACGACTACCTTTGCCTAACGCCAAATTCGGTAGAGTTAATGCGAAAAACAACAAAATAGGCAGAACAAAATCTGTATAATTAGCCAAGCGATACGCATAACGACCACGGCTACCTAAGTTTGTTAATGCTTCATATCCTTCATCAGGTGTGTAATAATTGATTTCATCGAGTACCTTAGGCAGAGTTGATAAGCCAGCTGACGTAGCGTATTCTCGTAATGGTTTGAAGAAGAGGTATACATTAAGTACGCTTAATGACCATGATAAGATGACGGTGTATTTGTTGGCCCAAGGTTTTAATAAACGATAAAGTTGATTCATGGCTAGAAATCAGTTCGTTGTCTTTCAATTAAAAAAGTTGGCCGGTTCGTTTGATTATTTGCATAGGTAAAGCAACATGTGACACATGATGAAATGCAAGGCCAAATTTTCGTTCGTTTTTAAATATAGTTTATCTGATAAATAAGACGAGAAATACTCTCGTTTCACTCTCAAACTGAGTCATTGATGTAGGTTATCTTGTGTTTTAACGAAAATTTTATTTACATATTTACACAAAAACATGATTTATAGCGTCATTTACTGATTGGGTTGTTGTCGTAATCAATGAGGTATCTCGGAAAGTATCCTTTCGGCTTCTAGAGAAAGATGGCGTGGAGATATTTCGAGTATTCTTAAACGTTAATATGCGGAGAAGTTCTCGCCGATAAACACTTCCCGAGCAAATGTACAAAAAGAAGGATACAAAATAATCACACTGTTGCCAGGTGAGAAATATATTTCGCACGGCAGCAATCGTTGATGTTTGTCCTAGGGGATCGATTGAAATCATACAATAGATAACACCGTAGGGAAGCACAAAAATCAGATGAACAACGATTTGTAAGATTAACATTCGAGCTAATTGCCCTTCGGTACGTCGTCGTCGCATGGAACTTGTTAATGGTGTTGCTCGAATGGACCGTCGACGAATATTATTTATAGTTGAAATGCCAAAGAGAAACATTAAAAAAGGTGACAGAGTATAATAAAGAAATACTTGGCTAAACGTGTATAGATTCGTTAGCAAATGTGTCCGAGGTATGCATCGATGATTTGATTGGTTCCATTCATAGATAATTAACATAGGTGACATGTAAATAGTGGATAATATTGTACCGGAGATGATATTTATGCGTGCTGTACGTATTGTACTTCGCGAATGAACACGACGGGACTTTGAGCTTGAGCAGTAACGATCGAATGAAGCGAGTATTAACATTAAATTTGCTTGAAATGGGATTAGAAAGAGAACTGATGATTGCATCTTACAGCCAATCTTATCATTCGACCAGTCAAGATGAAAGCCATTTAAAAATAATGTTGGACATATTAAACATGTATAAATAGTATTGAATACGGCATACGCTAGGAAATAATGCGTGCACGATGACGAACGCAACGCTCGGGAACATAATACACGTATATTGATGAAATTCGTAATGATAGCTAAAGAAAACTGTAAAGGTTGAATATAGATATTTGCTTGTAGGACTTGTGCTAACAAATAACTCATATCTAAAGAAATGCGAGCATGGAAAACAAAATAGAATTTTCTGCACTTTCGAACATAAATATATATATATACTCAAATAGATACTTCTATAAATAAACGGTAAGTATGTGATATCGTGAATGCTTGGTAATCTTTCGATAGCATATATTATGAAAGATGACTTCCGTGGTAAATGATTTTTTCTTGAGCATTAATGCTCATTTGAAAAGAATCAAGATAAAGACGAACGGAAACAGTCTAGGAGAAAATAAGGTCATTGAGAGTAATTCCACCGTCATCGATAGCTAGAATGTGTGCTTTCGTATAATTTGAACTTTGCCATCGAGTTGTAAATGATGAGTTGACGTCAGTAAAATATCATTTACCTGGAAGAGCAAACTTTTGTCGCTGAACACCAACGTAAAAATCCTCTTATTCAGTTGACTACAGAAGAATATCATTGAAAACATAAGCTCCCGACGACACTATCGTCTACCAACCTGATTATATCAATGAAAGATGTTCAATACACATCTCTCTATCATCTTCTTTGAGTAGAAGACGAGTCCACATGAAAAGTGTTATTTTGTCATCGTACAACCTCATGTCTATCTTCAAAAAGATTATATGATTTGATCAGTAACAATTATGTCGATGTTTGAGAAAAGCATGTCATTTTTGTGTTCGTAATTAACTTGGTAGATCATTCGAAAGATTTAATTAGATGTTCACATTTCCTTCCGATGTCGTTTATTTTTTTCCGGTCTTCTTTTGCCCACTATAGTAGTTCGTCTTCTACTGTCCTATTTCAAACCATAATTAATCGACTAAGAAAAGAATATATACCGGTTTGTCAACAAAGTATATGTCAATGTAATCTAAGCATATAAGACATAGAATTGATGACTAACTGTAGTTGGAAAAAAGAATGATTTGGAAATCGAAGACATAAGTAATTAGTCGTATACGTGTGAATTAATGACACTCCGAAGCGAATGATAATGATAGAATTAATCGGGACACTTTTGAAGTTGTCTGACGTATTTTTTAAATGAGATGAGCTATTTTTTGTAATAATTAATTAGTTTTTCTAAATATATATCCACTTGCCATTTATAATTAAAAAAAAGTAAATTCTGTTTAAGCGAGATCCATACTCAAATGTCCTCTGCTCTCGCCTCCAGATCTGTCGTATTGACTATCTCAAACCGAATAACCCGTCTCTGGCATTCGTCTAGTTTAATTCAATAGAATATATGAAGCATTTATTGTAAAAAGCAACAAGAAAATTCGAAAAACTGCGTTTCTTGGTATGTAGTAAAAACTTCTGCAATGAACGAAATCAATTTCGGGTAATCCTTATCCATTGATGTTCTTACGTATGAGTCGCAGAGCAAATTGTTGTTGCTCGAGTCGATTTGAACGCGAATAACATCTGATTAAACGAAAAAATTCTCGACGATAAACACTTCCCGAGAAAACATAGAGAAAAAATGACATGAAATAATCACACTGTTGCCATATTACTAATATATAACGAATACCTAATACATTCGGCGTTCGTGTAGATGGATCAAATGCATTGATTAGATAGACAATACCAAACGGTAAAGTTATAATCAGGTGAACGGTTACTTGAAGAACTAACATTCGGGCTAATTGTCCTTCAGTTCGACGACGTTGACTCAATATTGACCGGAGATTTGTACGAGCTACGTGTTGGCGAATGTTGATAATCGTTAATAGGCCACAAGCAAACATTAATACCGGTGCTGCCATATAAAAAATAGTCATTTGACTGAAGATATAAATAGTGATCAGAGTATTAGTGTATTGCAAACAAATACCGTTTGATTCATTAAAATAGTAGATCACAGACATTGGTGACATGTAGATAGTGGATGCAATTACGCAAACAAGAATAATCGATCTTGTCATTCGTTTCGTGTTTGCTGCATAGAATTGCCGTGTATACGAACTCGAATAATAACGATCAAGTGCAGCTAATACCAGCATCATCCGCGCAATGAATGGTGGCAGGAATACAATATAGTAATGAAGTTTGCAACCTATCCGAGTATTTGCCCAATCGATGTGATAACCACGTAAGAACTGCGTTGGACAGACTAATAGAGTATACGCAATACTGGAAATAGCGTAACCGAGAAAATAATATGTACATGGCGGACTGCGAAGAATACGAGATCGTAAAATACATATATTAATTATATTTGTGATCGTTATTAGTGTGAACTGAACTGGCTGAAGGTAAATATTAGCTTGCAGAGCAAAATCTAGTAGTTGACTCATATCTGAAACTAGATCGGTGTGAGTTAGTAAAATATACTTTTATTTGCAGTGTTGTTATGCAATAAACTGAAGTAATAATGAAAATATGAGTTAATCTGGAAGAAAAACCCCCTCCGTGAGTTAACGAGAGCGAAAAATATGATAATTATCCGTGAGTAACAAGTGAGACGTTGTTTGAACTCTATGAAAGAACGGAAAACAGACTCTAACATATAAAAGCCATTAATAAAACATTTGCATTATTTGGCACGGCTACTGTGCATAATCTAGTTAAGCATCTATTCTTGCCTCGGCAAGATGTCTTTTATTTGTTTTTTGCTTCACTTTCATATTAACTTGTAAAATAAGACAGTGGAGAAATGTGTCACGCAGGAGAAAAGAAGGATCAGTTAAATTCATCGAATGGTTGAAGCAACGACTTTGTAGCGTTATATATAACGGAAAATCATGTTGACATATGTGTTTGAAAAGTGCATTACACTGAAAGTGAACTGTTATGAAAATCTAAGACGGTTTTTAACGGATGATACTTGATATCGCTAATTAATGTTTTCAAGTCTTCGGAGAGGGCTACTCTACTATGTAATTAATTATAGGCTGTTTTGCGTAGGATAATATCAGAGGGCTCCTAAGAACAAGTCTTTGAATTGAGAACAAATTCTTATTTTAGTAACAACATTACCAGGATTCTGATTATTATTTTTTGAATATCAAGCAGAATACATGTCGATTACCTTTCCAAAGTTCAACACCCTTTCTCTTCATATTTAGATCCGTCGAATGGTACCGTCATCCATGCCAACTATTTCTGCTGGTAACGACTGATAACACGCCCTCTCAGATGGTAGATTCCACTTGGCCATTGTCGAATTATTACTTAGACAACATAAATACATAGAATATGAGAGAAACGTATCACGTTGAATATTTTTCATTTTCAGCACTACGGTAAAATTTCTTGTAATGAAAAAATCTATTAGTCACATTGTGCAGCACTGTCGGCGACATTTTGCAATGATCTTTCTCAATTCTTGACGATAAACTCTTCCCGAAAGAGTATAGAGAAAAAATGAAAGAAAATAATCAAACTGTTGCCACATTACAAAGATATATCGTATCGCTAAAATATCTGCTGTTTGCGTTGATGAATTCAAACTATTCATAGAATAGATTACACCAAATGGAAATATAAGAATGACATGAATAATAACTTGAACAAGCAGCATGCGAGTTAACTGCCGTTCAGTTCGACGTCGTCGTATGGACGATACTGTTACAAGTTTGACATGCATTGACTGTCGTCTTATCTTTGATATTGTTAATAAACCGAGTGTAAACATAACCATTGGAGCGAGCATATAATAGAGAAATATTTGACTAAATATATAAATTCTAATTAACATATTTGTGTGTAGGACGCATTTGAGTTGCCTGTCATTCCATTTATAGATGATTAACATAGGTGACATGTAGATGCTGCTTATGATTATGGTGAAGATTATATTGATTCTCGCTAATCGGACTGTGCTTTTCGAACATATTCGAGTCGATTTTGAGCTAGAACAATATCGATCGAACGAAGCAAGAATGAGCATAAAATTTGCTTGGAAAGGAAATAGAAATAAAAAATAGAAATGTAATTGACAACCGACTCGTGTATTTGCCCAGTCGATGTAAAAGCCGCGCAAGAATTGTGTTGGGCATGCTAAACATGTGTAAACAATACTAAAGACAGCATACGCACGAAGATAATGTGTGCACGGTGATAAAGAAAGCGTACGAGAAGAGAAAACACGAATATTGAGCAGATTTGTAACGATTGAAAGACAGAATTGTATCGGTTGAAAATAAATATTCGCTTGAAGAACTCGTATTAATAGTTTACTCATGTTACAAAACGAATTGAACAATCGACTTTCGTACGGTATAAACGCCAATGGAAAAGTTTATACGTGTGTAACGCGCGTTGTAAAAAGCAAGCTTTCTTTTGACATGAAAAAGAAGTGTGACCGGCAATATATAAATGCCCATATATATATATTTATTTATTTATTTACAGAAATGAATGTATGATCTCGAAACAGACGCGTAGCTATTTTGATCTGGGTCCATTAGAAAAAAAAATGTGAAAAACAGCTGTTAATTATTGAAATTTTTATGAAATGTCTTTCAATAATTGACTATTTTTTCTCAATTCTTCCACTCTTGACTTTTCTGGTTCAGCTAACCAAAATAAGTTATTTTCTAACAGACCAGCTAAAACAAATGCATGACCCATTTTTGGTTTGGGAAGATCAATCACGTCCTCCAATGTATAACCCTGTCCCAAATAATCCCATCCATCGAAATCTGTCAATGCCATGGGTCGTTGTTGTTTATCACTGACATCTCCACAGCAGTATTTGAGATAAATATCGTTTAGTTTTTTGTATGCATCGGTTTGCTCAACATATTTTGCATACAGTGGTGCATAGATAGTTTTTCGAGCTTCGATGTAATTCAAACGTTTTCCGTTCCATAATGAGTACAGTGGCTTACTTGCCTTTCGTCCGAGAGGAAATCGATGTGGTTTCGAATCATTCCAACCATCTTCAGCCCATTGCCAGTAGGCCGAAGATGGTGATTGGTCATCAGTTTCGGCATGTTTTTGATAGACTTTACAGAATTGCCATGCATTTTCCATATTTTTCGCTACAAACATCGTTCCATCCTTCGGATTTGGATACAGTTCAATTGGTCCTAGGACAAATGGACTAAATTCTAGGCACCACTTCTCTCTGGTTGCCGATGTTACATTGTAGACAAGCCAATTTTCTTTTGTTAAACATTCGGGTTTAGGACGTCGCATAGCAAATATCCGTATATGATGCAATGACGATAATAATGTTGATGAACGACGATTTTGTTGAGAGTGAACCAGATCAGTCAGATTGGTTTGTTTCGGCTGCTTGACTTTTTCATCTGCGAATGAATTCTTGCGTTTCGTACCAGCATTCGACGCCATCCTCTGTTTGCTCTACTTGTAAATGATCCTGTTAACTGCTGGTTCGATAGCATTACTGTGTAATTACGCCATTTGTCAGAAAGGAAGAGAAAAAAGACGGCAACTACTGCGTAAAATCAAACATGTGGAAAGTCAGTATGTTCACAACAGAACGAATAAAGCGATTTTCAAAATGCGTCAATGTTTTCTTGCAAGAATATAATCTGGAGATTTAGATCGAAGCTTTCATGCTTTTCCATTCGTATTAGTCACGGGCACGCTGTCGATAGCAATACTTGAAGTTTTTATTTACTCGTTCTTATCTAATAGTAATGTTTGTCGCCGTGGTTAACAACTAGAAGACTGAGAAGGTAAAGAAGAGGAAGAAGAAAAACGACATTATACTCCCCATTTTTTGCTGTTCTTACCTCATGGATTTTATCTCATATGTTTTTATGTACTCAGTCAAACGAAGAAATCACTGAATAGAATCCAAGAATGAAATATATCGATCGTTGTACAAAACTATTTACAGTAGTAAAGTCAATTATTCTCTTTTGTCGACATCGATTTCAATTGTTTGTTCGTTTTATCATAATCTTCATCTTTTGTTTACTATTTGTTTATTTTTCATCTGTACATTACTATGCAAACTATTGTAATAATCGATTTCAACAAGCTTTAGTTGAAGCAAGTCAACGGAAGCTATGGAATGTAAATGTCGGTGTTCAAAGTCAATTTATGCCTATTCTAATGCCGGTTTGTGATCGACCAAAATATCTAAAAAGAGTTCTTGATGGATTAACTCGAGTCGATGGAATCAATGAAGTAATACAATCATATCAATGGTTAATAATGTCTGAATTCTTTTCTTTTAGACACTTCTAGTTGTATCACAAGATTGCGATCAAGCAGCAATAACGTCTCTATTGGTATCTGTCTCATCTTCCATACGTGTGTTAATTCTGCCGCATACTCCTCCTTATTTTTCTTTACCACGTTATGTTGATACGAATGAATATGCAACTTCGGCAAATGTGAAATTTCTACTAGAATTTGCTTTTGAATATATGTTAGCCGATGGTGCAATACTTCTCGAATCTGATCTTATCCCATCGGTAGATTTCTATCGTTATCATCAATGGACATATCAACATTTGTTAACGGGAAATAATTCAACTGCTTTATCGATTCATTCTTTCAATATTGACTCAACTAGTTCGTCTGATCCGTATAGTTTATTTTCTCGTGGATTCGATTCCTGGGGATGGTCGACTGCTCGAACGCGATGGAATTGGTTAAAAAGTCAATGGACAAAATACAATGGCTGGGACAGTATTGTCAGTCGTCGCGCAAAACAAGATGGATGGAAATGTATGATACCAAAATTGAGTCGAACAAGAATGATTGGTTTGAAAGGGATCAATGTTAATGTTAGACTGGAATCTGAAAAGAAAAAATTCGAGGAAGAGATGTACATGAGTAACAAGACAATCGAATTTCATAACAGAAAGCCAAATATTTTATCGTCATGATATTTAATAAATGTTTTTAATAATAGATTTACTGACATGAAGAAGTCTTCGATAGCTTTCTCGTTTTAATATACGGCACTAATATGAGAAGCTGAGTAGTCATCTAGGAGATTTATTTGAAATATTTTATATTCTATGTGTAAAAAGCACGATCTATTAAAAAACCCTTTCTTCCTTTTTGTCAAAGATCATCTGAATTATCCTAGAACTCAGTTTCCTTTCTATATACAAAAATAAATTGGCAAACAGGGTAAAATATTATTTCAGCTAAATCAGTATAGAATAGACCGATAAAAAAAGAAATGTGTTATTTATTCATTCATTATCTATCGCTGTGAGCATTTGTTCTATAATTGATGATATGATCATGTAAATGGCTGACATACTGTTCTAAGTATCTATTTTGTCCCATGTTCGAGTTTTTTTCCTTCCTTGTATCAGAGCAACTATTATACGATAATATTAATTCAGAGGAATGATCTTCCGACTACCGTCAATTTCAGCTGATCTTATCCGTCTTTGAATTTATTGCATTATTGGAGTGGCGATTGTTATATTACTAATGATAATGGTCTGTTATTACGCATTTTGTCAAGAATGTTCAGATAGGGCAGAATGACGAACAGCAAAAGAACTTCATTATACTCAAATTCAAGAATTACAACGACAAGTCGATTCTTTTTCTGATCTAGCGCATCGTCCTGCGAGCGATATTTTCATGGAATTAGGTATCGGACAACATCAGTCTCAACCTGCATGAACTTAAAATTCGGTAAATCACTGGAATTACAGTAAATACCTTACTTTGTAATTTTCATCAGTCTTTGAAGCGTGAATAAACAAAACTGAAGAGTATTTGAACTTCAGCTTTGATCGATTTCGAGCTATTTTATCAGCACTAGAGTTCCTGAGCTCAAGTTTAATCTTCTCGCTGGACAATGTTCTAGTTGTAGTATAACCTTCGTTTCATATTCTCTCTTTTCCATATTAGCTCAATCGTTGACGTTGGTCGGGCATGGCTTGAAAACTTTTTTATTACAACATAATCCACCATAGATTCTGTTTGCAAAGTATATGTATATAACAGAATGCTTGTAACATCAGACACGATCTAATTCGCGTCATCACATCGTATTTTATTCATTTTTATCTCTGTTCGTAAAAGTAGCGACTGTAATCAATTCATTGGCCTATGCCTATCGATTATATTACATCAAGAGCTGAATGTCCACGAAACAGCTAATTATGTCAGACATCGATGTATCACGAGTCAGTTCAATAGTACCAAAACAAACCTTCATACGACCAATGAACCCTTCTTCAAATGGAGCTCAAGAAATCTGCAAGTATCATGCTATTCTTTGATTATTTTTTATCAGCCGTGAATGTTCAGGGCTGTACTACTACAATAAAACAATGCTGAATACATATGCATACGATATCTTACACACTTGTCGATGTATAATCCGTTCTTGAATACAATAAAACGTATCGTCGCGATCGTATACAAGTGTTCAGAATTAAAACAATATAAGTTTATACAAAATCCGAAAGAGAACTAATCTATAATAGTCTACATGTTTTTTTTCATGATTTTTACGCCTTGTCTACGTCGCTTTAGATTTTAATGTGCAGTAACAAATTAATTCATACTTTTTGAAAGGCGTAAACAGTTCAGAGACTATAAAATATCCTTTTTGATAAAAAGAATTTAAGCGAAGAAAACTACTAGTAGCGTATACCTTTCGAAAAATTGTTCGTCAAATAACGGGAGGCGAAGGCTCGGTATAATGTCTATAAAACTATGACGACCTTCGTTGAGCTATTTCAATTATCTCTGATATTTGTTCTTTATCCTATTATTAAGTTTCAAAGCAGAAACGCGACGTTCAGAAAGAAAAATTTTCCGACGTAATTCACCAGTTAAATGATCTTTTGCCAACTCACTAATCAAATCTAACATTCCTTTCTCGAAAACTCACAAGTCTCTCTCGCTCAATCACTCGCATGGCATCCAATTTTCTTAATAATATACAAACAGCCGGTCGATTTTCTGATGTTTGGCTGGAACCACTGCGAATTCTACCATTAATTCAAAATTACGAACATTTACCGATTGTTCCGTTAGACGAAGCAATTCAGCCAATTAAATTATTCGTACCTGAGCTTGATCGCATGGTTTGGATAGCCAAACAACATAGTCAACATATGCACGGACATCTAACACTCAATGAATCAGCATCAATTTTGCTCTATTCCATGGAATGGACGCCCGGTGAAAATTCATTTTATTACTCATTCAATCAAATACTTCGTTCAGAAAATCGTGAATTACTCAAGCCATGGTTACTCTATTTCAAACTACTTCTTATATCTTACTTCAAATTGCCTGAGAAATCCATTTCGATGGTCTATCGTGCTGTAAACATGGATCTTAGCTCAAAATATCACACCGGATCAACATGCATATGGTGGGGCTTCTCACCATGCACAATGTCAGCAGAATATGCCGATCGATTTCTGAATAAAACAGGTCAGCGAACACTATTTAAGATTGAATGTCAATCCGCGAAAGCTATTCACGAACATACCCTCTCTTCAAACCAAGAAGAAGTTTTATTTTTGCCTGCAAGACAATTCAAAGTTATTGGAAACTACCAACACGACAACGATCTTTGCATTATACATTTACGAGAAATTCAACCGTTGATTAGTTTCTTTCAACGACTATCAACTATCGACATGTTCATGCTGGCAATTCGATGGACAAGTGATTATACCAATTCAAAATTAGAGCACTACATCGAACATTGCAAATCTCGTAGCGAAATCAAATTGGAAAATCAATCACTAAACGATTCAGATATGGACATTATCGTTCGACAGGCAATTAATCATAAAAATTGCACAGCGTTGACATTGAATCATAATCAGATAACATGCAAAGGTGTATTCATTCTCGGATCAGTTCTATATGATAATACAACATTGACAAAGTTGGTCTTAGCAAAGAATTCTATTGGTGATTTAGGTATTCAATATCTGTCACAAATTTTGGCAACTAATCATGTTCATACAAGCAAACTGGATCTCTCGTCTAATAAGATAACCTGTAAATCGATACAGTACCTGTCGGAAATGTTAAAAACAAACGAGATTTTGTGTTCATTATGGTTGAATGAAAATGAAATTACTGATGAAGGTGTTTATTCATTAGTGAATTCCCTTGCATTTTATAATAGATCGCTGAAGTTTTTACGTTTATCAGGCGACCCGACTATAACCGACGCTTCCGTTGACTCAATAATCAATATGCTGGAACACAATACAGCATTAAAGTTCTTGGATATTCAACATTGTAATCTGTCATCTGGTGGCAAATTATCGTTGGAAAAAGCGATTCGATCGAAAAAAAGCTTCTATCTACTTGCATAATAATCGAATCAGACTAAAGCAACTGTTGTCATTTGATGTAGGAAATGAGTCATTTGAAAACAAATAAAATATTACTCATATTCGATCTCATTGGTTAAACTGCAAGACAAATGCGGTAGCTTGAAATATTTCTATGTTACTTTTGCTTACTTCTACCTTTTACATATGGCATCGAGAAGAATAACCACAACAGATGAAATCACAAAGAAGACAAATGCTTTGAAACTTGATGAGCACACCCATGCAGCTAATTTCTATGAAGGACGATCAAATAAAGCTAAAGTTAATTTCGCTCGTTTAGAAAAAGGTCTTCTTTTATTCATATACATCTACGAAACAGCCAAGAATACATTAGCATCTGAAATAGCTCTTTGGGACCATCGTCTTTGTTACTACATGATTAGAGATGGTAAATGTACGAAAACATCCGATCAGTGTCACCGTGAACATCAAACCAACTATCGACAAGCGAATCTTTGTTCATCGTGGTATAAAACACGGACATGCTCATTCAATTCAAAATGCAAACATTCTCATCAATTCGAAGAGACAGCGAAGTATCATTCTTATATTCGAACATCAACAGAAATGAGTGTTTATCAGCTAATTCGATTTATTCGCAATTTTGCTGGTCACTTTATTGACTCAGTAATCACAGATGAGCAAAATTTATATAAAGAGGTCATCGTTGCTATGGTTCATATCGTTCATTATTTAAGTCCGAAGGCACCCGATTCGGTCGAACATTTAGATCTATTTCTTGAAGCAACAACAATCAATCAGTTGATTGCAGAGCAAGAGCTTTTAGCAAAACTTGACAAATCTTATGAAATTCCTGAAGTATTCTTCGATCTTAATATGAACTTCAATACAAATTGGTATCAGTTCAATGCGAACAAGCGATGCATTGACTTTCAACATCTTTCCAATGAATTTATCGAATTCTTCAACCAGATCTTCGTCAATTATTTTACAGGACGTTTGAGATCACGTGGTGCTCAAGCTCCATGGCATGAATAAAGAAGAACAACCTAACTGTTTTTTTTTGTATTCGACTGTGTGAAGGTCAAGTCACAAGTGCTCATAGTTAAGAAAATATTTAACCCTTTGAGGACGGTTGGGCCCTTAAGGGGCCCCGGGTGCTCTCTGGTATTTCAAAACACACAGATTTCTATATGAGACGGGTGATTGTTAAAGCATTTATCAGAGAGTCTTTCGGCACAATTTGGATTGTAATTAGGCTATTTTTATTCAGATATCCAGTAACAGATAATAAATATAAGAGAACTGACTTTCAGATAAAAAGAACTGCTCATCTAAAATCGTTGTCAGCAGCGTTGTAGTCTGTATAGAGACATGCTAGACGATGTTCTACATAAACACACGTTTTTATAAAGTTTTTTTAAAAGATAGAAATGCAGATTGATTTATGACGAAATATACAGGCAAAACCCTGTCTTTAAAGGGTATTTAAATGAGCAATAAATCATGTGTATAAAGAGCAAGAAGAATCCAAGCGTTATAGTGTTATGCATTTGTGTTGAATACTTTCTTTTTCCTCTTATTATCTTTGAAATCTCCCATCCTTTTTTGTGTATATAAGCTGCATTCTCTTAGAAAAAGAGCAATACATTTAATAGCACCCAATTCGGCCGAATTCTCTCTTTACAACTAACTTTTCACCTTCACTCGAAGAATGGAGAATAATAATGTGCATTTGTCCTTCACTTCTTAAGAATTATGTTTGCAAGCATGTCATAGGAATGTTTATCCGGCTAGAACGTCACAAGCCACCACCAGGAGCGACAACTGTGGAAGTAGGCACAAAGAGGAAAAGAAGTAGACCATCGGAAGCAAGAAAAGCTTCATCGTTACAATAGTACATTAACTACTCATTATCATTTCTCTTATTGCAATTTGTTGAATTATATGTAATTGATTTCATAATAGAAGACTGCGAAAAAAGACTTTTTATTGCTCGAAGATTATTACTAATTTGTATTTTAATTATTTTTTAAATAAATACATGCCAATAATCACATATACTTCATGAATTACAGTTAGCTAAGAAGAGAAGTTAATAGTAATCAAACTTATTCTCTCTCGCAGAGCAATTAACAAACGACGTTGAACAGAACTTTTCTAATTTAATTCTGCAGTCGTTTCTTGGATAGTAATATCGATCAGAAGTAATCATGTCACTTTTGGCGTGTAGCGGATGCACTTTTATCCTTGAAGATACACCGCCTGCTGCGTCAAATGATTTTATGTAATAAAAAGAAGCTCATTGTAATCTAGTCTAGCTGCTTTCAGAAGGTAACTCGAAGCAGAATATGACATTACTTTCCAGTACCTGGCAAAGTAGATGATTATATATTTATTATGTATTTCTTATGTGATAAAAGGGAAAGCTTCTCTCCATATTACACTGACATTCAAATCTTTTTGGATCAAGAGCTCATTTTTTTGTTCTAGACTATTGCGAAAAAAACCTATTTCAAGAATGGTTGAGTATGGTCGTGGTTTAATTGGTTATATTCTCAGTATTATATCTCTTGTTCATGGTTCAATTACTTTGATTATTTGTTGCATAGTACTTATTGGTATAGCATATCACTCTTACCATTATCATCGTGGAATGAAACGTACAGAAAAAGTTACTTTGGTACTTTCAGCTAATATCTATTTTTTTATACTGATCTTCATGGCAATACTCATTGTAAACAACACGCAAACATTGATCGGGGATATGTATGGAGTCGATTTTAGTACTAACAGATCTTTATGCATATTCAAAGGCTATTCTATCATATCAATTTGCTGTGCTACGTATAACAGTTTCGTTATCCAAGTGAGTAGCTAGCGAAGACGCCAATACCCATCAGATTCTGAAAACTATCAACTATTTTATATTTACTTTTCCAAATATAGGTATATTCATGAGAGAATGCTATAGATACTTTTACTTCTAGGCATTGTATCGTCTGTTTCGCATTGTGTACCATAATTACCAGCGAGTTCAACTATATTGGTTTTATCTGATCATCACTCCTATTCAGTTAGCGGCAGGCTTTCTTTTCATGTCCCCAGTTGTTATATGGCATGGTATAACTTATGTACCAAACGATTACTACTGCATGATTCAATTTACCAATTTTCGCGTTACTATGTGGTCTTCTTTTAATGCTTATGGAATACCAATAGTTTGCTTGCTAATGATTTACACGCGAATCACTCTGTTCATTCGAAATCATTCGGCGCATCAAACAAGTATAGTGAAACAGCGACAAAATCGAGATTTGGTAGCAGTGCAGCGTATAATTGTCAGTGTCGGTATACTACTCACACTTGGCCTTCCAACTGTAATATTCCTCTTCATTTTATTGATCACTAACTTTGAGCATCCATTACTCAATCGTACTATGTGGCTCGATCTTGAAGTGTCGATGGTAATCTTGAGTGTAGGAATGGTATGGATGACACCACAGTTAAAGAATATTTTCCTAAGAAGAATGCTGCTCAATAAAGTAATACCTGTTGGAACTTTATTTCATCCCCAACCTAATACTACTATTGCATAGATACACTGTGAATTCCTTCATGATGTCTCTGTCAGCTTCATTTATCCTAATAAACTAGTAACGTTCGTCGAGGCAGGCTCGCTATGCCCTCGACTGAGCCACTGAGTGAAAATAAAATAGTCTTATGTGCGTTTTATGCAAAAACAGACAGAAATATAACCTTTGAAAAGGGCCCCAAAGACTGATCTTCATTCGCCTCGCAGTCTTGAAAAAAGTCAAAGGACTACTTGTGTTGCTTTTAATTGTTCTATATTCCAGACTGACAATCACTGTTCACAGGAAGCAGAAGTTCGCTATAAATGACTAGTATGGATTTGCACTTTTAAACATGTCCTCCTTTTTCTAAAAAAGAAAGATATAAGTACGGTTAATCCCTTGCAAAAAGGCGGTATATATGCATATCATTTCAGATACATCTCAAAACCTAGCAACACTACAGACACAAAATCAGCATGGAGTGACTTCAGATAGCCAAAATCCGCTTCTCTTCAAAGATCATCTTTTCGTGCGAGGTTTCAATCACCGATACGTGCAGAGAACTCAAGGACAGGTACCCGAATCAAGCGAAATGTACGTTTTCTTACGCAGTGTAATGTTAAGGAACGCTATGAATATATAATATCTCAGCGCACAGGCTATGATGTTGAATGATGCACAACCGACTGGTTTCAGTTTTGTCACTATTCGAAAGATAAATCTTAGAGCAAGGGTACAATAGCTGACTATCATTAGATATCAAATGTACCAGTCCGAATCTGACTGAGAAAATTTGTAAAACTGGTTATCCTCCGCTTTTCTTACGGCCTCAAATTTGCTATCGTTTCAAGCAGTGTAGAGATTTTCGATGTAAGCAAACCATAAACGAAAAACCCTGTTATCAGAATAAAATACAAACAAGCTCGAGAGCATATTCCAGTGCTTTTTCCGCGATAAAATGTTGCAGCAAATACTTCCCTGATATTTTATTATGGATCAACACTGAGAGTGAATGGAGCTTATCATAATCGACAAAATCACTTCTTCTCAGACTACACTGATCGTGGGAAATCATTAACCTAACAGCGCGATTCGGTGCGCTACTTTTTGACCAGTCTCTCTTCACTGTGCCATTTTAGTCACTCTGTAACACATTATTTCTTTCCAATGCACCACAGAATTCATAGATAACGGATACATACTACTCTCTCCAAAAAAAATTACAAACAAACATAACACTTCATCATCAAGCTCTCAATACATTTAGGCTTTGGAATCTAGCATGAGACAGCTAGATATTAATGAAACGTCGTTCCCATTCAATGTACCAGGGTCTGATCACATCGCTTTTACGAGATCTGATATGTAAAATGCATACGTGCTGTACTCCTGTCGATTCAATTCTATTCAATCTCCAATAGAGTCAAGCAGTCTGCAGTAATGTTGTCTTGTCACTCACACACTTTCAGGAAAAACTTCCGAACCAAGAGAACCTTCCCTAAACGCATTGTACCATCACAGCTCTTCCGTCAAACACTGCTCTGTTACACCTCCGCAAATAAAACATTCACTACCGCTATTCCACATATATTTTCCCACAACAAAAAGCATTCTCATTCAGGTCACATACACTTCTCACAACAAAATTAATTTTCTATTCCTTCACTACTTCTCACCGTCACCAAAATCACACACCAAATGATATCGACTAAGTTCTCAATCAAAAAGCACCCTTTCTACGCAAAGAGTCACCAGATCAACTATCACGTGTCCTCCCATTCCATCCGGTGCGAGATCTACACCACATTGATGCTCTAAGAATTAGATAAATCAGATATTCGAAATTTCTTCCAACAAAGCATCGGTCTTACGGCATTCCTACGCACCGTATCCTCAATGCGGTGTGCTCCTTCAGTACCGATTCCGTTGTCGCAAAGGTTTAGTGTGGTGAGTGTCTGTATGTGTGAGAGGGACTGAGTACTTCACCTTCCGTGAAATGAGATCAATATTACCGTGTTCGTTTCTAATGCATCCGCAATGCGTTGTGCTCCTACATCACCGATTTTGTTACCGCCGAGATATAGTGTGGTGAGTGTCTGTAGGTGTGGGAGAGACAGAGTACTTCACCTTCCGTGAAATGAGATCAATATTACTGTGTTCGCTCGCAACGCATCCGCAATGTGTTGTGCTCCTCTAGCACCGGTTTGGTTATTGCCAAGATCTAGCGTGGTGAGTGTCTGTAGGTGTGGGAGAGACAGAGTACTTCACCTTCCGTGAAATGAGATCAATATTACCGTGTTCGCTCGCAACGCATCCGCAACGTGTTGTGTTCCTTCAGCACCCATTCCGTTCCACTTGAGGTTTAGCGTGGTGAGTGTCTGTAGGTGTGAGAGAGGCTGTTTACTTCACCTTCCCTGAGATGAGATCAATATTACTGTGTTCGTTCGCAATGCATCCGCAATCCGTTGTGCTCCTTCAGCACTGATTGTGTTCCCGGCGACATATAGCGTGGTGAGTGTCTGTAGGTGTGAGACAGGCTGTTTACTTCACCTTACGTGAAATCAGATCGATATTACTGTGTTCGTTCGCAATGCATCCGCAATCTGGTGTGCCGCTTCATCACCGATTTCGTTCCAGCCGAGATCTAGCGTATTGAGTGTCTGTAGGTGTGAGAGAGGCTGTTTACTTCACCTTCCCTGAGATGAGATCAATATTACTGTGTTCATTCGCAATGCATCCGCAATGTGTTGTGCCCCTTCATCACCGATTCTGTTGCCGGCGAGATATAGCGTGGTGAGTGTCTGTGGGTGTGAGAGAGGCTGAGTACTTCACCTTCCCTGAGATGAGATCAATATTACTGTGTTCGTTCGCAGCGCATCCACAATGTGTTTTGCTCCTTCAGCACTGATTGTGTTGCCGGTGAGATATAGCGTGGTGAGTGTCTATAGGTGTGAGAGAGGCTGTTTACTTCACCTTGCGTGAAATCAGATCGATATTACTGTGTTCGTTCGCAATGCATCCGCAATGTGTTGTCCTTCTTCATCACCGATTCCGTTAAATTGGAGGTCTAGCGTGGTGAGTGTCTATAGGTGTGAGAGAGGCTGAGTACTTCACCCTCCGTGAGATGAGATCAATATTACCGTGTTCGTTCGCAATGCATCCACAATGTGTTTTGCTCCTTCAGCACTGATTGTGTTCGAGTCGAGGTTTAGTGTGGTGAGTGTCTGTAGGTGTGAGAGAGGCTGTTTACTTCACCTTGCGTGAAATCAGATCGATATTACTGTGTTCGTTCGCAGCGCATCCGCAATGTGTTGTGCCCCTTCACCACCGATTCTGTTACCGCGGAGATGTACCGTGGTGAGTGTCTGAAGGTGTGAGAGTGACTGAGTACTTCACCTTCCGTGAAATGAGATCAATATCACCGTGTTCGTTCGCAACGCATCCGCAATGTGTTGCGCCCCTTCATCACCGATTATGTTCGAATCGAGTTTTAGCGTGGTGAGTGTCTGTAGGTGTGAGAGAGGCTGTTTACTTCACCTTACGTGAAATCAGATCGATATTACTGTGTTCGTTCGCAATGCATCCGCAATGTGTTGTGCTCCTTCAGCACCGATTCCGTTAAATTGGAGGTCTAGCGTGGTGAGTGTCTGTAGGTGTGAGAGAGGCTGTTTACTTCACCTTCCCTGAGATGAGATCAATATTACAGTGTTCGTTCGCAGTGCATCCGCCATGTGTTGCGCTCCTTCAGCACTGATTGTGTTGCCGGTGAGATATAGCGTGGTGAGTGTCTATAGGTGTGAGAGAGGCTGTTTACTTCACCTTGCGTGAAATCAGATCGATATTACTGTGTTCGTTCGCAGCGCATCCGCAATGTGTTGTGCCCCTTCATCACCGATTCTGTTGCCGGCGAGATATAGCGTGGTGAGTGTCTGTAGGTGTGAGAGTGACTGAGTACTTCACCTTCCCTGAGATGAGATCAATATTACCGTGTTCGTTCGCAATGCGTCCGCAATGTGTTGTGCCCCTTCATCACCGATTATGTTCGAATCGAGGTGTAGCGTGGTGAGTGTCTGTAGGTATGAGAGAAACTGAGTGCTTCACCTTCTGTGAAATCAGATCAACATTACCGTGTTCATTTGCAACGCATTCGCAATGTGTTGTGTGCCTGTAGCACGAATTCTGCGGTCTTGGAGGTTTAGTGTGCTGAGTGTCTACAATAAAGTAATGTATTTTAAATAGGGCAAGTAGTAAAGAGAACGTTAGGTGATACTTCTGATTGTATATGTGTGATATGGAATAGTGATGTTGGGGGACGATCTGTACGCAGCACTCAGATGTGGATGTGAGTTTTAGGGGTGAATGATGATGGAAGTTGTTGCGCAGGAAAGATTGAGTTCAGAGAAGAAGTACTGTGTTGGCAATATTGAGAGGAGATTACGGTAAGGTGATCGAGTAGAATATTACTATGAATAGCTATTGATTGTAGAGAGATATTTCTTTTGAGGGCGTCGTCCAGTGAAATAGAAGCCCTTCTTTTATGATTTGTGGGAGTTGGATTTTATGTGGGTGAGGGTGAGAATGAATATGGGCATAGACCCTGAAATTGTGGAGATTAGATTGCTTGATTTGGGGAATTTCAACAAAAGTGATAGTTGATACACTTTTGTATCGAATAGTGTAACATACATAGGAGAAAGGCGAGAGAGTGGAGGAATGCTTGATTTCAGATGACTGCACACTGCGATTGTCTCATTCGATCAAATTAGATGGGGACTATGAGATTACTTTACCTCATTCTATGAGGAAACTTACAACTTCAAATACCATTAGGCTTACATGTAGAACAACCAACAAGAGTGTTAAGGTGCTTAGTAAACTTACTCGATATGGCTCATAGGTGCTCAGGATCTGATTGAGCCGCCGGGAAATATTTTGCATTGAGCAAAATAGTGTCAGCTCATTTTGATGATCCATAATTCGATAAACAATTTCGACGGGTAATGTGGAAAATGTGTGCATGTTGTATGTCAATCGTGCAGCACAGCGTACTGTAGAGACTGAAAGGGATGAAAAATGTTTGACTTTATTCGTTATGAGTAGTAACTCATGGTGATGATGTAGTTATATATGTTTTTGACGAAAACAAATGACGTGTAACTATTTCAGCAGTTACGAATTGTTGGTGTGCGCAGAAAGATGGCATTAGAATACGCATGCTCATTGAATTCTGTTTTGACATTTACAATGGTAATTTTAAGAATTCAAAGTACGAAATCTTTTATGCCTTTGACTCCTTTGCAAGCCGATTCGATTTTCTTCTAAAGAAATTGACACCTCTAAATTAATTTTTTTAGCTAAAAAGTATAGTGAAAGATAAAAAACTCTACAGGTTACATTAGAGATTTATTTTGATTATGTAAGTTTTGTTTTCGAGAACACTAAATACCACCAGGTCAGTTTTCACTGATTATTTTGCGCTATTTGACGTCTTTTAGTAAATGAAACACATGATTGTAATAAGTTTCACTACGTAGCTTCCTGAAAGCTTCATGCACCATCTTTCAGTGTGCTCGTTTCATTTTTCAAATCTTGTTCGATGATAGATAAATCAGAAAAGAAAAAATAATCGGTTCTCGACCAGAAAAACCAGTCACATCATCTTTTATTTCTTTTTAAAGCCACAAACTATAAAAGTGAACTACGGCTTATCGCAAGAATGACGTTAACTTGAACTGGAACACTTAAAGTTAAGTTAAAGTGGCACTCCTATAATGCATATGTTTCTTGTGTTGAAGGCTGAGTTAGAACATTCGCTCTCTTTCACATAAGTAGAATGATAGCTCCTTCATCGAGATTCTCTAACAATTTGTTGTGAATTCATTGTGATGAATTAATTCCCCCATGGTATTTTAGTAAATAAGAAAACGTGGAAAACCTTCGAAAAAACAAATGTTATCGATTCTCTTGGGAAACAAGGGGTTTAGGTTATTGGACAAGTTAAGCCGCTTTTCGATATCCCCAAACAGATAACTTTTAAGACAATCATCGAATCTACAAGAACGCTGTAATATCTTACTTTAAAACACCTGTAGTTCTGTTAACAGATAACTGCCGATTAGTTTCTTTCAATACAATAACCATGACATACATATGCGAACATTTACAACGAAGAACAAACATAGCATCCGATTTATTATCTGGCTGTGGAGGATAGTATTTTATGTAATGCGTGCTATATGTTATATCGTTCCATAGGATTTTACTCTGTGCTTTCTGCAATAAATTATGAAACGAATGGAACTACAATGTTCAAGTTCTTCTACTAACAGTAAGAGCAGAGGAAAATGACAAAACGCTTCTATTCTGTGAAACTAACATATACTTTCGAAAACAAACACGAAGCACGGTTTTTCAGATTACAATCAGACACAAATGGCAAACTCTAACATTATAAAACATTTTCAATTTTTCACAATGAAACATCATCAACATACATATAGAATCGCTGTTGAAGCGTAAAACAGAAGCGAAGAATGTAAAACTTTCAAAAGAAATTTCGTGGCAGCGCTATTACTGAATAGGTTTTCGACAGATTTGTTTCTTAATAACTTCCATTCGATTGTTGTTTGGGATGTCGTATTTTGAAATATAGCAATAAACGATGATATCGTTTATGGATGATTCGATATTAGATCTTGTATAGAGGATAATATCGATGAAATATGTGAATACAATCTGGTGTGAAATGAGTTTTTGACAAATATTTGGTGTTCCACTGTTTTATGATCGTTTCAGGAAATGTCATGTGAGCTAGAGATGATTAAGAAAACAAATTTCATGAACTTTATTTTGACATAGCGAGATTTTCATTTATCCACTCTTTTCTTAATTTTCATCTCATTAAAAAGTTACCTTGATAATACTGATGTCATTTCTATTTGTGATACCTATAAAACAAATCAAGGACGCGACTTCTCTCTGAAATCCAAACTAAATTTGCTTAGAGTCTCTTTGCTTGGCGTTTCTGGCAATAGATATGTTGTTCGCCATACATACAGATACATATCTGGTTTTTTCTCTTACCTTCAGCTATATTTTTCAGTAAGGTTTAGAAAATAAAAATATTTTTGGACGTTTCAGTAACACTTAAATAAGTCTAGCTACGAAGGCTAGAACATCTCTGACAAGCGTAAGATAAGTTGATTGCTAGGACGAGAAAATAGTTTTGAATGAAGTCTGAATCAATATTGAGTAATACTATAGCAAAAGAGTGGATGATTGTAAAGAGGATAATTTAATTATGTTGAAATACGATCACGATCCAGAAATGGGCAAGTCAGAGGTTTTTCCAAGTCAAGTCACAAGTCACCTGATTTACTTTGATTTAACTTGATTCAAGTCGTAAATATATCTGACTTTCCATCTCTGATGCTAATTGGCTCTATGAGTCAGTCTGTCGTCTTTAATTCTGAATTTTTTTGGCAAACTTGAAGTCTAAATTTCATACTAAAATGTATAAAACACCAACGTATATGTGTAAAATTTTCGACTTGACTTGTCCATATCTGAATTCCACATCAAAAAGTTATTATAATCCTTATTCCCTTTTCTGAAAGAAAGGGTTATACAGTGTTTAAATGCTGTGTTAAAAAGCTTAAAGTTGGCTGTCTGTCCTATCCAATCAGAAATCAGCATATCTAAAATCAATGAAATTCATCGATAGTTGTTAGAAAATGATTGTCAGTAGGATAATCAAGGTCGAGGATCACGAATCCGAGGTTACTGTTGCTTAATTAATTATTAATTTTTCATTAACTAGCCACGACTGATTAACATCCATTGTCAGAGTAGACCGAAGGATTTCTGACGTCGGGAAATTCGAATTTGAGGGCGAATTTCGTTTTATTCACTGAGCCTGGGCTTGCTCCTTCCTCTTTACAAAGGAGATATTTTTCTTTATCTGTTCTAAAATCTTTTGTAGAAGATGGTGAGCTGAACGCTATTCACGGACGTCATGTGTACAAAGATAGTAGCTCAAGAACTTACACGAAAAGATCTAATGAATTGTACATAATGATGTTTCTAGTTGAGAAATCCGAAAAAGTGATATGAGCTTACGTTAGTATCACATTTGCTTTTTAGGCTACATACATTATGTCTTTTCATGGGATTTTAGTAGAAGTGGTTCACAAAGCGATATACCCGTCGGTGGAATTCCATCTTAGTTCTTAGTAACTACAGACGCGTGGACTGTAGAAACAGTATTCTGAACACATGCAGCGCTGTGAAAGATGTTCGCTTCGAAGCAAATCATACAATAAGACTTTCTTATCTAGTTTCTTTGGGTAATCGAATGAATAGAAGATCATGACTGTCGAAGCGACAATAAAAGAAAACCCAATCGTTCAATTTGGAAGTTGATCAAAGACGAAAGGAATAAGAGAGACAGCATGGCAACGGCTAGCCGTGAGTGACCGACCGGAGGGAGGTCGACGAACGACTAGGCGTTTAAATGCTATATTAATCCTAAAGTGTACGCTTAGAATAACCTTACCAGGCTTCAGATAACTTCGAAAGGGATTTGACGAATGAATATTCCTCAATGAAAATATTCGGCAAGGTATCATTTTGTTGACAGGAGAGAAAAGAATCGTTTTATCGCTGGAAGACACAGGCGAATGTTCAAACTTTTCAAGAAGTCTACTGTATATCATTCGTCTATGGATGATTTAGCAAAGCATTTATGAAAATTTTCATGCGCGTGATGTGAAAATAGAAAAAAACAGATGACAAAGGTCAATGGTTGGCCGTGAGTGACCGTCTAACTAGCTGTTGAGCGATGAATTTTTCAGTCAACATAGTTAGTGCTGGAGAATTATCCACTGACAAATGGCTAATCGGTCTGATGCCTAAAAAGACTTTTGCATCCTATTCATTCTAGTGTGTGTGACATAGTGCCATGATTCAGTTGAGCACTAGTAGCAATCGAAGTGCGATTTTTCTCTTTCGAAGTCTCTGAATATGTCCAACATTAGGAAAAGTCTTTCAGAAGGGGGTCAGCGAATACAAAGGATGAGCCTTACTTGATTGTAACTATTTATTAGTTAATGAACTAAATAAGACCAGATTTTTATTTACTTGAAGCAGAGCAAAATAGGTAAAGTCAATACAAAGAGGAAATAGATGTAAAACTTGCTGTTTGGCAAGTTGACGATTGTCCCAAATGCTAAGATTAAGAGATAAGATCAGTTATCTTTGATATAACGTACAGCCACACGTAACAAAAGTATAGTTATAGGGGCACCTAAACATATAAATATTGGATAAGTCAATAATCCAATAAAAAAATCACCTCAGATATCGCTGGTAAGTGAGCCACAGAAAAGTGCTACGACAATTCGTATTCGAATCATCTTTCTAAAACGTTAATTATTAGAAGTCTATGATATTAGATAATACACTTTTGCACCTTAGAAATTATTTTTTTATGGATAAAAATCGATTGATCATTTTAAAAGTTGGTGTGAGAGTAAACCTTTTTATGACACATGGAACCAGTCATGGCCCACATGGGTTCCACAGAAGAATGATTGGTGTAAGATCGAACCTTTTGAGATATATGGAACCATTTTGGAATGCATCATGGCTCTTTAAATCGTACAAAACCTTTTCACAGTTTATTGATACCTGAATGGAACCGTAAAGGTTTCAGACACAGGCTGAAACTCTTAATAGTTCGTTATTACCCGGTTTTTTTTTACAGAGCATCCTTTTTTGTGTATATAAGCTGTATTCTCTTAGAAAAAGAGCAATAAATTTAATAGCACCCAATTCGGCCGAATTCTCTCTTTACAAGTAACTTTTCACCCTCACTCGAAGAATGGAGAAGAATAATGTATCGGTGTGAAGCTAGCACGAAGGACCTAGCACGAACAAACGATGTGTTAGCTAAAAACTTTTTTACTGAATATGTCCCGTCCGTGGAAACTACACCGTTCGTCTCAGAATTCAATTCTGCATCGAATGGTGCTACTTTTATTCACCGGACAAACTTTGGAAAAATTCGTTCTGGATTTTAAATAGACCTAAAGGAGACGAACAAAGATATAGATAAAAATTTTTCCAAAGTTTGTCTGGTGAATAAAAGTGCGATCATTCGATGCAGAATTAAATTCTGAGTCGAACGGTGTAGTTTCCATGGACGGGACATATTTAGTAAAAACGTTTTAACCTAACGTATCGTTTGTTCGTGCTAGCTCCTTCGTGCTAGCTTCACACTGATGAATAATGTGCGTTTGTCCTTCACTTCTTAAGAATTATGTTTGCAAGCATGTCATAGGAATGTTAATCAGGCTGGAATGTCGCAAACCATCACCAGGAGCGACAACTGTGGAAGCAGGCACAAAGAGGAAAAGAAGTAGACCATCGAAAGCAAGAAAAGCTTTATTGCTACAATAGTATATTAATTACTCATTATCATTTCTCTTATTGCTACAATGTGAAATAATATTGCAATTTGGTGAATTATATATAATTGATTTCATAATAGAAAAAAACTGCGAAAAAGATTTTTTTATTGCTCGAAGATTATTACTAATTTATATTTTAATTATTATTTAAATAAATACATGCCAATAATCAAATATACTTCATGACTTATAGTTAGCTAAGAAGAGAAGTTAATAGTAATCAAACTTATTCTCTCTCTCAGAGTAATTAACAAACGACGTTGAACAGAACTTTTCTAATTTAATTCTGCAGTCGTTTCTTGGATAGTAATATCGATCAGAAGTAATCATCGGCGGGCCGGCAAAAAAATTTCAGGGGGGACAATAAAAATTTTTTCAGTGATTATCACGGATGCGCCCCCCCCCCCCCCCCCCGCCCCCCGCGGGGGGAAAACCGTTCACTTTTGG